AAAAGGCTTGAAGGTCGTTGAGGTGCTTGGGGGGGATGCTCGAGTTGTCGGGGAAGCAGGCATCTGGAATGGTACATTCGAGCCACCCGTAGACTGGGGTACTTGCGCGGGAGCTGCAGCCGGAGCCGGAGCTGAGAGAGAGTCAAGACCGAACAGATCATCTGCGGCCGACCGAACAGCCGGTGCAGGGGCAGGCGCTTGAGCTATACCCGTAGCCTGCGCAGGAATAGGAGCCGGGGCCATCTGAGCAGAACCAGGGCGACGCATACTCGGCGGAATTAAAGCTGGAGGCAGAACCTGTGGGAGCGGCTCCTTTCCGCTGCGTACTTGACGGACCAGATACATAGCAACTGCAAATTCATCCTTCGTTAGTTGTCCGTCAGCATCGATATCTGCCAAGTCCCAAATTTGAGCAAGGGTTTCCTCAGGCAGTTGCGCATTCATGAAGAAAGTCACAGCTTGGTCCCCGGTAATTTTTCCAAGTTTTGCCGAATCAACAGTCAGAAAGATACTATCGAATTGTGCCTTTTCATGGGGGGTGATCAGCCAGTCTGCACCAGTAGATTGTGCTGAAACAGGGGACCCAAATGGCCTGTTGATAGGGCTCTGTGTCCGTTGTGGTCCAGTGAATTGTTTCGGGATTGCGGGCACTGGCGGAACGTCAAGTCCCGGACGAGAGCCAATGGACGCACGACTAGATCCCCTTCGCGCAGCGGCTTCGTATAGGCCCGGTGGTAGAGTCTGTGGAATTCCTCTCATTGCACCTGATTTGTAGGAGGTCAAAAGGTGCATGGCGATGATGAACTCGGTCGCATCCAGGGCACCACGTTGCTTGGTGTCTGCGAGATTCCATATCCTGCCGAGGATTTCATTGGGCAGCCTTGCGCGTTCGAAGATCTGTTTAGCTGTCTCGCCTATAATTATTACATGGTTAGCTGAAACCTATCCCTTTTTGAAGCGGGGGCATTGCGTGCCTGAAAGAACCCCACTCCTGGAGACATCCGATTTCTCAAACAGCGACATGAACTTGTTCACATCATCTGGGTTCAACGGGGGAACACGAATTGATGTTCCGGGAGTTGGCGGAGGACTTGTTGCGCCTGTCTCACGCGCAGGGGCAGACGTATCGACTTGAATGCCATCGAACCTGGGTAGCGGCGCGGCTAGGTTGGTGAAAAAATGTAGTTAATATCATACTCTCAGAGATACTACAAGAATACAAACTAAACAGCTGCGAGTAACTCACGTTGTAAAGCCAATTCCTCTGATGGGGAGCGACCGGCTTGAGCGTGTCCGATCAACCGCAAGACAACACCGAATCCAGCGGGTGTCAGGAGACCGCGATTCTCCCTATCCGCAATTTGCCATATCTACAACACACCACAGATGTTGTTAGCTAGTGTCCTTCGGTAAGGAGAAGGGGGTGGTGCAGTGAAACTCGTTGTGGATCGACGTACCAAGCCGAGAGTGTCGGGGGCTAACTTGGTCTTCTCAAAGAAAGGGACGGCGACTTCGCCGGTGATGACTCCCAGATTAGTTGTGTCGGCGGCTTGAAAGAGTTGATAGAAAACTCGTTTTTCCTCGGGAGTTAGATTGAGGTTCGGGTGTCGTGCTGTTCGAAGCAAAAAGGAAATCCGTTAGTTCCGTTGTATCCATCGTATACCGGGTGCACCCATCCGTCCCCTGAGAGCTCTCCCACCCGCTATCTTAGTTGCGTCATTGCTGGCTAGACTTACTATTGTCAGCCATAGCTGTAATTCAGGAGGAGCAAGCCTCCCCTCCTTCTAAACAATCTTCCCGAGATGCTCGACAAGGAGTCTTCAAAGTTTCAGGGCTGTCGACTTATCCAGAAGATGCCACGAGCATGGATGGCCAAAGCGCTGCCTTCTGGATGAGGTAACGTTGGGCGGAATGGCGGAAATTAATGCCCCGATGGAGCCGCGATAGGAAAATGGAGGGCACGTTCACTTTGGAACGAGGAGTTGAAGAATGGGACAGGCAGGTAAGTATGGACGGGATAGGGTTGCCGAGAGCTTGCAACAAGCTGGAGGAAGGGCAGTGTTCACTTAGAGGGGGGAGAAATGAGGGATTGGGTTCATTTACTTCCGTAGCTTAGGCTTGGGTCCGGGGGGGGGTTTCTGCCGGGCGGTCAGTCACCGTTAACCCAACTAGTACGTACTGCCAATTAATATGGAGCTTAGGCAGCGACCATGGTGGAGTTCCTTGCATGGAGGATACAGGATGATGGACCTTTCGAAATTTACTCAATTAGTGCGCTACTTTAAGCAACAGTCAGGGTGTATCCGGTGGTCCTCTGTATAGCAATACAGTTTTACTATCCAATCACACCTTTGCATTCTTAGCTATGTTCTATCGTGTAACAGCTACATGTGGAAGGAGCGGTAAATTCATCGCTATTTCAGGGATATTAAAAATATATCAGACAAAGAAAACAAAGTCTGTGCTAATCCAAGCTTCTCTCTTATTTGCAGGCAGTTCAATCACATAACCTTGGCCAACGCCTGTTCCCAGCACAACAACTCGGAAACAATCACTATCAGCGTCCAATCACATGGCTGAGCGCAACCATGGCTGGAAATACTGACCGAGTGGTGTTTTGGACTTAGTACTCAGCCTCACCCTCCTCATCCAGCGAGTCACTGGCGACCTCCTCGTAATCACGCTCGAGGGCAGCCAGGTCCTCACGGGCCTCAGAGAATTCACCTTCCTCCATACCCTCACCAACGTACCAGTGAACGAAAGCACGCTTGGAGTACATGAGGTCGAACTTGTGGTCAAGAGCGGACCAAGCCTCAGAGATAGCGGTAGTGTTGGACAACATGCAGCTATAATTGGTCAGCTTTCTTTATCTCTTGCACGGGTGAAGATAGGAAACTTACACAGCACGGCTGAGGTTGGCAAGGTCACCGTTGGGAACCTGCTTGGGTGGCTGATAGCAGATACCGATCTTGAAGCCAGTAGGGCACCAGTCGACGAACTGAATGGTCCGCTTGGTCTTGAGGGTAGCAACGGCAGCGTGGGTCTCCTTGGGCACAACATCACCACGGTAAAGCAAGCAGGTAGCCATGTACTTGCCATTGCGGGGATCACACTTGACCATCTGGTTGTTGGGCTCGAAGCAAGACATGGTGATCTCGTTGACAGAGTTGGCCTCGTGAGAGGCCTTGGCCGCGGAGATGACGGGGGCGTAAGCAACGAGAGGGAAGTGGATACGGGGGTAGGGGACCAGGTTGGTCTGGAACTCGTTGAGATCCACGTTCAGGGAACCATCGAAACGCAGGGAGGCGGTGATGGAGGAGACAACCTGAGCAATCAGGCGGTTCAGGTTCTCATAGCTGGGGCGCTCGATGCCAAGGTTGCGGCGGCAGATGTCGTAGATGGCTTCGTTGTCAACCATGAAACTGCAGTCGGAGTGTTCAAGGGTGGTGTGGGTAGTCAGGATGGAGTTGTAGGGCTCAACAACGGAGGTGGCGTTCTGGGGGGCAGGGTAGACGCAGAACTCCAGCTTGGACTTTTTGCCGTAGTCCACGGAAAGACGCTCCATCAGAAGAGCACCGAAGCCAGAGCCAGTACCACCACCAAAGGAGTGGAAGACGAGGAAGCCCTGGAGACCACCGCAGTTGTCGGCCACACGGCGAACCTTGTCGAGGACATCGTCGATCATCTCCTTGCCAACGGTGTAGTGACCACGGGCATAGTTGTTTGAGGCATCCTCCTTGCCAGTGATCATGTTCTCGGGGTGGAAAAGGGTACGGTAGGTGCCAGTGCGGACCTCATCGACAACATTGGGCTCCAGATCGGCGTAGATGGTACGAGGGACATACTTGCCCTGGCCTAAGACACCATGGCCTGTCAGAGGGTCGGGCGGCAAGATTACAGGTCAAGACGACATACCAGTTTCGGAGAAGAAAGTGCTGAAACCATGGTCAGGATCTTCCTTCTTGCGTTCCTCGGTCAAGTAACCATCGGGCTATCGTATACCGGTTAGTTTATCTGCCCGATTGAGATGAAGATGGATGGATTGCCATCGTGAACACGTACCTGGATGCCGTGCTCAAGGCAGTAGAGCTAGAACCATAGTGTTAGTTTCCGTGGTCACATTTCAATCATCTCTATCTCCTAGTATATCTCCATCTTCGTACCTCCCAGCAAGAATTGGCGATCTGGCAACCAGCCTGACCAACTGCACACGTAAAAAAAAACAATTAGTAACGGTCATAGGACCGACTCCCGTGGAGGGGCGGTGTGAGGAAAAGATGAGAAAACGCATACCGTTCAAACTAATAACTTCTCTCATCTTGTCAAGTCTAGAAGGGACGAATGTCGGAATGACAAAGGAATTAAGATTGGAAGGAGGGGGGTGTGTGAAACGGAGTGGGTGGAATGTGGAAGGACTTTAGAGGGGGGAAAAAATGCCCTGATCTGTAAGGAAGTTTCAGGGGTAAGTAAACGAAAAAAAACACCACCTGGGAAAGGAAACAAAAGAAAGGGAAAGGGGAACCGGTGGGAGGAAATGGGGGAGGAGAACAAACCCTTGGGGTGATTGACGAGGAGAAAAATAGACTAAGGGGATCAATTAAACAATTGCCCAAGGCCCGAATGATCGGTCAATTTGTTGTGGTCTTGCGATGCGCTGTCAACCCAAAAGCAGGACTTCCACCTTTTCGTTGTTGATCCATCCGTTGGGTCGCGTCGCCCACAATCCCATTCCTGATTGGCTCCTCCGATGCCGTGACCGCCCTTCCAGCCCACCGCTGACTCAGCCACTTCTTTGGGTTTAGTCCACGGCAAGGGTCGATCACGTGTTAATGACGGCATCTCTTCGTGCAGCTGTATTGCAGACTATCCCTACAGCTTGTGATAGTAAGTACTATTGAAAGTACTCATATCATATAAATCTCGGCCACGGAGTGGCCTCTTTCTGGTCACCGAGACTGTTGCATAATGGCCTAATTGACGGTAAGTTCGTATTGACATCGAATGAATTCCATCTAAAGAACTTTTAGGATTTCAGACAGTCGATATCAGATCTACCTCATCTACAACACACATACAGCCAGCCTCCCGTACTCATCTGCGTATGGACTAGAACCATGACCGTCTAGCAACAGCGTCAATTGAATATACTGGAATTTCTGTCATGATGCTACTCCAATATATTCTCGTACTCTGCACCCTCGCGTTCCTTGTTATCGCCAATGTCGAAAAGACGATCTTCATCGCTCCGCAACCCCTCACCATCCCCACGGTCGATCCTACCCTCGATGACCTAGGTCTAGATCGTCTCTCCTCCTCCAGTCCCGTTCTTCGAACCAGAATAAACGCTACATTTCCGACGCACGAGTCCCCGGGTACAGACTCATGGTATTTCCTCGAGAACTTGACCCCCGGCCAACGGTATGAGGTGCGAGTGTGTTGGTTGGCAACTGTACGTCCTCATATACCATTTACCAACTTCCAGCGAGGCGATCAAAGAATATTAACTGACAAGCTGTCAAAGCAACCGACCGCCTTTACCTTAACAACATATACCCTTCCACAAGCCATTGATGACCCCGCCCTCTTCTCCTCGATCAGCCACTATTCCCAAGCCCATCTCGCCTCCCCTCAGTCTAACGCTGTTCCTCGTAAATCTTCTTCTTTTCACGATCAAGCACCTACGTCAGATTCGGTGCTTTTCCTGCATGTCACGGCGGCGGCGGACTACTTTTCTCTTAATAAAACACTAATGGAGAATGTTCCCCCGGTTGCAGCGGATATCATCCTCGATCCCTTTTTATGGAACATCTTCCCGCAGTCGCTGATACCGACGGCGTGTTATATATGTGTTATTGGATGCTTGGCGGTGGTAATCGGATGGTGGGTGTTGGGAGAGCTGGGAAGAGTAATTGATTACATGAACTCACAACAATCGGCTGATAAGAAAGATAAATAGTGAGCTAAATATATGTATGTATGTATCGATTGCCTGTAAATCCTAGGCGAACTATAGCAAATGCATCAATATCATCAGGTTCAGTTTATGCAAAATCTAGGTTCCAAGATGGGTTACTTGCGTAGCGAGGGGTTAAAATAAAACATAACTTCACAAACAGATAATAATCATGAGAGAGCATAAGGGAAGGGGTCATTATGCGGGAAGAACAAAAAGAAAGGGAAACCAAACAACATAGCAGCATGGGGAATATGTTTCAAGGAGGGTTGAAATGCCCAAAATAACGAATCTGTAAAGAATAGTCCTCCGTAAAGCAAGAGGTCTAGGCCCTGTAATAAACGCCTGACATGAGAATGTAGAATATTAATCTTCGAAAAAGTGAAGGACAGCCCGGATACCCTTCGAACCCAGCCCATGAGGTGGGTAGGCGATGTAAAGGGGATCGTCCTGTGCTCCCAGTTTCGCACGGAACTCGCTCTTGCGAACCAAATGAAACTGCTTTGCTAAGGTTTCGTAGGTGTGCTGCAGCATCTTCACCTTGGCTCCGTGCATGTTGTGCCCCGGAGTAAGCGTGGTGGTGGCGCCAGCACCGAAAGTGAGAGACTTGACTCCAGACCGAGCAGCTGTCTGGATGGCGTGGGTAACGATATGCTCAATGACACCATTTGGAGACCCTGGGAAGTCAAAGCTGTATTTCACCTGCATGCCATGGGATGGAGATAATGTGGCCAAGGCAACAAAGGCGCAAATAGTGCCTTCTTTGTCGACTGCATAGAAATACCAGCGATGGGCATGATCGCGCCATGGATGGATCTCAGACAAGTGCACTTGAGTGCCCTTACGGTTGGACAGCCAGTCTTGGATGCGCTGATCAATCTTCTCGCGGATGTTGTCTGGGACCATCTCACCCTGATTCATGCTCACGAGCTTGATACCTTCGCTCTCGGAGTGTCGGATCTTCCGAGCAATTTCTCCATCTGAAGCAGCCTGGTTGCGGGACGGATCTACACGCTCCTCTGCGATGCAAGACAAGCTACGCCAGCCAAGCTTCTCGCCCAGGATTGCCTCAACCTGAGGAGAACATAAGAGCCAAATGGGCTTATACTTGGTCTCCCGACGCATCCATTGCAGAAACTGAGTGATCACGCGCGGATACTGCTGAGCGTCACACAGAGGGTCGCCTGGGATCACCGCATAATTGTTGCTGCTAGGCACGTACGAGATTGCTGCGCCGGTCGCCAGGTCACGCCAAACCTTAAAACGCTCATCTCCCCATGATGTGGAGGTCGCATCACCATAATTTGCGATGAGATGCTCTATCGGCTGCAGGTGGCTCTCATCGGGCGCCAAGGGACCTTTTCTGTCGCGGACCCAAGATGGCTCAATGGTCGAAGACTCCGGGTGCCGTAATTGCAAAGTTGGGGGCTTAGCGGGGAAACTCCTAGGATCACGGTAGAAGAGAGAGGCGAGACGAATGTTACCCAACTTGAGAAGAAGCATCAAGAAACGCTCCAGACCCACACCAGCGCCGGCGTGGGGTGGTGCACCCCATCGGAAACCTTCCATATATTCCTCCATGGTGTCAGGATTGATGCCCACACGGCGCATATTTTCCTCAAGCATATGGGGATCATGGATACGCTGACCGCCTGAGACGATCTCTTGGCCCCGAATAAAGATGTCAAAGGAGTTAGTGAAGCGGTTATCATCAGGATCGGGCATCGTGTAGAAGGGACGTGCGCTGGTGGGGAACTTGTCGAGAATGTAGTAGTCCGTGCCATACTTCTCCTTGACAAGCTCGCCAAGGCGAATCTCATCGCGAGTATGTAGGTCATCATCTACCGGCAACGGATTTCCCTCCTCATCACGCCACCCGGAGTCGTTGAGCATCTTGATACCGTCGGAGAACCGGATGATTGGCGTTTCTTCGAGCCAGACGACATCGTCGGATGGGAATTGCTGCTTCACAGTCTCGATCTCACGACGGAAGCGGCCATAAACGCCTTTCAATATATTCTTAATCACGGCATCTAGAACCTCCAACATCTCATGGTAGTGCTCTTCAATCGCCATTTCAATATCCAATCCGGTGTACTCTGTCAAATGGCGGTGGGTATTGGAATTCTCCGCGCGGAACACAGCGCCAATTTCATACACTCGACCGAAGTCCGCCGCAATAGCCATCTGCTTGGCCAACTGCGGGCTCTGGGCCAGGAATGCATCACGGCCAAAGTAATTAACCTCAAAGACACTAGCTCCAGACTCAGTGGCGGACCCTTGCAGCTTAGGTGTATGAATCTCAATGAAATTCTGCTCATCAAGGGCGGTCCGGAAGAGGTTTCCCACTGCAGATTGAATGCGGAAGATTGATTGAGATGTAGGGGTACGCAAGTCCAGCAGACGGTTGGTCAGACGCGTGCGGTCAGGGATGTGACTACGCCGACCTTCAACCCGCTCTTCCTCGGGGGTCTGGATCTCGGCTTCATAAACGCTGAATGGGACAGGTTCCTCCCGCCGAACGACAAGGTGAATCGCATCGATGGCCAATTCAACATCGTGAATGGTGCACCCCAGCACTGGTACCTCTGGGGCTTGGATAGTGCCACGAACCTGTACTATAGAACCCACGCGCAAGTGCTCGACCCATTGAACCATGGCGATGGAACTCTTGCCCGGGGATTCATGCAAAACACCTTGGAAGGTGTAAAGCTGTTGTCGAAAAACAAGGAAAACCAGCTTGGCACTCATACGACGAATGATATGCAAGCGCGCCGTGAAGAGGACCTCCTTGCCCACCGAGTCCGTCGAGATATCGTCAAACTTGGTCCGGAGCTCCCGCGGGCGAGAGCGCGACTGAAGGAGGGGCAGCTCACCATAGCGAGCCTTCATCTCTGCAGTCTCCTCACGAGCGGCAGCTGCGACAGCCTCCTTGTGACGTTCAGATTCTTCAGAGTGGTGTTCCTCGCTGAGACGAGAGCGCTCTTGTCGGCGCTGTTGACGCGCAAGGCGTTTCTGCTGATTTTTGCTCATCGTCCCAGTGACGGGGGATGAAGAGTCATCAGAGAAATCATCTGAAGAGGAGGCATAGCCGCCGCGATCCCGCAAGAATCCGCTCAGGATACTGCGTCGAGGGGACATTGACCCCGAACGTCTGCTTGGGGTGGGGGACGAGTCATTTGTGTCAATTTTATTGGGGACAATCTTGGAAAGGGCCCGTTTGATGGACATGATTATTGCGTTTGCGTAGCGGATGATAGATTCATTAAAGAGAGTGAGTAGAGAGAAGAGTCAGCAGTAAACTTTGACAATGCCGCTTCACCCCGGTGAAGGAGGGGCACGATTGGCGGGAAGGATACGAGTCGGGAGACCCTGATTTTGACGACGAGGGACAGGATCAATTGGAGAATTTAGGCTTTCTTGAAAGCGGGGGGGGATGTTAACGAGTTAAATATTGAACTCCAGAAGAAAGAGAAATGATTTGAAAGGGGGAGAACCGAGAGAAAGGTTACCTTTTTTCACCTTGTCAGGGTCCGGAACAAACCGTGATGTCATCGGCTGAGTGCCTCGGAATCTTTCCCAAATGCCTTATAAATGGGACCTTTTCTACTACCAAGCCAAGTTTCGAGGGGTTAGTGTCTAGACTGATCGGATGATGAGACAATTCCCATCGTTTCCCTGTTTCCTATTGCCTCTCTCCGGTTCTATGACCCCTGGTGCCATTACCTCCTCCTCCTACTTAGGTACTACTAGTACTAGTAAAGTACTAAGAGTTATACATACATATACGTACATCCAACAAACCTACATACATACAGACAGAACTTACATTCTGATGTCCCCATTTCCGGCTTGGCTTTTTCTTAGTTCCAGATCCATTCATACATTGATTACTATTGGACTCAGTCTCCATGTTCTTTTGATTTTCCTGATTTGCCTCCCACGAGAGTCCACCTTTTCTTTTTCTTTTTCTTTCCTTTTCCCCTTCCTCTCGTGACTCCTTCCGGCTCTTCGTATTCTGTGAATTGTGATCGTCTCATTTCTGATCTTAATAGCTCGCCTTCTCTTCCGATCCTCCAACTTCCTCCAAAAACTTAATTGACCGTGTTCGCCTCCTTCAACAAGGGTCAGATTGTTAGTTATGGCGTCTTCGCGATGGTGGCTTCTCGTGCAGGCCGTCTTTTGGCGGTTTCTAATGCGCATTGGCATGTTCATCCACCATATTTCATTCCCACGACCTCCTCGTCGCACCTTCGTACGATCCATCCCGTGCGGGTCATCACGAATTGATTTGTACTTCTACTGTCCACCTGATTACTTTCGGGATATTAAAGAAGGTCGCAGATTTCCAGTAGTGGTTAATTTTCATGGTGGTGGGTTCACCCTAGGATGTCCGACCGACGATAGTCGCTGGGCCCAGTCCGTCCTGGCGGAAGTTGGCGCCGTCATGGTCAGCGTCGGATACCGTCGAGCCCCCGAACATCCGTTTCCTGCCGCTGTAGATGACGGGGTGCGAGCGATCCAGTATCTCTCCGCCCATGCCATTGAACTAGGACTAGACGTCTCACGCATTGCCCTCAGTGGGTTTTCCGCTGGCGGCAATCTGGCGGTCACGGTACCTTTACGCCTCCGCAGTCTAATGTGTCAGGAATCCCGCGATCCATGGCTGGATCGTGCGGAGTCCACCGAACAGCTTGTCGATGCGTCCGCCAGCGACGTCAACATCGTTGCCCTCTTTTGCTGGTATCCCATCTTGGATTTCGAAGAGTCCCGTGAGCATCGGCGGGCCGCGAGCATCATGCCAGATAAGACCCTCCCGGAGTTCTTCACCAATCTCTTCGATGAGGCATATTTGCCGGATCTAGCGGAACGCCGATCGCCGTATGCATCTCCTGTTCGGGCCGCGGATGCCCTTCTCGCCGATGCTCTTCCCCATGACATATTTTTCTACATTTGTGAATGGGACATGCTCCTTAACGAAGGTCAGCAATTCGTGCGTCGCTTACAAGATATTAACAAGCATGTCCGCGCCATGATGATTGAGAAAGTCCCACATGCCTGGGATAAGTCCCCGAACCCGTGGCGGGATCAGGAACAAGTAGATATCCTCTATCGCGACGCCTGTGCCGACATGAAAGCCATCTTTAATGCGTAGACGTTACACCGCGGTTTTATGTCGCTCCTTTGGGCCTATCAACCACCTCGCTTTTCTTTTTCTTGGATTTTGATAGATGTGCATTAACGGCGTTGGGTCAAGCGAGTATGCGATTTCAATAGTGTACAGTACTGCGTTCAAGAACAGTGAAGCCAATCCATTCAAAATTATTAACAAAGTACTTGGACAGATGGCAAAGACAATTCGACGGGAGCTCAACCAGTACCTCATTAGCCAGATACCGTCGCAGGTTTCCGCGCCGTCACCGCAATATACTTCCACCCACGCAGATGGTTGGCGACTAGAGCAACAGTATTAATAAAATACGCTTCCAAGCCCAGGGCTAACACCATCAGGGATGGGACGTATAGGATATAAGCCAGAAACCGAATCATTGGTTTTACATTCTGCGAGATATCGCTCTCCTGAACATCCTCAAAGCCAACCTCGTTCAGCATCCAAACCAAGCTTTTCTGTGGACAAACATGTTCGCTTCGGTTCTCTGAGGGTGACGGGGATTGTCCGTTTGCCGCATTTGAGATAGCACCATGCAAGCGAACCTTATCCATAGCCCCCTGTTCCGATTGGTTCGTTTGGTGAAAATCGTCCTCACTCCAGTGGTCATATTCGTATAGGGCGATTCTGCCTCCGGGTTTGAGGACTCGGTAAAACTCTGACAAGACGCGATTCAGGTCGGTCGCATGAATTAGTGTCTCGATGGTGTAGATGCCGTCCAGAGAACCGTTCCCCAAGGTTTGAAGATTATGATAGTCACCTTGCTGAACCGTCAATGCATCCAAGGGCGTAACTGTGTCTGAGTTGTGCTTGGCGTTCCAGTCAACCTTATCAATAGCCTCCCGGACATTCTGTTGTGCTTGTTGGACGTGCTCTGGAAGAACATCGATGGCATGGACTTGCAGTCCCTTCTGCGCGAAATTGATCGCCACCTGACCGTCTCCGCAACCGGCATCGAGGACTCGAGCACCCGGGCTCAAACGCAACGATCGAAACACTTGATCTTCCATTGCAATCAGCGCCTGATGCACTGGAAAGGGCCACCACACATCTGGGGAGTAGTAGCCTAGGTGGGCACGACCGCCGTAGACGATCCAATTCCCGAGGCGAGTCTCGAGGGAGCTGTAATATCGCTTGACGCCGTCCATAGCTAAGATGTAAATGCAGGACTTCTGTGCACACGAAGTTACTGCAAGAGTCGAACCAGAAAGTTGGGTACTCCACCTATGCTTATATGCACAGGTCCCCATTGATATGAGCTTAAGTACCAAACCAATGGGACACCGGCTTTCCTGGTCAAATTTTGTCAACTCCGATAGTGGAACGCCATTCTGGCTTGGATGGAGAGCCTAAAAACCATCTTCCCCTTTGTTTCGGCACTTTAACATCCTTGTCACATTGATGGGTCGTGGAGACCAGGGGGGCGGCCGACTTGGTTGGTATTGTTCGTTGAGCCGTTTGTATATTGTTCTTTCTGGTAACCCACTAAACCATGGGTCCAACCGTTGGATCGTCTTTGTATTTGGTATATTGCCAAGTGCGCTATTTCTCGGCGACTCGTACTCAGACCAGATTTGATAGGATGAAACGTGGGCTAGACTATCGAGATGGGTCTGTTTCCAAGCAAGCGAGCAATGATCAGTGAATCTGATCTTCCGAAATCGCCTAATGCGGAAACCAATTCAACATCAGTCACTTCATACTTCGCTCGAAACAACACCCCCCCCCCCCCATCTGCTGCTCAATAGTAGTAGCCATGGGTTTAACGAGTTGAGAGAAGCTTATTCTATAGTTGCCATGTGATCTAGTTAGCACACCTCAAAGAGAAGTATATAAACCGACGTTATAACCCATCGATATGATGTAATACTCAGAGACTGTCCAGATCAAGGTCCAGGTTTTTAAGACAGCCTCATGGTATTTTCTATGCATCTTTTAGCATAGAGTTTGTTCCCCTGGCGTTTTCAGCAGCGCAATTCCCATCAGCACCCCTACTCACCCCCAGTTATTATATTAACTGAAAAGATATTACGCTGCGGATGTTTTCCAACCATCTGGAAAGCATACCTCCATTTTGTATATTCTCTCCTTCTATGGTTCGCCGACAAGATGCTGACTACATAGTTGTCTCCAAGCTCTCCTTCTACAGTCTATGTAAGAAAGCTTAGGGTTCCCTCACCTGGATAAATGAGATTACCCCAGCTATGGTGTCATAGGGCTTTCTAGTGTCTACACTAGCATGAGCTCTTATCATCTGCGTCTGTGTTTCTACTGGTAATCCGAGAAACCCTGGATGTCCTCTTAATGCAACCCATGGTACCGGCCCATTCTAGACTCGCCCACTCGCAAACGTTCATTCCTGCTTTTCACACTCTGCCTCGAAAAAAAGTTACGGTCAACAGCTACACTGACGGCCATTCGTCCCCTAAACCTAAAACCCAGGGACACCATCAGGAAACTCTTCAAAAGTCTTGATACCACCAGACCCCATCACAACGGATCACATAAATAGACCTTGCAGCCCCGTAGGCCATTCTTTACCGCTCCTTAACGGGTGAAATTATACCCGTCATCGAGGAAGAAACTCACGCCAGGAATACAAAATGCACCGGGTATGTGGAGAAGATTGTTTCAATGGATGAGAAGGGTTCTGGGAGAGTGACTGGAGTTGAGATTAAGACAGACTAAGCTTTTTCTCTTTGGGTTGCATTAGTGTCAACATTTACATTGGTCTTTAAGAGTCGCGTTATATATTTGTATATATACAGTATCCATTGGGAGAATGTACTACGCAGCTACAGAAGCACAGGTAGTATATTTCCCAAGAGTGAAATTTCATTCTATACCATGCATTATCATACATTCACCAATCACATCATCATGCGTACCAAGTAGGTGGACCAAATCAAACATAGCATGGTAGGTATCTCTCGCAAGATTAGGGAGAAAATGAAAAAGATCAACAGTTGAAATAACATAATGACGCTCCATACGCCACGCTAACAGCAGCATAAAAAAAACTTTTCTGTTTTGGAAAGAGTCGTTAAGAAACGCTCAAGAAAGGGGTATTGAAAACTGCAAGGGAAGGGAAGAATGTAATTGTTTTCCTTCAAGGAGAACGAATTTACTCCTCATCAGTGCCCGTTTCGTCACTGAGACCATCGTCCGATTCGAAATCGTCAGCCTCACTATCGGATTCATCCTGGTCATCACCAGGGATACCGCGCCAGTGGATGTAGTCAGCTTCCACCCAGTGCCGGCTGCGGGGGAGCTGATACGGGTCGAATGGGAAGTATGCGTCGAGTTGATAGCCGAGATCATCACCGGCACGAGTCTCTCGTTCGACCAAGCTGAATCGCGGGTCTGCTAGGGCGGACAAATTTCGGAAAGATGTCATGCGGATTCGCTTGTTCGTTTCGAGAATGCTGAATACGTACATCAAATTCAGGTGCTGGGACATTCGTGCGAATTCTGATACGATGGCGGGTGAGCACACCTTCAGCGGGTTCAGCTTCGAATAAATCGTCTGGTGGAGGGCCTCCTTCACCATTGGCGGGAAGGTGATGTCTTCTATCTCAAGCTCGTCTACTTGCTCGATGCTATCGCCCTCAGTTGCGGCAGTGGTCAAGTCCCGCCAGCGGAAGCAGAAGATGTAGAGTAGGGCCTGTGCGGTGGAGTAAAAGGGGCCGTAGCGACGAAGGTCAGGTCCCCGGCAGGAAGGCTCATAGAGGTCGCGCAGATCCCTTAGGTGTCCGCCTAGCAGACCAAAGACATCTCGCACAATCTCACCAGAGATGTGTGCGCCCCGGGCAACAAAACTGGCGAGGTAGGCAGCAGCAGATTGACGCGTGATGGCTGGCTGCATCTTATTGAAAATAATTTCGATGCATGCCGTGGTAAAGCGATCAACAAGATCAGGGGACGACTGAGAGAAGTGAAAAAGGAGGAATTGGGAATGGCGTGAGCGGTAAGTCGGAAGGATAATGCTTTGGAAGTGGCTAAGTAGGAGATCGAGCGTATTCTCCTTGTCGTCCAAGGTGCCGGAGGCAAAGGTCGGCGCGTAGTATTCAAACAGAGAATCGATCATGCCATCCAGCTTGAGAACGTTATCTTTGACCGTCTTAATCCGCTGAGACTCGGCGTCTATCGAGTCATCGCTGGCGACCGATGCATTGTCATCGTCATCGTCCTCACCAAAGACAATGGTTCCAGGAGAGACAGCATGCAGGACCCCCTCTTCCTCGTCATCATCAAGATCGTCCATATCCACCTGAATCTGAACGTCAATCTTGACAAGTTTTTCAGTGAGGAGAGCAAGGATGTCTGCCTGTAGTTCTGGGGCATAGCGAATTACTCTGATGAGGTTTTGCGTGTACGCAATGTTGGCCTTTGGAGAATCGGTATCAAATGGAAACTGCATGGACAAGACGGGCGACAATGATCCGCTACCGGACGGAATCAAATGCACTATATGGCGAAGAGCCATGTGGACCCGGGTGTAGATCTCCGGCACGAGGACGGGAGCATAGCCCGGCAGCTTGCCCGTGCCCTTGGGAAGCTCGCCTAGGTAAGTGACCAGCATTTTGAGCACCGGTCCTAGATAGCTTCCCTGAGCGGCTGCAAGATTACCTAGGAAGCGAATATACAACTTAACGTAGGACTCGTCGCGCCCGAGCCATACGCTGTTCAAAACAGCGTTGACCAGCCCGTTGCAGCTGCGATCCAAGGAAGCCACGTTTGACAGAAGGCCCAGAAGATGATATCTTAACGTCGTATGTGTAGGTACATCGTAGGAAAACATGCTATCCTCTTCCCCACGCCGGGGATCCACTGAGAAGATTTCTTTAATGCGGTCGTAGGCCTCGCTGTCGGTGCCTGAGATATGCCGTTGAATAGCACGGCGCACCTCCTCGCGAACTACAGCCGCACTCTTCTCTGGTGCCCCGGTGTTCCCTTGCACCCTTTCATCGAAAGAAACCATTTCAACATCCTTGAACTGCACCCGAGCCCGCTTCCTTGGGCTGGGGAGCCCCTCACCATCGGACGAACCAGAGGACGAGGGGGACAGGGAAAGATTCATATCCTCCATTTTATGTTTTATACCGGCCGTGGGTGTCTCCTTAGCGGTTTTCAAGATGGGAACAGGAGAAGACGTCGCTAGCATCTTGGAGCGGCTAGGCTGTCTGAGTCCCGTCGCTGGGTTGCGCGAGGGCGTGGCGAGGGCGACCATGATAGGTCAGCAGGAATGTTCAGATATGCAGCTGGAAGGAAGGGAGATTTTGTCCGATGCTCGTCATTTGTTGGACCCCAGAACTCTCGCTATAACACTGACCAAGTATTGGAGAACAATGAACGTAGAGCACACGACACCGCCAGTGTGGTCAAAACTCGAATATTCCGCTGAAGCTACAGATGATAGGCGCACTGGGAGTTAGTGGTGACCTAAGACAGCCCCGTCTGTCATCTAATACACACACACATACACACAATCGTAGCAAGCAGTGCGTTAGACGTAAGCAGATGAAAAGGAAGAGCTGGTCTTACGAGGGACACCGAGGCGGAGAAGCCTCCTGCTTGAAATTTTTATTGTGGGGCATTAGTGGAGCTCATCCCCGTGACCAGCGCGTGACCGGCGCGTAACCGTGCACCACTCAGTGCCTGATTGGGCAATATGGAAATGGCTTACACACTACGTACTAGTACAGAAAAGTAATGGCATACATACGGAGTACTCGGGGTAGACTTGTAGATAAGTGGTTTAGAACTGCAGGCATAGTTTCTAAACCTACTACGATTAAAAAGGAGGCAAAAAGCATAGAGATGAGACTCATCATCGGTTCCTTCGATTTCAGTACCATAACATAACCCATCAAGAAAAACAATATGTAAATTGAAACATAGACCACAAGATAGCAGGAAAAAAAATTCACACAAGGAACGGATCCTCTCCCAATGGTATAAAGCCGGTAAAAAGAACAAAAATAACAGACGAGTTCGTTAAAGAGCGAATATTAGTAGGTCATAACAAACGATGAAGAGATAAGAAGAACCAGTTCTTTCCCCTTCCGGTCGACATCATCGAGCCGTTTCTGCATGACAATGAAGCCTCATAGCCACTGTCCCGAAGCAATCGGACCCATTCGATCGTCAAAGATGCTTCCGTAGAGATCTTCAATTTCTACCAGGTATTCGTCCACGGTAAACTTCATCAGGCCTTTGTTCTGCAAAACAAGCTCTTCTTCATCGAGTACACGAGCGCCACCAAACTCTTCCACAACCTCATTCACTTGCTCCAGCTCCTTCCCAAATGGGTGTGGTTCGGGATTGGAGTATTCCTGCGCTGGGCGAATTACAGGACTGCTGCGCACGGAATTTAATGGAGGAGGTGATAGCCGAGAGATAGAGCGCTGACGAGCTAACTCTTGATGGGAGCGTTTCGTGTGGGAAAGCGCCCGCTTGGGAACCAAGGGCGCATCTGTAGACGATGTGGTCGATGTAGAGGATCGAGGATAGCTAGTCACGGTCGCTGAGCGCTTGGGGAAATATGACGATAGAGGGTTGGGCTCCACGGGGGAGTCGCTGGGTGTTGTGATGGGCGACCCAAAACTCTGATTCCCAAAAGACAATTCCGAATCATCTGGAGATTGGAGAGATGACGTAGATGACGATCCCGCTGAATGAAGATCGGGAGCATTGTAGGCGAGCATATTCGTGGTCGACAACAATTCCACCGGTGCAGAGATCTTTCCCCGATTGATGGTTCCAGCGGAGAATTTGACTTGTCCTTCCCGGTAGGGCATTGGTGCCGATACCTCGGGGCGCTTGTGGCGCTTTGTAAATGCTCGTGTCAGTGAGGACATGGTCGTGGTTCCGAGAGTTTCCAGCGATGTGATGTAGTAGTCAATGACGTTCAGCCAAGGAGCGGGTTGATATAGGTTATTTGTATTGCAGTTGCTATTTTTGATCAATTGTCACGTCAACTGTCACACTTCCTTATCGAATGGTCCTCCTATTTTTAGTGCCTGTCAAACGTTCGTTTGCGGTACCGATAAAGAATGTGTGGTGGACGATTGCGGGGTTGGCACCAGAAGGAATGGAAAATCAATGACTGGAATGTCCGTTATCAGATATGAATAATCCGCTCTGATATAGAAGTTCTTCTTCTTTTCTTTTTAGTTGTTTTTCTATCTCTGTTGCTTGTCGAAGATCAAAGTTTCTGAATATTCATTCAATGAAAGTCGAGGCGGAAATTCCTTTTTCTTGCACAGCAGAAAATCGGATGGTGGGAAGTCCGTCTCAAAATGGGTGGATTGGTTGACTCAAGGGGTGAAATGATTGCAGCAGCACTCTGTACTGGGTACTAAATCGGGGCGGACAACCAGGACGCGCCACGGGGTTTTAATAAGGAAGTGTAAAAAGTACCAAATCAAGGATAGAAGGAGGGAATCCAGGACAAGAGAATGGAATGAAAGAATAAGAAGCGAAATAGTTGATCCAAGGTAACGAATCCCCCAGGGAGGAATGGACCAAGAAATGAAGAAACGAAGAAACGAAGAGAAAAGAGTCAAGTGAAGTATGTAACGAGAGGGGAAGAAGAGGAAAAGGAAGGTGAAAAAGGCAGGGGCGGAGGCGAAATGCCTTATGGGTTGTGTTCCAGGCTTTTTGATCCACCAGGCTGATGGAAACACCCATTTAGAGTTTTTACTTGCTTGTCCCCTTCAAGGTTATCCAGTCACCATCAGTTCGTCTCGATACTTCCCGCTCTTCCCACGGTTCAGTCACACTCTTTCCTACGGTTCAAACAGTTTGTTCCTTGGTGAACAATAGAAAAACTTTCGCTTTCTGCCAGGGGCCCTGATTCTAGTGGATTCTCATACGTGATTTCAGGTCTTTTTCAGGTTCGAGAACCTATATGTGATCCATGGGCAACCGCAAGTGCCGATATTGACCCAGAGTACGAAGAAAATATGGTATGTTTTCTCTCCCCCCGGTACGGAAGTACCCCCGTAAGGAAGGCCCCAAAAATCAATCAATCTATGTATCTATTAATGGAGAAGTGATTATCTCTGCTGACCTCAGGCAGACTTCTTTGCAAATATCCGGTCTTCCGACGGCCAAGACCGCTTGATGTGACTATCCCACGCGGTTCCTTGCGACCTGCCATTCGGTAGGTATGGACGATGCGAAGCGCCGGGGCTGTTTTCTCAGCTGCGTGGCACATGTACGACGCAGAGTGATGGCCATTAAATTAAATCATGACCTAATCATTACTACCACTCGATACTCAGGCAACCTCTACTTTCCCCCTCCTGAATACCATCCCTCTCCGAGGAGAATATTTGTGTCCTCCTTCGACCCGTGTCCTGGATGCCAATATGAGACCGAAGGACCCCTGGTATCTCCGCCCCGGGAGGAATATCTGATGTCCCTGGTTAATTATTTTTTTTTCCACCTCTCCAACGAAGAAAAACTGAGCAATCATAACGACCCAAGCATCATCGCACTGCAATGGTCAAGCGACGGTGCCGGAGTTGGTGTCAGGAACGGCAACGGAATGACCTCTCAGGAGCGCCATGTACCATCAGCAGTGGGGATGAAACAACTCTGCGGCCGCCGTGTCTCAGCGTATCGCCAGCCAACCAAAGTACTATTAGTGCTGTGCATGACTGTGGAGTGTGTGATCTACGAAGTATGATAGGTAAACTTTCTTCCCTGTTGTATCTTACGGATTAATCCAACATACTTCCAACTGTATACTTTAAGGTAGTATCAGTTTTCTTTCATTCCTTTGTTTTTGGAACCTATTCGTTGCACAGAAGCGTGTCGAGACTCCTGAACCGATCTAAAATCTGGTCCCGACAATGGACTTTTGGTGTCAATGCGCGCGGGTCAACCCCACCCAGTGGGTAAAACTTAATACACATAGTAAATTGTGGACTTCGTTTACAACTCTTTTTATTGTCACAAGGGCCAAATGAGAGCGGATATAACTCCCGCCATGGAGGTCCTTCTGATTAACGAATTACCATTCCAAGTTAGCCCCCACTGCTACTTGGGTTGGGTTAGTCTCTCTCTCTCTCTCTCTCTTTTTTTTTTTTTTTTGTTTGAGAAGGGGAGTATGTTTTAACCTTGCTTTTTCTTCCCATGTGGGATTTGCAGATGATCCTGGTAGTACTAAGTAGTACATAATGAAAGTGAATAGCAAAAGCAATAACTGATATTGTAATTCTACCTGTCACTTGCATATTGTGAACTATATCAATTTTTTCTTTGTTTCCATGCCTCCCGTATCACGTTGTCCCCTCTCCCCATCGCTAAGCGATACCGTGACATCCATCGCCAATTCCCGGGTTTACTTAAGTAACTTATTGTCGGCTTTACTCTGGAAAATTGTAACTCCAAATTAAAAAGCGGATCTGATTGGCTAGACGAGCCGTTTCACACTAGGACCGTTTTCGACCAGGATCTGGTCGATCATTACCGTGTACGGACATGTCCTCCGTTCCCAATTTCGATCACCATTCAGTTGCAATTTAAACCAAACCGGGTATCAACGTTTTCATTGCATGTCAGATGGAAGGCAAACAGGACTATACACATAGAACGGACAAAGAAGCTTTCTATACTGACGCAATGTGCACACAATAGGCTCCTTGCTTAGGATATCCTTCCCCGTTTCTAAGACCTCAGTCTTCGTCCATCGACTCCCAGCCATCCGCACCACCGGCGGCCACACCAACCTCCTGGGCGGCATCTTCTTCATCTGACTCATTCTGGTCCGCCTGCACACCGACTGTGCGCTCCTGCACCTCACCTTCCAGACTGGGCATCCGCGACACGAAAGCCCGGCGGACTGCGGCGTTGGTGGAAGTGTCCCAGATCTGCACAACGCCCTTGCTGCCGGCTACGGCCAGTCGGAAGCTGACCTCCGGATCGGGGGCGAATGTAGTCGAGAAAACTTTGCCCACTTCCAGTTTGCGTGAGACGACCATGCTAGGCTTGTCGTTCTCGACGTTCCACAGTTTGACCTGCTTGTCGGTGCTACCGGTGACCAGGAAACCCGGGATGGAGGAGTTAATGTCGAAAGCTGACACCGAGTCGTCGTGCGCCTGCAGGGACCACACTGGTTTCGAATCCTTAGGGTTGGCGGGGACGTTTCGCACATCGTAGCGATAGACCATACCGCCGTCCGTCGTCACGTAGAAGTAGTTGGGATCGTGTGTATCCCAGCGCACGTTCTCGACGTCTGTGTCTACACCCCACCGGGCCTTGGAGTCGGGGGCTCTCATGTCCGCGGCCACCACAGTGCGGTCGTAGCTGCCACTCAGCAAGACGGTAGATTCCTTCGGGTGCCAGTCCAAGGAGCACACCTTGTCGGTGTGGTGGGCGTAAGACTTGGCGCATTTAGTGGTGTTGAGATCCCAAAGTTTAACCGTTCGATCGGCCGAGGCTGAGGCAAGGAGGTTGCGATGTTGCCGGTTCGCAGCCAACGCGAGCACCGCGTCGACGTGGAACTCGTCGTTCGCCTTGGTCTTCTTCTTCTTTGGCTTCTTGGCTTCACCTTCACCACCCTGGCCGAGGATAGCGTTGGGGTACATGCAGTCCACAATGTCCAGATCCCAGATCTCGATATCAGGCTCCATCGTTCCAACAGCCACGAAGTTTCCTGTAGTGCGGCCCTCGGCGGTCTTTCCAACGGGCATGTCCAACCATTCAGTGCAGAGAGGAATGGCCGGCAGCATGATGTCATGGTGCACGTAGAGATTGGCGTCCTGATCCTCGTAGACGTAGACCTCAAGATGCGCGACTTCATCCTCCACCTTGCCCGCAAGTACCAAGTTATCAGTTGGAAGAATCTGCAGTTCCTCTCTCTCTTCATCATCCTCCTCCGGTGGCATCACCAGGTACGGATCCTCCTCGTTAGGCTGGTGGTAAGCAAGCGACTTGACATTGCCGAACATGGTAGTCTTCTCGCCATCCTCATCGACCTCATCACTGTCGTAATGGTCGAGATCATATTCCTTCAAGTCGTCGTCGCTATAGCTAGGTCAGCTTGAACCATCCAATCAAACCCACGCAGGCCGAAGAACATCCAGACATACTCAGCAGTGGCCGCCTCGGTCTTCTTCCCCGAATCCTCCTCCATCACATCCTTCTTGTCATCCTCCTCCATAGCCTCATCATCATCGCCCTCATCCTCGTCCCCATCCTGAGCAGCCTTCAGATCACTCTGAGCATCCTCAAGCTGCATCTTCGCGAGAGTCGATATCCGATTCATCTCCTCTTCATCAATCTCATACTTAGTCGGCATCTGGGCAGCGACACCCCGTCGCACCCAGGAGGTAGTTGTAATCATAGAAGACATCGTGAAAAGGCAATTATAAAGAAAACAGAATCCAAAATCGTCAAACTTTTTAAGGTCGTAAGGAGGCAATCAAATCTATTCAATATAGAAAATATTCAAAAACTTTTTCTTTTTAAATTCCGTAAAAAAAAAAGAAGTATCATTGAAATTGACCTGATCAAACCAGTGTCAATATAATCCACAAGAAAAGAGTCTTGCGGATTGCGATAGTTTAATAGATCGCCAACGCCGGTTGCTTTTTTTTTTTTTTTTTTGATGGCCCCTCAGTTTCCGCCCGGCAGAATTTCATCCATAGCTTCACCGCCCGGGATTTGGATTCGGAGATTTCTCGTATGCGCCGCTTTGGGGATATTGATTATCTATAATTCTACGTCCGGTTTACTTTGCAACTTTGAATTGAAATCAAAACTTCTCTCATATTTAGAAAGCCACGGAAGAAAACCACGTCCAAGATGCATTCCCACCTCCACACACCTTACAATGCCAGTCCGTCACTTCCATTTCCTTTACACGACTAAACTCCAAACTAACGTTTACTTAAAAACGACAGACTGCGAAGCAATTATGACAGCGTTAGACGAATGCCACGCCAAGGGCTTTCTGCACAAGGCCTTCGGAAACTGCAACGATATCAAGCGCGACGTGAACAAGTGTCTGGCCGCGGAGCGCTACGAGCGGGCCAAGCGGAACCGTGATGCGGCGAGGGAGAACCGGAAGCGAATTGAGAAGATCTGGGCGGATGAGAAAGCTTTTGAGCAGGGATTCTCGTCTGCGCCTTCGAGTGTTGGCGCTGAGAAGAAGGATTAGGTTGGTTGGTTTGTTGGTGATGGTGTGGGGTTGTATTGTATGCTGATTCATTGATTGATTGCATTGTTGTATTGGGTGGCTGGATGGCGTTTGGGATCTTCTCTTCTCTTCTTTGTTCTTTCTTTCTTTTTTTCTCTCTTTTGGGTCTATGAGTGAGTGTATGATTAGATGGGGGGTGTGGACTATGCTCGGGATGAATGGATGGATTTACATCGACTGTGTTCATTGGAATATACACTGGGTTAAACTGATGTAATTGTCTTTTGCCCAACCGGAACGCCATACCATGAATAACAATATCTTTTTCATCAAGCAAGCACACAGATGGAAACTGCTCACTCCTCTGTCGTAACAGCAGGAGCCGCATCGCCTCCATCCTCGCCCTCACTCTTAGCACCGCGATTATGATGACGTCTCCTCCGCTTCGCCTTGGGCGCAGAATCACCATCTTCCGTCCTCTCTGCAGACTCCTTGCCTTCTCCATCCTCCGTAGCCTGCCTCTTCTTCGCAGGTCCAGCCGACTCAGTACCCCTCTTCTTCGGCTTCTTAACACTCAACGGATTCGGGCCCTTCACCTTCTTAAATCCCTTCTTCTTCTTCTCCCCCTCCCCACCCCTCTTCGGGACCGCATCATCATTCAACCCAGCCCTGAACTTCCCACTCTCATATCCATCCCTCAACTCCTCACTCAACGAACTCATCGGCTCTAAAACCATAACAGACCGCTTCACATAAACAATCGGCACACCAGGAATAGCCCGCGCAGCGCTCCTAAACATCCTTGACTTTCTCAGCGCAACCTCAGCCTCATCGACACCCCGCTTCCGCTTCTTGTCGTTCTGCGGTGCAGCCTTGGGCGTCGCCGGGTCAGCCGTAGCGAGGATATAATGCTCCTTATTCCGCTTGACGTCTGCAGAAGGCGAAAGAAGAGAAAGCAAGCACTCTGCTTCGTCGATTGGGGTGTTGTCTTCGTTGTGGGAGCAGTGGCGCAATGGGAGGACGGTGGGCGGGGGAAGTTGTGCGGGACGGACGGGGTTGTTGGTGCGGGGATTGATGGGTTGGTTGGCCATGATGGCTGCTAGGGAGCATTTTGTGAGGACTAGATATCGTGTCTTGTTAGTAATTATCTTGGGAACAAGACCCGGGGTGTTGGTCTTTTTGGTTTGGTAGGTGGGTTGTGGTTGAGACGTACGAGGCTTGACTTTGCCTTGCAGTGTGCGCTCGAGGTAAGGGAGTAGCTCCATCTTAAATGAGTGTACGGCGTTAAGGAAGTTTGAGTCCACTATGTTGATTTGTTAGGTGACTTTCTTTGATTCTGGGATGCGCTTGGTTGCGGCTTACGTAGGACTTGGTATGGTTCGCGGAAGCCGAATGCAAGCTCATATTGGTGCATGAGCTTGCGGTACTTCTTTGAGCGTTTGGCCCTCATTTTCGCGGGTAAGTGGCGATGAGGGTATTAGAAATGAGGGTGTTGGGTGGGAGTTGTGTTGGTGATTTGCGTCGATCGATTTTCTTAGATCGAAACTTTTTTTCTGATTTTGCCGGGCGGAATGTTGCTGCTTTGGATGTGGTCCGTGCATTATCTAGATTTGGGGGAGTTTTCACGATATTCTAACAAAATTGATAGATTTGAAATATTGAGCGAATATGAGTATTGAAAAAAAGAGAAAATAATAATAATAATAATAAAATAAAAAAAAAATAGGAAAGGAAAGGAAGGAAAAAGATGGCAGTATTGTCTAATTACATAGATCGTAGGTTCAAAATATCTTTACCATATGCAAATCATTCCCCACCAGTTATTGACTTGCGATGGTCAATGTGCATCTGTCCATAACCTCGTGTCTTTGGCATGAATGTGCATGCCTTCTATATTAATGCTTTTATTCTCGAGTGCGCAGTGCTTTGATGTTTGGGACGCTTGGTGTGACATGATACGGTTCGGCATTCAACCCCTAGGTGGGGTGGTAATGGGCAGCTCCCGGTTCCACTAACGTATTGTAGTTCAACCCTTTAGGAACCGATATATGGCGTCGGACGCGTCAGGATGAAGTCTGCAAGCGATATGTTTCTATATGTCACTTGGTCTTCTAGTTGAGGCTTCATAGCCTATTGCGTGCGTCCGGTTCAAGAAGCTCTCCTCTTGCAGGAACCGACCACCACGCTAATGTCATCCATTTTTCCTATTGCAAGTCAATCAGATGCTCACTATATGGCAAGGAGTCTACTTACCCCCCTCAATAGCAAGACCCTCTTCTATTGCCTTCTCCATAAATGGGCTCTCAGCGAACGGGTCCTGGGCAATGGCCAGCGCGGATTTCAGCAGCTCTCTCGCCACGAATACCATGCGTTCTTCTGCCAGTACCTCAGGAGGAGCCCACTCAAGGTCTGTATTGTCATGCCGTCCCTGGTTCCACTTCTTGATGCTCTCGAGCGTAATGGACAATATTTCATGTTCCCAAAGATTGTCTAGAACGCCGTCGGATACAGCAAGTACGAGATCATCCTCCTCCAAATCGACTTGTGACAGAACCGCATCCTTCCGTGGCGTATCCACGCTGTTGGTCCCCAGCTGCATGGGGCAGTCGAACCAATGCCATTGTTCCTTGGTCCGAAACAGGATCTTCTCCTCGCTTGGACGGATGACCAGCAACTTGCAATCGCCTATATTAGTCACGTAAAGTAAAGGCTTTTCCTTCCCCGTATCATCGCAGGTCCAATGTAAGATCGCAGTTACGGAGGTCGTTGTTCCGTACCACTCGCTAGGGGCGGTCGTTGCGTTGATGGTTTCTTCGTAAGCACGTTGAAGGAACTCGACCGGATCCAGCGGGGCATTACTATCAACTCGTCGTTCGACTTCTAGAGCCCAAAAATGTAGTAGTAGCCTGGACCAGAGTCTATCCGTGTATAAAAATGAGCATAACTCATCCTAAAAAACCAGAGAGTAAAGAAAAGAGGCACTCACCCAGCATGACCTCGTGGCTTGGTAGCCCATGCCCCTACACCATCGTCGACCCCGAGGAAATTATCTGCAACCAATACCGCATCGTCACCGTTGTTTAGGCCCCTGACTAGTTCGCCCTTGACGGATAATCTCTTATCCTGACTGTGGTAGTGGGTAGTCAACGGGTCGGAAAAGGACGAGGACGGCGGGGACAGGAACGGTGGGGGGAAGGGGCGCGAGGGCCGTTTGGCGCAGAGCGCATACCCCGTCTGGAAGCAGAATGGAGACTTCCTAGATCCGGAACTGGGGAACTGTGGAGGACGATCCGGGACAGGAGTGGTGATGCCGTAGGACGGCCAGGTAGCACGGTTATATCGTCGCACCCCGGTTCTGGGTCCTCTGAAGTTTGCGATCCACTGTGGATTTCGCGACAACGGAGATGAAAAAGAGGATATTAATACAGTCGCCGAAGTCGATACGGTTTTGGGCACCATGCCCGCTAGAACAGTTTTCTTTTCTGTGGTAGGGAGATAAAAGTTGCGCCGGAGTCTTGACTGACCCTCTCTCCGCGCACGATTTACCTAAGGAAGGAAATTTATTTTTCTTTTCTCTTCTTCCCGGTTTGCTGGGGCAATATCATGCTGGGATCTAACGATAGTAGCGGTGGAATGATCGACGTTTTTTTTAGATCACAGGGTTACGTTCATTGAGCCAGTGAACATTTAGACGCATGGCATGCTGTGACTAATAATTATAACCCTTCAAAATTATTTAGTTCTGTCAAAAGTTTGGTTTTCTGTTGGTGTTAGGGACGTATTTTATTTACTTACATGTTCCGAGTGTTACCGCGTACATTACATCCTCGGGCAAGGTACCGGTCAAGGTACAGCGCATCACAGTACAAGAATAGTATCTTTGGGGCAAATATGGGCCACTAAAGCAGCTTGTAGTTAGTTACATATCCCTGATCGTCCTCAACGAAGTCAAATCATGCTATGAGTCACCCTACGATCCCCTAATCCGTACGGAGTAGTAGAACCTGGCCTCATATCATCCCATATCCCCTCTTCTCCCCACCCTCCCCCAAATGAAACAATCAATGAGTATCATCCCATATCAGAACTTCGATCCTCACTCGAGGACTTCACCCCATTAGCTTTGAGAGGCGTTCGTCGCTGGGCTTCAATCTCACTGTCCACTAGTGAAAACGCACGGTCCAGCTCCAACGCGATTTCAATATCATCAATATCCCGTTTAATCAACGAAGCGCATTCGAATATCGCCTTTGCAAGACTGCCGCATCGGGTAGCGAAGTCGCGTGTTCCCGGAGCCTTGCGACGTTTCGCAAGCATTACCTGCATCATACGGTCTGCGCAGGGACAGGGGCGTTCAGGATCCGAAGTGCATTCCCAGGAGCAGATGCACGATGAGCGACAGATGCATTTTCTCTCCATCATGTAATCACTCGGGCGACGTCTCTCGTCCACACGCCTAACATCTCCGATGCCTTTGCCTTCCATCTTGGCTAAGGCCGACTGGCGGTGGTCCCTGACGAGCTCACGCTCCCAAAGTTCCGGATCGACACTCTCGCGGTCAACGAATGGAAGATCGGAACCAGTGACTAACAACACAGCCTCCGGTTTGGGTATGAAAGAAAGGTACTTCTCAGATTGAACTGTGAGGATCTCCTCCGGCGGTATCTGATATAAGAACGTGTCGTGGTTCCACTTCGAACGAAACTCAGACGAGACGTCGCTCACAATCCCCATAGTGTAACGGCGGTATCCGAGTAGGTCGTCGAGGAAAAATCCTGTGCCAATCGCCCTCTCCATGGCGCGGCGGATGAATTCATCCTGATGAAATTTGATAAGATCCTCATTGACATGGTTGCAGACGGTTGGGGCTTCGAGGGTGTCTTTGCAGTGCGCAAGGATCTTCAACAAATGTTCGGGCTCTGGGAGAGTAAACTCATCCTTGCGGGATGTGCGTCGGAGTTCCAAGTTGAAGTAAGTCGATAAGTCGACGTTCGCAATCTCCATTATCAGTCTCGCATATACGGAATAATAAAGACTTTCCACGGCCTCAATAAGATCAGTAATCGAATCGGATGTCACAATTTCTTCCGCACGTCTAATATGGACCGGAACGCTGTCAGGAATGTCTTCTACCTATGATCGCAGTTAGTTCAGATACCGCGACACAGGATAGCACATTGATCTCCGAGCGCACGGCCACGTACCTCGATTCCATAGGACTTGAGAATTGTGACGAGGATCTTGGCGACGGTGTAGACTTTAGAAAAGACCGACAGCACACTGTGGAGCCAGTCGGACGCATCGTCATCAATTGCATCTTCGAGGGCCCTGACAGCTTCAGAAAATATGTTCCACTCGGGAGAACTAATAGTATAGGGAAGGGCAGGGCGCGGAATTGGCGCCATGAGCTTTTGCCTTGTCAGTTCCAACACAATAAGTCGAGTTTCAGGGCTGTTGACGTACAGCAGATGAATATGATGCCTCTGTGCTATCGGACTGGCGAAATAGTAAAGCATCTCGTCGCCTGTTTTCTTGCTCCAACAGAGCCTGGGAGTACATGTAAAAGCCATCAGTGTGCTCGCTGGTAGTGGATGACTCGAATGACAGAAAAGTATTACGCTCATCCGGTCTCAATCGCGATGCTCGCCTGGGGAAGATCTTGTTCAAAGCAGAGTCCCAGAAATGGGATGCAGACCTGTATCTCTTCATACTGGCGACTCGGTATTCTGAGCAGGGTTCATTTGACAGTACATCAACGTGAGGATAGGTTTAAAGATAATCATTCGAAGATGAGATGAGAAAGCATCCAGAAGCGGTGGGAGGAAAGATGTGGAGTGAAGGGATCCATACTCCAGACGGTGAATGAATGTTTCAAACATTGTCGCTGGAGAGGGAGAGATAGTGGCTGGTGTTACTGTCCAGTTGGAGGGGTGAAAGCGTGAATACGGAGGGTGTGTCAGAGAAAAAAGATAACAGCTTGAATCCAGGTTCTGTGTTTGTTCTTGTATGTATCTTGTGGTGCTCAGCTTTTGCTTCCATATCTGCTCTTTCTAGGATGTATAGGTAGGAACTGAAGATGAGACTTGAATTTTCTAATCTTTGCGATATCCATGGAAGTCGAGAATCCCAAGCCGCCTCTATGAAACAAACAATACCATTGTCTACTGATAGATGTTTGCCATCTCACCAACATTGGTCCCCAGTTGTGCAACACAGCAGGACGATCCACAACCCATAGGATCTTTACGAAAGTAGTACACATTACAGAGACTCCAACGCACATCATACATTCTTAACTATGCTGCTGTGTCTCCATAGACTGATTGGATAACAGACCACTATGTAGTTGTCAATAGGACTACATATCTATGAACTCCCATGAGTTTCAGCCCGTGTAACGACTAGACATAGCGCCTACGAGTGTGGAGGCTGCCACGTAGCCCATAGTTTACAACTGCTCAAGGTCAACACAAAGGTTTCAGTACTGAACTTTATGCCCTGATGTATGACGATAATAGCTGCGTACATGCGAAGAAATTGGAAGCATTGATTACATTAGGGTAAAGATAAGAACAATTTTATCTATCAATCGTCAAAAACCATGATATCGCTAAATGAAACGCCGTGGTTCTGTGTGACCATGAATGCAACAACTCCGGGAGATGAATGCTAAGGGAGAAGTGGGTATGTATGAATAGATGGGAGGAAAAGGAAGGAAGGAAGATGAGAAAAGATGTCATCACGTCGTAAAGGTCACAATCAGACAGATAAGTTGCAAAACTATAAAAAGGTAGGGTCAACCTCGATTGGGGTATCCTCTTCATAGTTATAGAATGGCAACGTAATATCTGGGATTTTCCAGATCAGCTTGTTCGCCCTTTCAACATACTCAGACGGTAGATTCATGCATTTGCTGAAAGAGAGGGACTTCAGGAGCCATGTGCTGTTAGCCTCCTATTGCAACTGCTATTCATGGGGATGAACTTGACACTCACTTTCAGATTCCTCAGGCCTCTCACCCATTCAAGGCCACTATCACAAACTTCATCTGCAAAATCTTCATGGTCATCAACAGGATGTGTGAGGATCTCGTGGCAGTTCTCCAACCAGAGAACCTCGAGTCTATCCCCCGGTGCATATCCGTTATCCGTTTCTGCCGGGTCATCCGGATCTTGTTCCATACCTCCCAGCCAATTCAAGAAATCTGGCTGTGCACCATGGCAGGTTTTCAACTTCAACACCGTAAGATTAGGGTTCTTCTTCACAAGCATTGTCAACTGCCACGGCGTGATACCGGAGCGCTCCAGTATCAAGGTCTGCAATCCAGAAATTCCAACATGCTTGTACTTTCCTATTCCAACGAGAGGGTTCCACGCAGCGCTGCATGGAGCGGGATATCGCCAGGTGCTCGGCTTGATATGGCCATCTCTGATGTGTTGATGTTCAAAGCGAAGTGCAAGGTGACGCAACCCATACTGGCATCTAGTACCTAGTGCCATTGCGCTCTCGATGTCGATATCGTACGCCATAAACTCGAGCTTGACGAGTGATGGCCCGTAGCGGCTCACTACTCTAGAAAATATCCTGTTCTGGGTTCGAACTATGTGTTCCTGCATTACCGACGGATCCGTCGGGCATCGGAGTTTTGCATCCCTCGTTTTACTTAGATGTTTGGAAGACGGCGCCTGTTTTACCGGCTTGACTTTCGGCCGGATAATGGAGATAGTGTAATCTGACCCGGTCTCTCTTTCGATAGGAAAGGCCTCCCCAAGTTTTTCGCCCACTTGATCTGCCTTAATCCAGCCCGCCTGGAGACAAGATATTATGGAATGGGTTCGCTTCTCGAAGACCCCCAACCGTAGACATCGGAGACAGAGAATGTGCGATCGGTGATTAGTGCGACACGTCTCCCCAAAAGCAAGCACTGACTCAAAAGGCAGGTACGAAAGAATCTGAAGGATTATCTCCAAGGGGAGAGAACTGAGTCTGTCAGACATGGTGGGCTTGTACGATGACTTCCGGATACCTGGGTATGACTCGGGCGCTTGTTCTTTTAGATGATACGAAGCATTAGTCACTTAACCTCTGTTGATCCTAGGGGTATCCTAGCAGTGAAAGGGGGGAAAGGGATTAAAGATTAGAGAAGGAAAGAAAGTCTGGGAGGAAGATTCGCAAGGCTGCGTTAGTCAACGAAACGAGTGTTCGAACATCGCAAAGAGGTCAACGATGGAAATGACGCGGGCTATAGTAGTTATTATGTGAGTACAAAGCCAGTAAGTGAAGCAGGCATGATCTGTCAAATGCCTCAGGGTGAAAAGATATCAATTCCCTATCATCATATGCTTTCAAGGGATAAGAGCTTTCTAATTGGCAAGACAGAGGCGTTGCAAGAGAAAAAATTAGAATGTAGGATATAACAAAAGGGAAGAAACGTACATAAAGGATCGTACGGAGTACATATATTGAATTATGTTAAGTCAGGTATCTCCGAAAGGCAAAAGGAAATCAAGAAACCCTTGGAGACATCAATGTTCATCATGGCTCCAGAGAAAAAAAAATGCAACTTACAGGTCAACCAATGGTTGTATAGCCCGATTGGTACAACTGAATATGCCGAGTTGTGATATTTCTTGTCATTCCAAGAGCAGAATCTAGTAAAGCGCAGTGCCGTCCATGCAGGGAAGAAAGTTTGATATGAGGTAGCACAAACTTGAGGGAAGTAAGCCCGAAGAGTGAATGCGCGGTGGATCAACTTCAGGTTAAGTGATGTCAAGTAGCTGCTGGGCATTGGAATCCATAGGGATAAATTGTCCCCAGTCAATGGTGACCGCTCTCTGCTCCGTACTGTAGGCACTTCTTACTGATGGGCTAGCCACATGAACTCCCAATTTGGCCGCATACCGCGATCGACTTTCCAAACCCCTGCGATGTCATTCACTTCCCACGGGTGGAAACAACCCCTCAAAGGTCGGGAAGGAAGTAAATATGCGGAGACAGCAAATTTTGGGGCAAAGAAATTCCTAGAAGGTGATCATTGGGTGCCACCAAAATCGTTCGTGGTAGTTTGCGTGCTGGATAGTAAACACCGCATGAATCAGTGGACGTACAGGAGACTCTTTAAGAGGCAGAGTAACATCCTGCGAGCCTCGAGGTGGTAATTTTGATTTATTTTCTTAGTTTCTTTTTCCGTTCCCCGCTAGACCCATAAATCTTTTCAAAAAGATATTATTTCTTTCCTTTTTCCTTTGCTTTCTTAATTAAAAAATATACTTTTTCCGTAAGCTTCTTGAGGCGCCAAGAAGAGTCGATCCTGACTGTCGGAATTAGAAAAAGCAATTATGATGTGCTATTGTTTTTTTTCCAACTGCATAGAGCCTTTGTAATAGATTACCAGAAGGTTCGAGCCAGCCGCGTTAAGAAATCACCTTGTCCTCCAGAACCACAAGCATTCTGGAGTTGAACAGAGCTATGCTGCTCTAGGGAAAAGGATGTATCCGCCGTTCAGCCCTCCTTGCAGCGGGGGAGGTGACACACTACCAGATCCCCGGTACCATCGATCCAATTGAGACCTCAGAGCTTATCCGATATAGTAAGACGGGGTGATCATTCTGCGTATTCACAATGCACTAGCCTGTCGTACCGCCAGGGGGGGTGGTGGTTTCACTTCCCCAATTTTCGGACATCCCGACGATCCGTTATTGGCCCCCAAGAGACCCTTGCTTTTTTTTTTCTAGCTGAAAAGAGGTCCGAACTGATTGCACCAGTTCTGTGGTTAGTGACACCGAGGGTTCGGTCACTGCAGTGACACGAGTCATGCCCCGCGTTCTCGTCGAATCCCAAGGCTCCGTAAAGTTCAGTGCTCCATGCAAGTTCTCCTCGAGGGAAGGGTTGGAAAGTCAAAAAGGTCACAAAGAAGGAAATCGAAGGGACAGAGCATTGAGACGAACGTTACCGGCTGGGTGGTTTCTGTTTGTTTGTTGGGGGCCTAGGGCAGAGATGGACGGCGGTGAAGAAGTGATACATCACAATGGGCCAATACCCACGGCAATTTTACCAGTCGAGACACGTACTCTCTTCATAATCCTCTTTTCACTGTAAGTTTCATTGCTTTTTCCTTCTTCTGTCGGGATTTGGGTCTCACCGTGGATCATCTCCCATCTATGCAGATCTCATTAATCATCTATGTCCATCAGACAAGTCCACGATCCTACCCGCAATAGCTTCCATATGCGATTTGCAGGGGTACAATCGATATTGACATAGTTTCACTTCACGGGTGTTGCCTGTCCGGCACATTTTGATTAGATCGGACGGCAATTTGCAGGAGTCTTGTCCTTGGCCGAATGAAGAACAAGCACTATGTGTAACAATTTTGATATTAACGTGAGTGGAATGACAGCTGACTGAGAAGAGTCTAAGTAAGAAGATTGTCTCTTCCTTTCCAAGTCTTTGGGTCGTCTATATACATTCATGGTTTTGCATAGAAATGGAACAGTCAATCGCCTAATGGCAACGACCATTATCGCCACAACCCTTCTTAATCACCTCCGGAGCCTGCGATGTATCTAGCCTGCAGAAGCAAGATGCCTTGATTGGGACATCTGCCACAGCCAGCGCCAGCTTTAGTGTAGGCTCGATCATGGCCGCCTGTTCCATTTTTCCCAACCGCACCAAGCATTCATGATAGCCTTGAAGAGACCAGACATTGTTCGGATGCCGTCGGGGCCGGATAAGAGTACTATCCAACCCAAGGTCCGCCCGATATACATTCTCTGCGTTCTCGATTTGGCCCTGTTCCAACATAAGGGCAGCGTAGGCATGCCGAGTAGGCTGCATCCAGGCCCAGGGTTCACTGTACGGAAGTCTATCATCCAGCTCGATCGATTTGCGCAGACTGTCGAACGCCTGGTCATACTCCCCACGACGATATTCAATTTCTCCGTCGAGCATGGCGGACGCCACAGCCAGGAGATCGGAGCACTTGCTGTTATATGCGCGTCGAGTCTCCGGGACTCGTGTCCGAGCCTTTTGGAATAATTCCCGCTCTTGCTCTGCTTCACCAACTCGCCCCGTCGCTGCATATGCGACTCCCTTCGCATAATGAACCATGGCCGTCTTTACCGTGTATAACTCTTGGTCATAGGGCAATTCCATCTGAATAATCTCTTGCCACATCCCAAATCGTACCATGACATGCACGCGCACGGTCATGAAATTCTCCAGCCAGTCCGCCATGGGAGGAGACTTCATGCGAAGCACCTCCTCTGGAACAGACGCCTCCATACGAGCAACAGTATCCATAGCAGTCTTGAGTTTTCCAGCGAACATAGCGGCATAGATCAGCGAGTGGTAATCATGAAGACGGTAGAATGTGTAGAAATTGACGGCCCCTGCGCGACGCAGGAATTTGTCGTCCGCGAGGGTTGAGTTGTAATTCGACGCAATGGAACGGCGCCAATCCCCAACCAAGATATCCAGATGAGTAGGCATATGGTGCAAGTGACCAGCATCCGGAACTAGGTCACGTAAATGGTCGCCCGCATTCATGCCCAACTCAGGGGTGGGAGACATCTCGATATAATGGATGTACAGATGCAGAAGGCCGGGATGTTGATAAGCACCGTCTTGCTCTAATGCCCGTTCTAGCACCCGCTGTACGTCTGCTGTCGGGGCACCCTTGACAGGCTGGCCGGTAAATAGATCCCACAGAGCCCAGGGGGTCAGATTCATCAGCGCATCCGCATATAGCACTGCGATATCAAGATCACTGCCGTACTTCTCGTACGCCGATTTCATGGCAGCAGCGTATTCTGCGCTTGGTGCCGAGTAGTCGGCCAACGGGGTTTCACTCGGGTAGCGCAATGTAATGGCGTCGGCAAGTGCCTGCTCCCAGGGCGCGGCATGGACTGATAATTCCTTTGCCCGTCGCGCTGCGGCAAAGGCACATTTTAAGCAAACAGCTAAGTCTTGCGGGTCAAACCGATCCCAGCCTTTATTGTAATTGGGCCCCAGCGCATACGCCAATCCCCAGTGAGCCATTGTACTTAAAGGATCATGGCCAATTGCCTGTTCAAAGCAGTAGGCACCTTCGATATGATTAAAGGCATAACACCAGGTCAAACCACGGTTGAACCATGTTTGTGCATCTGAGCTGGTCGTGGTGATGGTGTGCCCAAACGATCCAAGATCATAATATTCGGCGCTTGCCGGTACAGCAGGAGAATTTTCGACAGAGCCCATTATGATTCGACGATGAAGAGGATGAAGGGGATAGAAGAAACGAAGGCAAGGGATCCACTGTGCAACAAGATAGAAGAGGAGGGGAGAGGAGAAACTTCGGGGCCTTTTATAGCAGCGCCAGACCCTACCCTGCATCGTCATACCACATCCCGCTTATATATGCAGATTGGCGACATATTTCTCGAGCCCATAAATCGGTGTTTGGTTCGATACGGAGTCAGGTAATAGATATGATTCGTTATGATCTCGAACTAACCATAACCCTAAGTCCGTGGATCCACACTTAACTTCAATCGCCGACTATTGAGTCAATGGAACCATCATGACTAAGTCCAACTAATAACAACTATTGATATGTTGGGCATAACTCTCTTATGGCCGTCTACTATAGTACATCGAAATTACACTTTGGCATTTTGTTCAGAAGGATGCAATATTCACGCACGGTCTAACTATATACCCCCTCTGCTATAGTCATGTTTGCCTAGCCCTAATTCTCGCTATAATACACATGCTCTCGACGCAAATGATTCACACTTGCTGTACTGACTGGTCTGCTCGGTCCCAGTTCAGAGCAAGGTAGCAAAGCAGACCCCTTCAATTTCCCGTACCATACCAATCACGCCCTCAAAAGCAACATCCGCTTTCATAGACGCACTCAATGATTCGAGACCATGCCATAGCTCCTCAACCAACCGCTCGGCATCTTGCACCTCCGTGCCAGGCTCAGGCTGGCTCAATAGGTGATAACACGCCTGCAAGTCTCCCGAAGATAATGAGGTGCGAACCCTTCGCAGGAGCATTGTGAGAGCATAGAAACTTTGCATCTGGCAGCAGGCCATATACGGAAGCGATCGAGGACAGAATCGAGGCGCGGAGGATCCGGGTAATGCCTCGTTATCGGAAGGTGCATCGGTATAGTATAGATTTGGTGGTGTTAGGTGGCGGAAAACTCTGGACACGGTGAGTGATGATTTCAGGCATATAGCGGCGGATTCCTGCTCGGTGAAGGGGAATGTCGAGTTGATTTTGGTTAACCGACTCGGGGAAACGGGGTGTGAGGTGTTAAGGAAGTCGATACGGTTGATTGAGGTGAGACCGCAGTGTTCGCCTAGGAATAAGGGGTGATCTAAGAAAGCCCTGAAACGATGCAATCTTATCCGAGCGCTAATCAAAATGAATTAGTATGACAATTGTTTGCATTGATGAAAAATCATATGTCTGTGGACTAGATGGGTAAGAATTTCACCTGTGAATTATGGCACTTGTGATTGCCCATAGGTTTCGAGGAGCGAAACATTCAGCCCCTTGCCGGTTTGTTACACATCGATATCGATCGGACTCAGCGGCGAGTGACGATATCAGAGAGTCAAGCTCACGAATACGATCAAGTAGGGTGGGGGATCGACTAGATTTACTGTCCTCTTTCTCGAGCTCCTTTGCTAGGTTGCTTGTCCGGAGGAGTGTATCTTGTGCTTTTGCCAATAATGGCCAGGGCTGGTGTACGTGTAAGTCGAGTATCAGGGACAATAGCCAAAAGGGGGGGGGGGGGGGGCATACTTCAAGACAGCCACGGAATACTGGGTACGGTGTGCTGATCCGAGGGTCATCGATGAGGATGATAGGGCACTGGCTTGAGTTAGCTGAAGTGTTAATAAAGGGTGAAGATGAGTCAGTTTCCATGCCCATGTAACTTACCGAATTATTGAGGATCGAAGAATGATAACTGAGAAACATCTGTACCAAGCAATCAGTCTGTGGGTAGGGTAACCGGATGTCAGGGCGGGTAGAATTACCGTCATCCACCAGGCTCGACTTTGCGCATCCGAACAGCCCGACTCGTCAAGGTCGGCAGTGTGCATTGACAGATCCACAGCGGTTGTCAGCGCCTGGTTGGCTCGAGCGCGCATCTTCGACAAGTTGCCCCGCTGGCAAAGCTCGTACATGCCGAGCAATACAAGAGCCAAGATCGACTCCAGCTTCCGGGGGAGATCAGGGTGCAACGAACTCCACCGGGTCGGGCCCTCAACTGTCCTACTAGTGAGATGCGTTGCCGGCTCGGGAAGATCAATCCAATTTTCAATGCTGCTCATTGCCGCATGTGCATAGAGTTCGGCGTATGACTGACGCGCATTGACTGCAGCTTCAGACATGGGATGTGGATCTTCTGGCAAAGGAAACAGGACGAGGATCGCGGACAAAGCCAACGCAAAGGGTGACGTTGGCCAGTAAGGCAAGGATTCATGATCCGCTTGAACGGTTCGCAGCGAGATCGCAAATGGGCGGTCCTCATATTGAGCAACCGCCGGTGGGGGCAACACCGGAAAATAGGGGTGGATAAAGACATAATAGGCGTTGACCCTGGTAGCACAGGGCACTGTATCAGTTGTGGCCAGATCATAAACCATGTGTGGAAAGTTTCGGCTTCAACGTACAGATCTGCCTCACATCCATATGCTCTTATTGTGAGTGACCCCAGCTGGAAAGCAGGAATACTGTTTTCATCCGATGCGAGATCACCGGCAGATAAACCTCTGACATTCTGGATGCTGGCGAATGCATAAGGAAGACCTTGGGTTTCTACTGGGCCCGATGGCACGGAGGGGGATGGCGTATTGATTTCAGCAATGGCACGCTTCCTTGTCTTGAATGCGTTCCCTTTGCGCGCCCCGCCTCGTCGACTAGGGCGATAGCGGCACTCCCGGCGATTGTTATAACACTGTTATTCTCTACGTTAAGTCTGTCGAAAAAGTGAGTGCGATCCCCCTTACATTGGTGCAAGGATTCTGCCCATCACAACGGGTCTTGATGGCACGGCTATACAAATCGTCAGTCCAATTAAGATAGATGAAAATAGCAAGATCAACATTGGTTGACCCACCATGGCAGACATGCCAGTTTCACAGGGGCCTTTATCGATAGCATCGGAATTTTGATCCACGTGTGTAGCCTCCTCCCTTGCGTATAGCAGCAGCAGCTTTTATTCTCAGGACTTGAAAAGCCCAATCCCCACCTATCGTTTGAGTTTCTACTGAGCGGGACCGCGCAGTCGCCGATGGTGGGGCATGTCAGAGTCAAGGTGGAGAAATGAATGATCTTATTCCTGAGACTGTGATTTTGTTAGAAAAGAGTACGTTAGCTAAGATACAACGACTTACAGACTCTCCACCACTTTCTCCACTTCCACACCCACTGTGAACCCTAACTTCGGCGACCCGGTCTTTGATCGACTTGGCGTGAAGTCAAACGCCGGCTTCCCAACGCCACCCAACGATGTTATTACTAGTAGTCGTCCATAGCTCACTGAGGCAACTATAGTTAGAATGTATGTATTTCTAAGCCTGCTATAGTGTGATTTCCTTTTTGGGTTATCGGCTTGTACTTGTGACTTGGATATATTACTATAATGCTTCTTCAGCGGTTCCTCGGATACAAAATATATACAGTACATACTACTTACTACTAGCGACTACCAGTATCTTCCTTCAGTGATAAATCCATGCAGACGCCTTCATGAAGTCAAGAATAGGGAAGAACAACGAAAGTACAATTAATTGCAAATTACAACTACACGTTCACCCTCATCATACACGCCTTGACCCTCACCACCACTAACACTCCAAAAAGAAAACAATGTCAAACATCCGCCAACTCAAACGAGCCCTACCCTGGGTTCAAACCCCAATAATCATTAACGCCCCAATGAGTGGCGCCGCAACCAGCGACCTCGCAGTAGCCGTCACCCGCGCAGGCGGACTAGGACAGATCGGGTTCCTGGACAGCAAGCGCTCCCTAGCAGGGCAGCTCGAACGAGTCAAACATGAACTACAAGATATCACGAACACATACAAAGATGCCCCGGAGCCTGTACTTCCCGTCGGCGTGGGGATGATAGTCTTCGGTTCCCCGGTTGCGTATTGGCTTTCGCTGTTTTCCAAGTACAAACCGGCGGTGGTCTGGTTGTCGTTCGCTACTACAGACGAATTCAAGGTCTGGACGGAGGAGATCCGGAAGGCATCACCACACACCCAGATCTGGATTCAAGTAGGCAGTGTGAGTGCCGCGGTGGAAGCTGCTCAAGCTTGTCGCCCGGATGCCCTGGTGCTCCAGGGGAGTGATGCCGGTGGACATGGACATGCGCTTGGAGCGAGTGTTATCTCGCTGTTACCTGAAGTGGCGGATGTGTTGCGGGATCGGGGTATTGATGATGTCTCACTCATTGCGGCTGGGGGTATTATGGATGGGAGAGGTGTTGCTGCTGCGATCATGCTCGGTGCTGCCGGGGTAGTGATGGGGACGCGGTTTCTCGGGGCTGAAGAGACCGAGTTGCCGCATCAGTTTCGGGAAGCGGTTTTTGATGCTTCGGATGGTGGACAAGCTACCGTGAGATCGAGGGTCTTTGATGAAATGTGGGGACCTAGCCCTTGGCCGGAGTTGTACGATGGGCGATGCTTGAGGAATAGTAGTTATGACTATGTCAAGAGAGGGATGAGTATGAGTGACATGCGGATACAGTTATACCGGGAACTCAAGGAAGCTCGGGGCCAGCAGCTCGATTTCAAGGAAACTGTCACAGTTTGGGCTGGCACTGGTGTAGGTATGGTTAAGAAGAGCGAGAGGGCGGCTGATATCGTTCAGCAAGTGCGGTCTGAGGCACGGAGAAGACTGCAGGATGCAAGTTCTTGGCTCTAGTAGACAAGACTATTTTATACTCCCCTCGCTATGCACACCATTGCACGATGATTCTTTAGAGTACCAAGTCGATGCTAGGATGCTGTAGATGACACGCCCAAGACCATAATGCCATTATCAGCTTTCACAAATCCTGTAGGCAGCTAGCCATTCTGCTAGAGAGATAGCTGTTGTTTACCCTGCCCCACCCACATTTATCAATCATTGATGGCTGTGCAGCCTGGTGAGCCTTGACCACTTATCATCATTCTAGATCGTTTCTTGGGTGAGTAGCCTCTTCGAAGGATTCCGCGAGAAAAGTACAGAGGTTAACTGGGTAAAAGGTGGAATAAGGTACCGCTGCTATGTTTCGGTTGATGATGTCAACAACATTGATTGATGCTTGCAAAGCATTCAATAGTAGATCAAAAATAGGGCTGTCTGGTAAGACGGACAAAAAAAAAAGGTCGTGCCCGGGTTCGAACCGGGGTTATTGGAAATTAATTTGATATCAAAATCCAAAGTGATAACCACTACACTACACAACCTGTGTATATATACTGTGTTATTATAAAGCGGCTATACGCTACTTTGGGTTTGCCTTGAGGTTGAGATGAACCGCTCTACCAGTCTTGGATATCAAATTAAATATAGAGAGTATTTTCCTTGTACAGAGTATAACGTGAAGTTATGAAGTGTTACTCAAAACACAAGTGTTCTGCTAATATACCACAAAAGATTTGAAAATCCACAACACAGGTTGTGTAGTGTAGTGGTTATCACTTTGGATTTTGATATCAAATTAATTTCCAATAACCCCGGTTCGAACCCGGGCACGACCTTTTTTTTTCTGGTCTTACCAGACAGCCCTACTCACGAATCAGCAGACTTCAGCTTATAATACCAATCATATTAGTATCTACTTGTAGTTAGTCAATCTTTTGTTATCTCCCATTAAGGGTGATGAAGCAATCGGTCAGCAAGAGGTCTGGAAGTGTTGAGACTGAGCACCGTCACGAGGTTGCCATTCCTCTGCCGGAAGAATGAATTCTAATCAACATTCATGCCGCAAAATCAAGATATAGGTAACTGACACCATGTCGATAGGGGAAGTATGTTTAAGAACCAGAGCTGGTGTAGTCCCAAAGTCAGAACCAATGATTCTAAGAGATTATGTCCTCCGTCACTGTTACATTTATTAGCTCCGATGCCGCAGGTGAAGTCGTCGAAGCAAGGCCCAAGTATCATGGGGTCGAAAAATGTCTCCGATTTCCATATCACCCACTTGCACGATTGCATTCAACACAGCCTTCCATGACCAAACCCCGTGTATGCAAGTCTCCTAATTGGGAGTAGGACGCATGTCTACTCTTCATCCAAAAGTTCAAGTACATTGTCGACTGCTGCATGAGCATAGTCTGACACAATGGGAGTTGATGGATCTATAGGATATGTATTTAAGGCAAACTTGCCGTTACTTACGAGTCAGATATTCCACAGTCGGTTGGGAATGGCGTACGCCACCACGCTTTTGGCAGCTCTCAGCGTGTACATGATCCCTGTTTCTGCCTGCGTCCATGTAGTACTACGGGAGCCGTGTTCGAGCTTGGTCAATGTGAAAGTATCTTCATCGGTGGGAAAAGAAGAACTTATGCCTTTGCAAGATAAAATGATTTTCAGGAGCAATCTTGCCATGGACATGAGCCACCATTGCCATCGTGCCGGAATACTCTCCGATCATCATTCAGACAAATTCGTAATCGGAAAGCAATTCTAGATAGCGAATAGGGTCTTTGCATATCTTTATCCCTTTCTATTGTCCGGTTCTCTTCAGACGCCGAGCGGACCCACCATCATCACATCGGCCTTTGAACGACAGCGAGCAGTCTATAGTTCAAATTCACGATACGCCAATAAATGATTATATTACTGACTCTTACCTTATTTCCGTAGTGTAGTAGCTGTATCTCGGACATAATATTTTAGGGCACTTAGCTGAGGGACTGTGCCGCAACTGTCGCCTACAAATACCATATATATGAGAACGCACGGGCGAAACTAGACGTGAATAACTCTCGACGTTGGATACATAAGCTACATAATTTCTCCTCTATCCTTGACAAACAGAATACCCTCAGCCAAACCTACTATCATCACCGAGAATGATGTCAACTGAACAGCCCGCTGTGCAACCCATCGCCTCAACCGCCGAGTATTACGATCTAGGATCCTTGAAACGTACAATCACTACCAAAAGCCCTGAAGCCCAGGAATGGTTCAACCGAGGCCTGATCTGGAGCTATTCTTTCAACCATGAAGAAGCCAAGCGCTGTTTCGAACAAGCTATTGCCCATGATCCATCCTGTGCTATGGCATTCTGGGGATTAGCCTACGCCACAGGTCCCAACTACAACAAATCCTGGCGACTTTTCGACCCCCGCGACCTCGCAGACAGCCTGAGAACATGCTACAATGCCTCCCGAAAAGCCAAGGAGTTACTGAACAACATAAGTGTGACCCCAGTAGAACGGGCCCTTATCAATGCAATCCAAGCTCGCTTTCCAGACGACCTTCCGGCCTCCTACGATTTCCCCACCGTGGATAAAGCCTACGCCAATGCCATGAAGAAAGTCTACCAATGCTTCGGAGACGATGACCTTGACGTAGTCACCCTCTACGCCGACGCATTGATGCACACAGCCCTTCGGAAGATGTTCCATGTACAAAGTGGTCTACCCATCGCAGGTTCACCCGTCTACGAAGTAAGAGCCGTGTTCGACCTGGGTCTACAACACCCCGGCGCGGACAACCACCCAGGCCTCATCCATTTCTGGATCCACTATCTAGAGATGTCTGCCACACCGGCTGTCGCCCTTCCCGCTGCTGACCGGCTACGTCATCTCGTCCCAGACGCCGGCCATATGCACCACATGCCCACACACCTTGACGTCCTGGTCGGCGACTACCGACGCTCCATAGACTCAAACACGGCTGCCATCCTCGCTGACGAGAAATATCTTGCTAATAATGGTGCAAACAACTTTTACAGTTTCTATCGCCTGCACAACTACCACTCCCTAGTCTACGCGGCCATGCTAGCAGGCCAGTCAAAAGTGGCTCTCAGGACCCTCGACCAAATGGAATCCTCACTCACAGATGAGGTGCTCCGTGTCAAGACCCCGCCACTAGCAGACTGGCTGGAATTCTTCAAAGCAGTCCGTATACATGTCTACATCCGCTTCGGACTCTGGGACGAGATCAAGAACCTCCCCCTCCCCCACGACCAAGACCTATACTGTGTAACCACCACAATGACCCACTACGGCAAGGGCATAGCCTGGGCCGCAACAGGCAATGTCCCTGAAGCTGACAAGGAGCGCGAGCTCTACCACGCGGCCGCGAAACGGGTCCCACCGACAAGAAAAGACTTTCCGAACCTGATTTCCGATGTACTGAAAGTAGCGACGGCTATGCTGGGCGGCGAAATCGAGTACAGACGAGGCAACTATGACCGTGCGTTTGAGTCTCTGCGCGAGGCTATTCATCACGACGATTCGCTGATGTATACCGAGCCGTGGGGGTGGATGCTTCCCACACGCCATGCGTATGCGGCTTTGATGTTGGAGCAAGGTCATGTAGAAGAGGCTGCTGCTGCTTATGCGCAGGATTTGGGACTGGATGATGCGCTTACGCGGGCTCATCAGCATCCGAATAATGTCTGGGCTTTGCATGGGTATCATGAGTGTTTGGTGAGGTTGGGGCGGAAGGCTGAGGCGAGGATTATCAAGCAGCAGCTTGATGTCGCTTTATCTGTTGCTGATATTCAGATCAAGTCGTCTTGCTTTTGTAGATTGGGTATTCCCGGCAAGAAGGAGGAGGTTCCGACATGTCATAGATAGTAAGTGTACGCCGATATCCTGCAGGGTGTATATGAATGCCAAGTTTGTGTATAAAGCATAAGCACTGAAAGTAGGGAATGGACTGCGTTGTGGATGCTTCAGAAGTAACCGTTGGGGCGGCAATTCTATGCACACATGTGAAGATATCGTAGGATGTATTCAGCTGTTATCTGCGTTTTGGATAATTGTACCCGTGGATATTTTACAGGCTAATGGAATGTCATATAGGTAGGTGAAGGGGTAATAGTAAAAAGTGTTTTGTTGCAGTCTATACATTCCGAATAAATCACATTGCGGCTTGCTGTTGCACCTCCGGCTCTGCCTAGAAACAAAATATACAATACGCCTAACTCTGGACCCGGAATGTCCGGCCACTGGCCGTCTTCCTTTCCCTCTCCTCGTTCTCTGGCCGAGCTCTGTTGAGGACTATTATCGGTCAGTATCCAGCAACTCAGCAACGGTATTTGGCCCCACTTACCCTGGAGGAAGTCGGCTGTCCTCTTGCGCATACGGGTATGGATGTATGCCTGTGAAAGTAAGTAAATAGTCCGACACTTGTACCGATAGCATGGGAAGGTACCTTGGAGGCCTTAATGTGGTAATGAAAGTAATCCCGGAAGATTTGAATGTGGGAGATGTTTTCGTAGCGGCGCTGAGGGGTCAAGTGACGGGGGAAGAGAACTGTATACTGTCAGTACTTGCGATAGTTGGGCAGAAACCGGGTGGATTACCGAAAGTAACGTAGCTGGTCTGGCCCTCGCCGCTATCCTTCAGGCCAGGCACACCGGCCAATTCAAGCGGAGGGTCATTTCGGAAAAGGACTTGAGGGGCATTTTGCAGAGTCAAGGCGCGGCGCCTGGCGTCGACAAACTCCTGGAGGAATACCTTGCCGAAGATACGATCTGTCTCTTCACGGAAGACTGTGCTGAAGATCACTGTAACTCGGTCATGGCTGGCTTTGATGTAGATAGCTTCCTCCTCCCGATAGTGGATTGCCATAACTTCTCCTCCCTCCTTAACACCCTGGGGGGCCGCCTCTGTGCTGTATTTTGAAGCTTCTTCCGATAGCTTGGCGAAATCATCGAAAGCTCTCTCGAACGGGGCAGCCATTGCATTCCGCTTCATCAGCGCAAGTCGCATTATGAGATCATCTCTGGCTTCCTGTTCCGCGGGGAGGTTCTCCAAGTCAATAAGGACCGAGAAGTCATAGCCGGGTTCGGGGGCGACGATGTATGGGCCGTATTCCCTCTCCAGCACCTGTTGGGCACCATATTGGACGAGCTCTCGGAAGCATTTCACGTTGATGGAGATAAGGATCTTAGTCTTAGATTCGGGGGTGGAAAGATGGAAGGTAACTCCGTCGAAGTCTGAGGCAATCTGGTCGATTGAAACTGGCGGGGCTCTAAAGGCACCAGCAAGCAGTAGTCAGTAACGGTTGCATTGCGTATACGGGGCGAGGCGGGGGCAGCTGTACCCTGAGAACCGCTCCGTCAGGAGGGCATGGATGAGAACGTTGTGGTAGTCGAGAAGAAGCATGGTGGCAGGACCATAAACCGTAGCAGAATATCTAAATTTTGTCTGACTCCTTCAGTTGTTTATTTAACCGTGGTAATGCAATGATTGAATCGAATGTCTCTGCCTCGAGCTGGTACTTCGGGGAGTAGTTACGTTGGATGTTTGGGGGGGAGGAACGGTAGGCGGTGGGGAATGCGGCCGGTGGTCTCTGTCGCCGCCCGTAGTTTTCTCCGGCGGTTTTTGAGCCTATCGATAGCAATCGCTCTGGAAGCTCCCAAATTTTTTTTGTACTTGGACAATCAACGATGGTGAAGTCATACCTGTAAGTGTGCTCGTTCAAATGTCCTATATACTACTCCGATCCATTACTGACACTTGTAAATACAGAAAGTTCGAGCATTCGAAAACTTTCGGGCTCGTAGCCTCCGCTACATCAAATGCGATTTGGGCCCGCGATGATGAGTTCGCTGGCTCTGCCCGCCAGACGGGCTCCGGACGAGCCATTGTGGGTGCCGGTGAGGAGGTTCTCTGTTGGGATATAAAGAAGGGTGAATTACTTGGGAAATGGCAAGATTCTTCGTGTAAAGCGCAAGTTTCTGTGGTCACTCAAAGCAAGACGGATGAGGATATTTTCGCGGTCGGGTATGTGTCTGGTTTCGAGCAAATAGTGCGGGCTATTGTACTGACTGAAGTTATTTCTTGCCCTTAGTTATGAAGATGGCACCATTCGCCTCTGGGATTCAAGAACCGCGACAGTAATGATCTCGTTCAATGGCCACAAATCTGCCATTACCCACCTCGCCTTCGATAGCGCCGGTGTCCGCCTCGCAAGTGGTTCGAAGGATACAGATATTATTCTCTGGGATCTTATTGGAGAAGTCGGATTATTCAAACTACGTGGTCATACCGATCAGGTCACGTCACTTCATTTTCTCGCTCCATCCATGGAGTTGCTCAATGCTGCTGGACTGAGTGAGCACGCCGGGTTTTTGTTAACAACTGGCAAAGACTCGCTGATTAAGGTTTGGGATCTTTCGTCCCAACATTGCATTGAAACCCATGTGGCACAATCCAACGGCGAGTGCTGGAGTTTGGGCCTTTCTCCCGACCAGAGTGGTTGTATCACCGCTGGAAATGACGGCGAACTCAAGGTCTGGTCGATCGATGAAAGCGCTCTAATCGAAATCTCCAAAGAGAAAGTTGGATCGGAGGACCGTAGGATTTTGACGGAAAGGGGCACTTTTTACCGTAATGGAAAGGACCGCACCATCGGCATCAGCTTCCATCCCCGGGCAGATTATATCGGTATTCACGGCTCAGAAAAGGCAGTCGAGATCTGGCGCATCCGCTCAGAGACGGAGGTCCAGAAGGCTTTGGCGAGGAAGCGTAAGAGGAGAAAGGAAAAGGAAGCCCAGCGTGCAGCTGAGAAGGAGGGCGTCGTGGCAGAAGCTGATAATGAGAAATCCGACGACATTTCCTCAGCACCGGTCACCGAGGTCTTCGTTTCTTACACCATCGTTCGAACTGGTGGAAAAGTACGGTCTTTTGATTGGATAAGAACTAAGTCGACTCGCAGCATCCAGTTAGTCGCTGCAACCACTAATAACCAGATTGAAGCCTACACTGTCAACACTGCGAAGGGAAAGAAGGACGAGGATGACGAAGATTACAATCGTAACCTGGCAGTCGATATTCCCGGTCATCGCACTGATATTCGGTCCCTCGCTCTGAGCTCCGACGATCGGATGCTGGCATCAGCCTCTAATGGGAGTCTCAAAATTTGGAACGTCCGCACACAGAGCTGCCTCCGTACCCTAGAATGTGGCTATGCCTTGTGCTCGGCTTTCCTCCCTGGCGACAAGATCGTGGTTGTTGGTAACAAAGACGGTCAGCTCGAGGTCTTTGACATTGCATCCTCGACCCTCCTGGATACGATCAATGCACACGACGGCCCGGTATGGTCACTCCATGTTCACCCTGATGGCAAGTCCGTAGTTAGCGGCAGTGCGGACAAGTCTGCAAAGTTCTGGAACTTCCAGGTTGTCCAGGAAGAGATCCCGGGTACCAAGAGGACCACGCCCCGGCTCAAGTTGGTGCACACAAGGACCCTGAAGGTCTCCGATGACATCCTCAACCTGCGTTTCTCCCCCGACGCTCGGCTACTGGCAGTTGCTCTCTTGGACAATACGGTCAAGGTGTTCTTTACAGACTCCCTGAAGCTCTTCCTCAACCTCTATGGTCACAAACTTCCTGTTCTCAATATGGATATCTCATACGATAGCAAACTGATCGTTACATGCTCGGCGGACAAGACAGTCCGTCTCTGGGGCTTAGACTTTGGTGATTGTCATAAGGCGTTCCTGGCACACGAAGACAGTATCATGGGGGTTGCTTTCGTCCCACACAACCGGGATGGAAACGGTCATAACTTTTTCAGTGCTAGTAAGGATCGCGTGATCAAGTACTGGGATGGTGATAAGTTCGAGCATATTCAGAAACTATCAGGTCATCATGGCGAGATCTGGGCATTGACTATCAGTCATACTGGGGAATTCATTGTCAGCGCCAGTCACGACAAGAGTATCCGTATCTGGGATCAGACTGATGAGCCTCTCTTCCTCGAGGAAGAGCGGGAAAAGGAACTCGAAGAGATGTACGACAACAACGTTGTGGATGAGGAAGATGAGGAAGGCGAGAAGGCCGAAGCCGTTGACGCCGGTAAACAGACGAGTGAGACACTCATGGCGGGAGAACGGATTATGGAAGCCCTGGATTTGGGAATGGAGGATCTGGAAGTCGTGCGCGAGTGGCGTGCTATGAAAGCAGTCCAGCCCAGCATTGCCCCCCCGGACCGCAATCCACTGTACCTGGCACTGGGCAACATTTCCGCCGAGCAGCATCTTCTCAATGTCGTTCAGAAGATCCCTGCCGCAGCACTTCAGGATGCACTGCTTGTTTTGCCTTTCTCCAAGGTCCCTGCGCTCTTCACCTTCTTGAACATCTGGGCCGACCGCGAGTGGAATATCTCTCTCACCTGCCGCGTTCTCTTCTTCATGCTCAAGACCCACCATCGCCAAATTATCGCTAGCAAGATGATGCGTCCCATGCTGGATAGCATCCGGTCCACCCTCCGCCGAGTTCTGGCACGCCAGAAAGACGAGATGGGATTCAACCTCTCCGCGCTGCAGTACATCGGCAATCAGGTGAAGGAACAGGGCACCAAGGACTACGTGGATGAGGAACAGTGGGAAGAACAGCAGACGACAGCAACGGGCAAGAAGCGACAATTTGTCAGTATCGCCTGATTCCTGTCACGTATCTGTCTCTATGCATGACTGGCGTTGTTATGGCTGCTAAAAAGTTTTATATCCTTGGGAGTTGATGTGGAATACTTTTGTCAGGTCGTTTCCTAAATCTCATGTTTATGTATGTATATCATGATAAATAGACTTGTCTGCATTTATAAAGCAAGCTTAATCGCACTACATATGTACAACCACTGAACAAGTTGGACAATCCCCACACATAGCCCAAACACCAGAACCAATAAACTAAAGGAAAAGCGACGAACCCTATACCATAACAACATCAGCACACCGTTCCCAATGCCCTGATTTGAAAGATATAAAACACTGGAACGAGACAGCAGCAGCCCCAGTCCATCCACAAACCAACAAGTTTAACTCCACTCAGAAGAACCATTATAAGCATCGACGACGAGGATCCCATTGGGTATCCCGTCATACCTCTTCCGGCTCTTCCTAAAAATACCGGTTCTTGAGAAAAATCTTCATCATATAGGAGATTGTTGATTTGTGGATTGAACTGTCGCTTTTTTTTTTCCCTCGCCCCTCAACCATTTCGTTGAAAGACGGATGGCTGATCAGGAGACACAACAATTTGGGTATATGGGTTCATTATTAGATATAATGAAAAGGTATAGCATACCTGTGCTGTTAGTAAATGCGTGTTGTTTGGTGTTGAGAGCTTTTCATTATGTGGTTGCGAACATCATCAGTTGTTGTGAAGAGAGAGCTCTGGAAGACGGAGAAGAAAAAGGAAAATTTGGTTGGTGGGTATAGCTTGTCGGCAAATAGATGGGCCGATGGTGGCGGTTAGTCACGTCTTAGTCATCAGATCTATATCGATGAGGGGGAGGACTTTGGATGTTGCAATTATCGAAGGTCCAACGATTTATATGGTTTTCTTGATCCAGTAAGTTCAATAATTAAGGCATACTATTAAAAAATTTTTTGGGAGTTCTAGTATCCAATAAAGTAGTCATACATCATCATATTTCGTGAAATCATCAGAGGAGCGGTATGTGAGGGCAGCCCATACGTTTAACTTAGGAGCTAGCCTTCATTGTCCCACAGTTCGAGCACGTCCACCATTCTGCCTCCATAAAAGTCTCACAGAATTGACAGATCCACCCGAGCGGTCGCTTGGCGGTATTCTTTTCAAGTGCGGCAAGGGTCTCGACGGCATTAGTGCGGTTCTTGAAAGTGGGTTGGCTATCCAAGTAGCTTATCCGACGCTTATTCTTGTTCTGGGATTCTGAACTGCTCGAGATTTTGGCAGGTCCAGATACAGAACGTGTATTCGATGGTCGAGGTCGCTCTGCGGTACAGGCATCACAACACAAAAAGTTGGCCGGGTTCTCTAAAGTGCAAGTTGGACATGTCCATGGCGCCTCGAACAAGCTGTCAGCAACTGTAAGATCTATTGGTTCTTGAGGTTGTGATAACATTGTAGGTCTCGTGCTCTCGGGAACAGGTGGAGGAGATAAAGTTGAACGGGGACCGGCCGGATTCTCATGGCTTGGAGGAACATAAGAAGGGCCGTATCTTTCCCTCTCTTCTTCCTCAATCAAATCAATGTAAGCTTGCATAATTGCTTGTTCATTCGCGTCGTCCTCCTCGGCCTTCGTCCGGAAGCCATTCCTGGACGCTTCTTCTGCGAGTTCGTTGCTGTTCTCTGCTCCTGAGGCGCAGCCCGTCGTTACATCTATGCGTCTTTGTGCAGCATCCGCGATAACTCGGCGCATGTCTGCTCCCCGTAGTACAGGAGCACCTCCTAGTCGTTGCCCCGAACCAGCGGACAGTGCCCGTCTCTGCTCTGCGGTCGCTTTGGCTTGTCTCCGGACTTCGTGAAGAGGTATCCTACGGCCACCTAGGCGTTTACCTTCGGAAAGGAACCCCTCCCCAGTATAGCCCTTCATAAGAAGCTCTTCATACTCATCACGTAGTTGGTTCCAGAGAGCATGGAACTCTCGGTTATGTGGCCCATGCACGATATGACACAGCCTTTAATGATTAGCATCTAGTTAGCAGCACAAATCCAGTTGACTCACTCATGCAACATCGTATCGACGACTTGTTCGAGCGGGAGAAACTGACGCTCGTCATAAGGGTACCGCAGTCGAAGGCATATTTTTTGGCCTCTGTTGATATTAAGCCCAAGGAGGTTTTGCTGATGAGGATAGAATTCGCTGAGCGTCCCTACTTTCCAGGCCCTCCGGCGCATGATAGGTTTGACCAGCGATGCGATCTTTTTGAGCATTGTTAAGGCTTCAGATTCCCTGGGTCGGTGCCTGTCATGTTGATATTCGAAGACTAGAGGGTCTATTTCGCGCATGTTGAAGGTTACTAATAAAGAACTGGACCGATAGTATAAATTTCGATTTAGTCTTGCAAAAAATGAGAGAAGGATGCTGCAGAGAGTATTGCTGATTCAGATATTTATAATTGTTCGGTGGAGTCCGGAGCGCAATACTGCTATACAAGCTAACAGGTTGCACGTTGCTGCAATCCCAACAATGGCGCAGTCACAATTATCGAGGCCCTCTGAGTGAGACTTCCATGGAGGTCGAAGGCGAAAGAACAAAGCCGCGTCATGAACCTGAGTGGCACTGGTAAAGAATTGATAATCAACAGAAGATTCAGGCACCAGTATCACGTGATTACGCTATTTCAACCTGGGGCCATGGTTCTATACGGCGAGAGGGGCAAATAGTGCCAGTGACACAGTCCATGGTTAGAGCGAGATTATGTGAGCAGAACTTGCTCATAATCATAGTTAGGGAGTAGCCATCCCAAGACTCGGCAATAAGGCACATGACTAGAGCTAAACTAGTATACTCTAGCCATCGATGGATGTCCGGCGCTTGTGAAACAGCTGTACTAAAGAATGCATAGCCGTGAGTAGCGTAGAACGTATGGAGCAATGAATGAATGTTTTAGTGGTGTCAGCTATTTCCGATATTAACTCCAGCAAGATAGTTTACGTACCGAGTATACTTCTAACTGTTACTAGGTCAGCCACCGATCTACAGTATGGGGCGATATATACCCGTTCATGTGACCTTTCCGATAAGTGAAACTTATCAGTGACAGTAGATTCTTTTTCTTCAATCAAATTGGCCTGAACTACCATTTTCACAGCCAACTCTCAAAATGACGAGCGACGACCAGTTTTTCTTTGACTATGTATGCCAGTAATCTGTCAACACTTGTACAACTGTCGCACACTAACAAGCCGCTGCACCTCTAGCTTGCTTCGATACCACATGACGTAAGGAGATACTCCCTCGAAGTCGCAGACTCGATCGACAGGCAGGTTGACCATGCCGCCAAAGTGATACGGGATACGCTCTCTCACCAGTCATGGTTGCCTTCCTCGGTCCGACCGCCACCACCACCTTCGAGAGTTCATGCTTCCCAGTCTCTCGTTGATCGCGTGCATGACTGGGTTCTTCGGAATCGAGCATGGAGTGCCGCAATCCTAGCCTTTGTCGGAACTACATCCCTTCTGTATTTTGGCAATAAGAAGTTAAGCGGTAGACGGAGGAAAGCTCGACGAGCTGGAAATGGCGCTCGGAAGGAAATAGTGGGTATGCTGCAGGGATAACTATAGCCATTCTGCATCTCTGACGAGTTCATCTAATGTTTTGTGATAGTTGTTGCCGGGTCCCCTCACGAACCGATGACGAAGGCGATTGCTATAGATCTCGAACGTCGGGGCTATATCGTATATATTACTGTTTCATCGGCGGATGAGGAGCAGTTGGTTCAGTCGGAAAATCGGATGGATATCAGACCGCTTTGGCTTGATTTAACGGCTGTAAGTCGTCACATATCGCAGGACCGGAGAAAACTCACTGACCAACTCTAAAGGCCCCTTCCTCGACATCTGACATTCATCCATCGTTGACTGAAATCCATTCTTTGATCACTCAGCCCCAATGGCCAATGCCTGGAGTGCCGCCGCACACTTGCCAGCTGAGCGGACTCATTCTCGTACCTTCACCCAACTATGTGACCGGTCCCCTAGCCACCATTCCAGCATCTTCTTGGGCGGATACGGTCAATACTCGACTCTTATCGCCCATCTTGACTACTCAGCTGTTTCTTCCTCTTCTTACCGCCCGCAACACGAATAGCACCATTGTCCTAATCTACCCTTCGATATCCTCGTCACTGTCTGCTCCATTTACTAGCCCAGAAGTCACCACGACACGTGCCTTATCGGGATTCGCTACCTCGCTTCGACGAGAGCTTTGTCTTTTGCAACATAGCAACATCGATGTTGTGGAGCTGAAACTTGGAAACATCGACCTTGGTCCTCAGTACAGAAACGCACAGAGTCATATTACAGGAACCGAGGTGCTCACATGGACCACACAGCAGCGATCCCTCTACGGCTCTCAGTATCTTTCCAGCATTGAGCAGCGACCCGTTGCATCGGCGGGACCCAGCATGATACGTGGATCCGCTGCCCGGACCCTTCATTACGCGGTGCTGGACGCCCTGGAGCCAGCATCCAAGGATATCTTTGGAAGAAAGAAGTCGAAAGTGCCCGTCATCTACGCTGGACGCGGCGCATGGTCCTATAGTATCGTCGGCGATTGGGCCCCAAACTTTTTGGTAGGATGGATGCTGGGCCTAAGAAGTGGCCCTATCACACCCAGCCACAGTCCCAGTGGAAGCAACAGTGAGACGAGCTGGGAAAAGGTTTAATATCAGATTATGATCGTTCTGGCTACGATTGACTCTCTTCCCTCTTGGCGTTTGAAACCCCATCTCTCATTCTTCTTTCATTTTTCCCTGTATGTCTTTTAACTTATCTGACTGAGTAATCTTCGCATATGTATACATCATGCGTCAACTCCGTCCCTAGCAAATACCATAATATACCTATGGACTAAACATTAGGAATTAAAACAGATTACCCCATCTTTACGAATTATCAACCATTTGTCCTAGACCTCAGCCTCCCGCATCTCAATCGGCCTCTCATGATCAAACTTCGACCGCTTCACCTTACCCCCCGTCAACTTCCTTCTCAACCAAATAACACCCCAGGTTATGCCAAAGATAATCACAATCGCCGCAAGAATGATGAAACAATAAGCAGTGACCTTGCCACTCTTCTCCCCATGCTCACCAGGATCCAAGAAGGAATACGTGTAGAATCCCTGAGTATGATACGTCAGATAGGCAAGAGAGACGTATAGGAGGAGCAGAAACACGAGGAACGGGAACGTCATCAGCGGGTGCGGATTAGTAGCCGGGAGGATGATTTCCAGAAGGGCGTAGAGGGAGTTGAGGCCGTGTTGGGAGAGCTATTGTATTCAGTTAGTTTATTTACGCTTTCGTAGCAGCGTCGCACTCTGATACAGAGATACGGCAGTCTCAGCGAACACCGAATCGACAGGATAAACACCTACATTTGACCATGCATTAAAGGTCACGTTGAACCAAGACGGATGCAGAATCGCCCAGAAAACGATCGTCACGAGGAATGGGAACGTCGTGATGGTCGTATAATAGAGACTGTGGAGGGCGCGTAGGCTACGGGGCCAGCGATCGAAGAGCACCGAGCGACCGGTCAGCGCATAGAAGGTGGTGTGGATGCATGCGAAAATGTGGTAGAAGCCCAGACCCCAGTATGTCAGCCAGGTGAAGTAGCTGAAGGATTGGCCGATAGCTGCGCGGTTGCCATGAGTGCCATCCCAGCCCCAGATGAAGAAGATGGTCACGAAGATGTAGAGCGCGATCGCACCGCGGAAAATGGCGTAGGCTAGTGGTGGGAGGAGCCAGGACGTCTCAAAGCAGTGCTGGCTGTCCAGGGATGGGTTTGCGCCCATAAGGCTGGTGAAGGGGGGAAGTCTGCGCATTTTTGTGGTGGTTTTCTCCATCTGCGTGTTTTCGTCCCTCGTGGTCTGTTGTGGCTATTATAAAACAAAAATCGGTTGCTTTTGTTTAGTGAATCATTTTTTGGGTGGCCCAAAAGTGAGCGATAGGATCTCAGCTACGATATAAAATGTACACTGCAAATCAGCCTCGTCAGGGATCGGCCCGTGAAGGAATTTTGGTGCGGCCGCTTGGCTTTCGACCTTGTCTTGACCGGGAGTTAGTTTCGATGTTACCTTGGGGCGCACGTCTTTATTCTCCATAACCATGGACGTTAGTCGGGTTAGTTCATTTATAATGCAACGGTTAGGATCATGGGTTAGTCAATTAAAGGATCAAAAGTGACCGGACGACGGACGGATTCCGATAGTCGCTTGAAGAGATTTTCGACGGATTTACCACATCCAAAGGATATGCATGCCACCTCCATATGAAGGGCAGATGGATAGATTAAGCCCCAAACAATAGTGAATTTTGAGCGGGAAAAGGTGTGGTGTCATCGCCCAGCACGAGGTGTCTGTTATATCTTAGCATCTTAAGAATGCCAAGATATGTATGTCCATCACCATCCCTATGAGGCAATGAAGGTCGCATGCACAGAGCTAATGCTGCGTCCCACTTATCTCCCGCTTGACGTAGGTAGTAGACTCGGAGTAAGATCATGGCAACCTGATGTCCTCCGTACGTACGGAGTAGTAAGCAATTGGCCCTCGATTGAAACCAGACCGAGTCAATGTTTTACTGCGGTGGTGCAGTAGTTAGAACAATTCATGTCATCCTGTGGTTCCTGACGGGATACTTGGTAATATTAATAACACTAATAAACCAAATCCACTCCACCACACCAATCACAGCGTCCTGCGTGGGTGTTCATGCACCTAGAGTGTAAGACCATCGTACGTGCAACCGTCCCTTGTATACGCAATGGTGCACTTATTTTCGGGCCACCAGATCAATCGAGTAATTTTTCCGGCAGTAAGAGAGAAGGAGGGGAATGAGGAGTATTACCCTCCATATAACTAGTTGGAGGGGAGGATCGAAATTGCGACCATCGTTTTTTCACCATGATCATGAAACCTTCTATGTGATTCTTGGTGGTCGATTCCACTTTCTCAAGGGTTCCCATTGAATGGAGAGGTTAGGGGTGATCGGATCATGAGACAAGGGGACGCCTGAGAAACAAGGCACGGCCCCATTATGCCCAGATGGACGGTATGCGCAGCAAGTAAGATTCAACTCCTTACTGCATGTTGTCATACTGTTGCTATTCTAAGTTCATCTCCAGATTATCTTAATCTTTTGTAGAGGGGAAGAGCATCATAACAAGTCAGATCACAACCATAATGGTATTTAGTAGCCCTGAAAATTTCATTGTGTGGTCAAGGGCGGATTTAGATTCCCCAGGCAATAAACAAACGGTTTAGTCTTTAGGATAAAGCTAGAAAGAAAAAGAGTAATAAAAAAATAAATAACATAAGGTAGAGTAAAAGAAACCCGAAAAATGTTGCTCTCTTACCGAGTCTGTCGCATTTGTCCATGGATACACTTTCGGGAAAATTTGCAAGTGAATATAAATAGAGTGGCTGCTCCACCAACGACACATTGTGAACCAAACTAAAGCCCTTCTTCGCCTCTGGCCTGTGGATTAATTTTTCTAGAAGCTCTGGATGGGACGTTCGCCTCTAATTTTATGACACGTACATCAAGGACTCCGTTTGCAGTAGGGGCTAAGGTTATGGTAGGGCTATGGTCTGCATCTGATCAATTTAGAAGAATCGGAGATCGAAAAGGATGCTGTTTAGTCTTTCAATAAACAGTATGTACGGAGTAGTTAACTTTGATATAATTTCTGGAAGCAGTTCATCTGAACCCCTGACTCGGTACCGTTGGTATGTATCATATGTTGGTATGGTATGACGGTAACGATGTACGCGTTTTCTCCTTGAAATCCGCTTGTTTCATACGGCTTGAGGAATGGTGGTGCCTGGCTACGGCTTGGCTGCAGGAATCCACTCCTGCACCGTGATCACCGGTGTCACAGGCCGGTACTGACCTTACGGAAGAGACGTTGATACGACAGGATACCTCCGTCAGACTTGGTACTCCGCGTGGGGACTGCCCAGAGTTGACTGTCAATGCAGGCGCCCCTCGTTTGTTTGGTGATCGTCAGGGCGTAACAATGGAAAACTCCCTTTGGCTTATTTTGCAGTTGCGTTGGTTCAAACCAATAATCTGGAAGTTCAAGTCCAAGTCAGTCCATTCTCGTTATCCATCCGATCCTCTCTTTCTCTCTCTTCTCCTCTCCCACCCCGTCCATCGGAGTCCACGATGCTTGTTCATCGTACCTCCCTTTGGCTTGTGATTGTTTCAACTACGATCTAATCGGTTATCATTACCCTTTCTCTCCGTTCGTCCCCATATTCATTCCAAACTATTTGTCGCTCCTTTGCCGCCGCGATTGATTGATTCGATTCCCGTTGCCCGCCCCCCATAAGCCTGGTTGGCTTATTAGACCTATTCTTTTCAATTCTCGTTTACCCTTTCCTCCCACGGCGCCTGTCATTCCTTTCTTTGAGTCTGATACGGTGCTAGTCATTAAAGGACTCTCTCCTTCGTCTCGTCGGCTTGAAGGACCTCCCCGCGCCGCGCATTGAACTTAATCAGTTGCAGACTACTATCTCAAACTACTTCGATTCGTAAAAGAAGTCCAAGCTTAACCCGTCCAAGGTTTATAGCGGTAGCAAACAACTAGATGATTTGATTGAAGGCAACCTAGCCTACGTCTGTGCTCCTCTCAATCTCCAAAAATACGCGCATTCAGCCAATTGAAACCACCTTTGTGCTACCATGGACGCCCGACCACGTTTTGGCGAACTTCGCTCGCCCTCCCATGACACTCTGCGCAGCGGTCTGCCTTCGCCGCGCATTGAACACTTTGACGGTGAAATACCTCCCACGCTCTCGCCCCTTGATGCATTCGCGGCTCAGGGCCGACTTTTGGCGAAACAACTAGAGGAGTCGGCTCGCAGAGACCGGCGCATGAGCAGACTCCCTCCGGCCAGTGTCGCTCGGTCATTATCGCAACCTCGACCGGGCTACTTTCGCTCTCCATCCTCAAACGATTCTTCACGGAGTGGGCGAGGAAATGATCTCACCAGGCAGCCAACGCTGAAGGCCAATCCTGAGCTGGAGGAACCTAAGTTCCGTCCCCAGTCCGAACACCCTCGTCTGAGCGGCGTGCCGCAATTTGCCAACGAAGATGGTCCTCATGATGATATGAACAGGGCTCTAGAGAACGAACCGTCTGTGGTAAGCTCGGAGGAGGACTATCTTGAAGCTACGCAAGCGGGGTCGTCCCAAGAAGATACAGCCAAGGGCGTTGTACCAGAAGCGCCAGCTCGCTTTTATGCCGCCGCGCCCTCTGGTATGGCTCTGACAGGATCACCTGGAAATTCGTTGACGGATGCTGCCTCCTCTCGACTCAATATTCCACGGGGTCTGGCGCCACCGGTCTCGCCACGATCAAGGCCTTCGAGCAGTAATAGGACCTTGCAACCCGAGAGCTCGGATGATGACTACAGCAGTTCGACTGCGGGCTCGACCTTTTCGAAGCCGAGGAAGTTATCCTCCTGTAGCGCTACGTCAATGCCACAGTCACCCATGACTTCTATGAACAGGTGTCATCGACGCTCGCCCTCTCTGAACTCAGAGACTTCGAACAATGGCGGTCATCCTCCGCGCCCTTCATACAATTTCTCACGCCCTCTCAGTCGGTCCAGCACCAGTCTGTCAGCCCCCGTGCCGACAGGGACTTCCGAGCAGTCACAGGGGACAAAGCCTCGAGGTCCGAAGCCTCAGCCCATTATGGTACCCTCAGTGGGTGATATGGCTAAATCCATGCGCGAGGAACCATCATCTGCTGTGTCGTACACTTATGCCAAGTACCCACTTCCCCGCGGACGCCAGGTTTCCAGGGATTCCGTTGTTTTCTCCGGCCTTCACACTCCTCACTTTGAGTGGCAGGAGCCGCTTTTCGAGAGTCCGGATCAGCTGAGCGCAACTGGGCCTCCACGGTCTTCGCGAACCCCGTCACCTCCGCCCTCCCGTCATTCGGTATCTTCCAAGAAAGCGCGCTCCATGTATGACTCCCCAGTATCAGGGCGACAATTGCTCACGCCGGAGATGCCCCCATCTGCCCCGCAAGTGCCGGCCTCCCCCGAGGCTCGCCGTCCCTCCGAAGCTGCGTCGACAGATCAACCGGTCTCAGGTGAATCTGCTCTTTCGAGCTCACCTATCCCTACAAGCGCGCCTACCCCAGAGGCGCCTATTAATGAGGAGGCAACGGATGCCACTTCCTCTGCAGACTCTGCATCGACTGTCCGGCCACAGACAGCCAAGACCAATGCATCTTCCGCCGTCATCAGCGCAGACGAGCATGTGACTAAAGGGATTGAGTGCCATGAAAAAGGATCATTGCAAGAATCCACCTACCATCTCCGTGTTGCAGCGAAACAGGATCATCCGACCGGCATGCTCTTATATGCTTTGGCTTGTCGACATGGTTGGGGTATGCGGCCCAATCAGCAGGAGGGCGTTAGGTGGTTGCGCAAAGCCGTGGACTCTGTCGGTCTGGAGTTGATGGATGATTCTAACCCGGCCATGCCAAATCGGGTGAGGGAATTGCAGAAAGCATACCGTGCCCAATTTGCCCTCAGTATCTACGAGCTTGGCGTGAGCCATCTAAATGGATGGGGCATTGAGCAGGATAAATCGTTAGCCCTGCGTTGCTTTGAGGTGGCCGGTCAATGGGGAGATACGGATGCCCTTGTGGAGGCAGGCTTTTGTTATTCCGAGGGCATTGGTTGCAAGAAAGATCTGAAAAAGGCAGCCAAATTCTACCGCCAGGCCGAAGCAAAGGGCGTGAACATGGTTGGAAACAGCTGGTAAGTGGTGGATTTGTTCCCCGATAATGCCTCATTCTAGTGACTCACACTTTACTGTAACAGGATCCACAAAGACAAGTACCTCTCTGATGATGATCCCAATACTGGATCGCGTGGCCGCGGTCGTCACGGTGGGACACCTGACAAGAAGCAGCGTAGCAAATCTCGGACACGCAGTCTTTTCCACCGCAAAAAGTCTACTGCTGCTGAAGCCTAGACGGTATTTGCAGTTTGCCTCTTGGGCACGATGCATTGACGATGTCACTCGGCAGCTACTGCTTCCTGGTCGTTTTATTCGCATGATCGTTTCAACTGTCTCCGGCTTTTATATATCCCTTTTCACTTCTACATTCTCTCTTGCTTGACTTTATTTTTACCTTCCCTTCTTCACCCACTATTCCGAATCATTTTCTCAGACTCCACAGCGACATGTTGCTTGGATTCTGCCTTTACCTCCAACTGTATTACTCAAAGCAGTCACTTCAGACTTGCTTTTGCCTTTCACTCTTTCCGTTCCTTTCTTTTCTTTTTGCCATTGTTCTATCTTTCCCCCAACTATTTCGTTATACGTTTCGAGCGGGTCTTGGCAACTGCTCCAGTTACGGAAGGGGGTGTTATTTCCTCCTCTCGGTCTTGTGAGCGTTGGATTTCTTTCTTGGATACCCCATAATTTCTAATCACTGCGTGATGTATTCTATTCTCTACTTTCGCTCACCCGTCTTTCTCTACTTACATTCTCGATTTCTCATGTTTCCATTCTCCATTGCCTGTGTTTTATATTTGCAATCTGGTTGCAGTATTCCCTGCGAAACTGTGTGAATTTCTGTCTAGCTTAGCCGGTTAGTGTGTGTGTGTGTCGGTCGAGACCCCAACTGATGAGATTCATGATCATCCTATCTAATAGGAATGTGGGCCGTCCCATCAAGACCCGAGGGATCGTCCCTAGAAGGTCGATGGAAGTTGTGTTTGCGGAAAATTTATACCCAATAGCTGAGAAGCGGGTGGTTACTTCATCTAGACATGGCCCTATATGCACATGAAAAATTGATAGGAGATTTCCCAGCCAAGTGATTGGCAAGCGAGGCTTCTCGTGTTGAATGAACCCTAAAGTTCGTTGGTGCTTGAAGTGACTATCGTAGGAAGTGACAGAAGTGTGTTAGTCATGACGGGTCCCGTCGTGGCTCGAACCCTTTTTTTTTTCTTGTGCCCCCATTTCCCTTATTTTTGTTCTTTCCTGATTCATTGTTTATCTTTCAATTTGTGGGGGGGTGGGCAAAAGCAAAAAGGAAGACAGATTGAAAGGAAAAAAAAAAAAAAAAAAAAAAAAAGAAGAGAAAAGAAAAGGAAAAGAACAGAAAAGAGAATCGGGACAAAATTGGTTGGTACCTTGCCTTAGGAACTGGAATAGGAGGAAGTCTCTTTAGATTAATGGAGAGATAGGATTGGATGGTGCCGGTCATTGATTTTTAGTTGCGTCGGTCTAGAGGGCAGCTGACAAGCTTTTCCCTCCAATCAGCCTCCACTCGAAGGTGTCGTTCATTTCCCTGTCGCTGAAGCTGGAGGAGGGGTCAATTGATTAAAAGAATGCAAGTCGCCACCTCTGTGCAGTGCACACCCCTGTCCCATAGCGACGATTGGGTTTGAGGGACCGGAGGAATCACCCAAAGGAGATGGCAGCATAGAAAGAAGATTTTTGCCTCCCCGTCCGACCATGGCGGAAGACATGGGGAACTGAGCTGTTGGCTGGCTTTTGGGTTTCTGGCCATTTTGACTAACTACCTACTGTACGAACCACTAACTAGTACTACTCCTGAGAGGACTAATACTAGTCTCACTTCGGGTCTCGGCCCCAGTCCAATGACGATCCAATGTCCTGCCAAGCATGGGGAAATTTGGGGAAAGTAGGCGAAGGGCCCGGGGTTGCATTCCATCCGCTTACTCGACTTCTTATTCCCTCCCCCTCAACCAATCCAACCCATCGCTGATATCGCAATGTTTGGAAAGACATGAGCTTGCAATTCCTGCCTCGGTTGAATGATGATACTGCTGATCATGGGCAGAACAACGATACGCACGTATCCCATATCTGTTTCGTGCATGACTGGTGTGTTTCAAGGTAAATCCCCGGAACGCTGCCTCAATTTTTTGTGCGAGTCCGTGTCCTAACTACCCTGGCAGTGGTCCGCCGTCGTGATCTCCACATGGCTTCCCTATTTAGCAATAGCTCAATGATTCTGCATGGGGATCTGGGGCCGACTGGGACCCAAAAGCCCAAGTTCCGCGGTGCTTGACCTGGATTCTTTGAGAAGTACACATGTGAAGATCCGCCACCTCCCGATAGTCTTATAGATAGAGCATAAGCCATCTAACGGCCCTGCCTTCCATGCCCTAATCCGATTTTCTCGTTTTTGGTTTCGGTCGGAGACGTCTTTTGTGCTTGTTGATCACTCTGCCACGTTTCTACCCAACTTACTCTGTGTGCAATTGTGGAGTTGAGAGTTGTTGAAGGTATGTCATCGTCATGATTACTCAATGTGGCTTTTATCTCCCTTTGCCCATATATATATTTCTTTTACCTTTTCTTGTCGCTGTCAAAAGTCCCCGAGAATATTCTTGACGGTGTCATTAACGATATAATGCCTCCTGTAGCCCGCCCCTTCAAGAAAAACAAGCGAGGCAAGTTTCAGCCGGTGCTAAACGCGAGAAAAATCTTGGTATGACCCCTTTTCGGCTTCTCCGGTCCTTTTCTCGGGAGGTGCCTCCTAACCTGGCGGGTGACAGGGCTGCCTGTGTGACAGGCCTTAGCATCAGTTCAATTCGGTCAACCTTATCGAGGTCCAGCGACGCGAGATGTCGAACGACAAGCCTGAAGTTACTGAGGTAGGCATGGTGACCTCACCCACTGCCACAAAGCCTAGCTTCAAAACTCGCGTGGCGGCCCATTTCAAGAAATGGTGGTGGGCGCACCTCATCGCATTCATTGTAGTCGTGCTCGTTGTGGCTCTTCCAGTGTATGTTCAATCCTTGTAGAAATGGCCTTCTCCAGCGGAGCCCGTCTGACAGCATCGCTCAAATAGGGTATATGTCGGCTATCCGAACATCGCACAGGGCGACATTAACGACTCGAAATTGGAAGTCAAGTCGATGACGATCAGTGAGCCGACACCGAATTCGTTCCATGTGGACCAGGAGCAGGTCATCTGGACGGACAGCATGTATCACCCAACCATCTATAGCTTTAACGCAAGTGTTAGCCTGCTTGGCGCAGCCCCGTTCGCCATCGCGACCATTCCGCAACTCAAAGCGACGGATGGGGTCGAAGTGCATGTAGACCAGCACCTAGACTTGACTGATGTGTCTGCATTTGGCGACTTCGCCATAGCGGTGATGCAAAATGAATATCTCGGCCTCAATGTTTATGGGAAGCCGGACTTGAAGCAGTCAGGTTTGCACAAAATCAGCGTGACGTATAACCACACCGCTACTATGAAGGGTATGCCTGCAGATAAACGTTCTCATTGCTTTAGTCACGTTCACTAACCGCATGAAAGGCCTTAACAAGCTAAAGGGATTCTCGCTGTCTGGCATGCATCTTAGTACGAAGGCATCCGACGGAACGAACACTGAAGGACAGGTTCTGATCCCCAACCCGTCGGTGATGACGATCAGCTTGGTATGTACTATGATTTGATTTACTCCGTTCTTCTTGTACGCAGAGCCCGCGAACTGATGGCTGCAGGGCAATGTGACCCTTGATCTCTCCGTGAATGGAACCGCCATTGGCACATCGTACATCCAGGATCTGGTATTGAAACCTGGTGATAACAAATTCCCCATGAGAGCCAAAGTGGACCAACTGGCCATCATTGGTATGATGTCGAAATATCCCGGTACGGTTGTCCCCGTGGATATCACGGGCTCCGAGACCAACTCGAGCGTGTACGATGGCCAGGCTCTTCCATACTTCTCGAGGGCTTTGGCATCGAACAAGCTACGGGTTGATCTGAACATTACCGAGGTGGTTGGTTCGAGCTCGGGTTCGAGCTAAAAGGGCATCGCCATGTATATTCTGCTGACCATCACCCGTTTTGGTCATTGCGACTACACTTTTACTGTTCCATGTGTCTTACTTGTGTCTTGGAGCCCTACAGTTGTGCCGATGACGTCTTTAATTGTTCTTGATACCATTCTAATGTAACCGCGATGATCCGACTGCTTGATGATGGGAGGGTGGTCCGGATTGATTTATTCTTCACGTTTCTTCATATCTCATCAGAACAGCATTTTGAGTAACTACACATGTATAACACTCGACGCTGAGACTCCCTTGCTCAGTGGCTGTTTCTTGTTATAGTAGTGCTCGCTACATATACAAATCAATCATATTTGGGAGCAGTTTGACCAGACGCCAAGTCCGTTTGGTTACCTATTTTACATCTATTAGACTTGTTTTGATTTTTGATTTTTTTTCTTCAAGCGGCCAGAATGTCGAATAACTTTCAAGACTTGACCTCGGCGAGGCCGGCACTTTAACAACAATATCAAGACAAGTTCAATCACGCTGGAGGTGTGGTACAACCTTGTGGTAAAGTATGATTAAAACCCAATGGTTCATTGATTAAAGTTCCCGCACCGAGCCTGTAGTTTACCGTCGATCGCCCCCTTAAGATGATCCAATGGATTGGGGGGAGGTGTTTCTTAAACCAGCACCACGGTCTAGACCAGCCGTCGACTCTCAGGATCAAGTCGCCAGAAAAGCCCTATCGTCATCCCCGAGTCCCGGGGATTCGGCCTGTCCGATGGACAGTACCTACTACTTGGAAGTAGTTACATCCGGTAGCATATCGACGGTGTGATCTCCTCCACGTGTAACTTTATTCGATGGGGATGGTCAAACGTGGAAATAGTCGGGGCAATGGTTGATGTGGTAGCTGCCTTGGTACAGCAGATAATATCCACTGGAAGAACGTGCCTCTTGGCCTTTGTCCGTTTCGAGGGTGGTCAAGCAGACTGCTCTGGGTCGTCAAGTTGTACTCTTGATACTGAGGGTTATTTATTTATTATTATTATTGTTGTTATTATTTTTTTTTATTTTTTCTTTTTCTCTTTCTTTTTCGACTTTTAGGTTTCGGTAGCCATGCCGGGCGTTGGGATCGGGTTTATATAAATGAAGATTGTCATAGTTAGCAGTGCTATTGCTACAGATTCGAATCCTGCAGCGCTAGAATGACGTCGGTAACCGCTACACAGCCTCAATCATCCGTTGATATTGAGCATCAGGATAAGGGTAATCGTCGGAATGCGTCGAAGGAGGTTCCTATCGGCTCCCCGCCGAGATAAGGACAAGCACTTGGCGATCCACTCGATAAATCAACATTGTTCTTACAACTTGCTACGACTAATAGCCGACGATGGAGTGACCTTATCGCAGGATGTGACCAATTGAACGTATTCCCCAGGTTGGACTTGAATTCTTCAACTGGCTCAAGACAAATACCGTGAACAGCACGAGGTCAAGATGCCGACATGCCCCGAAAGATGATATCGGATCTTATCAGACCGCGATATTAACATATTCATATTAACTGGCGAAGATCACTGGATCCAATTACCTAAATGTTTTCCGGAGTTACCCCAACAAGAGCCATGCCCTGATGGATATGCGCAACTATGCAGTTGGAGTATGTCTCGCATCACGATCCTCGCATGCTTCAAAGACAAGACGCCAAGACGAATTGGAGTTTCTCCAAGACCTTGGTGCCTGGATTGGCTCCGTTGATATGCGATTATCATTACGTGAAATGCCTCATCTATGGGAAACGACTTTCGCTGTGATCTTCTTACTGCACCACTTATCTGGTGTAGACGACTATGTATCGAATGCGTGGGTTTCTCCACGATAAGGCAACCATCGCCAATACTTTCTGTCTTGGTAGACGTCGGGATATAATCGGCCAACGCGTGTGAGAGGGCTGAACTTGGAAGCCCTATATAACTGACAAGTCTTCCAAAAATGTTGGTTCTGTTCTCCAGAGCAAGCTCAACTTCAATTCCCTCTCCAAAACTTTGAACAACCATGGGTGTCACTTTCAAAGTACTTGCCTTGTCGGCCTTAGCTGCTATCACGCATGCTTCGCCTCTCCTGTATCCTCGAGCCACGGACTCGAACATCACCTATGTGTTCACCAACCCCAATGGCCTGAATTTCACCCAGATGAACACCACCCTGCCAAACGTCACCATTTTCGCGACAGGTACACACTCCCCTAACTTATCCCACAAGTCCCCCCCTCCACCGAAACAGAAACTAAACAGGAAAAACAGGCGGCACAATCGCCGGCTCCAGCGCCGACAACACCGCAACAACGGGCTACAAAGCCGGCGCTGTCGGGATCCAAACACTGATCGACGCAGTCCCGGAAATGCTGAACGTCGCTAACGTCGCCGGCGTTCAAGTCACCAACGTCGGCAGCCCAGACATCACTTCCGACATTCTCCTGCGCCTCTCCAAGCAGATCAACGAGGTCGTCTGCAATGACCCCACCATGGCCGGCGCAGTCGTCACTCACGGCACTGACACGCTCGAAGAATCCGCCTTCTTCCTCGACGCCACGGTCAATTGCCGCAAGCCCGTGGTCATCGTCGGTGCCATGCGCCCGTCAACCGCCATTTCCGCCGATGGCCCCCTCAACCTCCTGCAATCCGTCACCGTCGCCACAAGCCCCAAGGCCCGAGACCGTGGCGCCCTGATCGTCATGAACGACCGCATCGTCTCCGCTTTCTACGCCTCCAAGACGAACGCTAACACCGTCGATACCTTCAAGGCCATCGAAATGGGTAACCTGGGCGAAGTCGTCTCCAACAAACCCTACTTCTTCTACCCTCCAGTCCAGCCAACAGGCAAGACGGAAGTAGATATACAGAACATCACTGCCATCCCCCGAGTCGACATCCTCTACTCATACGAAGACATGCACAACGACACCCTCTACTCCGCCATCCAAAACGGCGCAAAGGGCATCGTCGTAAGTCTCCTACCTACCTCCACCACAACCACTAAAAAACAAAAGCCACCCCCCTCTTAAACCACCAAAATACTAATATAAAAAACAGATCGCCGGCTCCGGCTCCGGCTCCGTCTCCACCCCCTTCAGCACCGCTATCGAAGACATCACCACCAAACACAACATCCCCATCGTAGCCAGCACGCGCACCGGAAACGGGGAGGTGCCGTCCTCTGACGAATCGAACCAGATCGCAAGTGGGTATTTGAACCCTGCGAAGACGCGCATTCTGCTTGGTTTGTTGCTCGCGGAGGGGAAGGGCGCTGAAGAGATGAGGTCGGTTTTTGAGCGGATTGGAGTTGCTTGAAACTTTTTGTTTCTTCTACTGCTTGAGTTTTGGGCTCTGGGGTTGAGGGTTGTGTATTATTATATATAGGTTTGATGGGTTTTTTTTCTTTCTTCAAGGGGGGCGGGGATTGGTTGTTATATATAGATTATAGAGTTACGAATGGAATATATTAAATATTTTTATAGGGATTTTGTTGATTTGGGGTTTGTGGGTGGTCTCTGGTTCTCTTTTTTTACTTAGGAGCGTTGAGCTTTCTATTTGTGTAGTAATGCTTTACTTCCATAAAAGAGATAAGAACCATTAGGGAAACTTTGTACTTCAGAATGGTGGTTCCGTATTGTAGTCGCAGAATCCATAAGATACCATTGTATCTGGAGGAAATTAAGGATCGATCTAGATACTAGTATACTAGTTCTAAGTAAATAAATGAAAGCTTATGCGCCAGATGGTCTGATCCGCGACAAGGATTCGGAGCCTACTAGTTCATAAGAGTAAAAGGTTTATTCAATGCATTTCTTTCATACCTGGTATTCTGACACAGTAATAATAAACACAAGACACGTAGACCACCTTTCCCTTTTTTTGGTTCCTCGGATTTCTTTTCTGGTTTGGTTGTTACTTTCTGTTTGGGCTTTTCTTATCTCTCCGCGCTTCGAGTGGGAAGTTTCGACAAACCGCTACATCTCATGTAGCGTGTTATACCCTGTCTCGATCAAACTCCGCGGACCGCGTGCATCCCCTCCGATATGCCAATAGAATAATCCTCCCAACTTCGTCTTGGTCGCAAACCTGGCCTTCTGCTGCACGGTTCGTGGCGTATCATAGGTTACGAACCCGCCATCACCACCGGAGCAGTAGGCCGCGCCAAGTTTATCATCATGATGCTCTTTAGCGCCAGGACGCGGCAAATCACTGTAATCGAACACGCCATCCTCGCCACCCGTACCAGCATACCGTTGACCGGGCTTCTCGCTACCCAGAAATGACCGGCCGTAGGCAGGGACTCCGAGCAGGATTTTCTTCGGATCGACACCCTGCGAAAGCACATATTGCACACTAGAGTGGCAGGAGACAGCGCCTGGATTCCGAGAAGGACTGTATAATTGCGCATGGTGTCCGCTCTCGTTCGTCCAAGGTCCGGCAAAATCATACGTCATAAGATTAATCAAATCGAGGTACATAGATGCCTTAAAGAGATCGATATTCCGGAGAGCCCATTGGCCCGCCGGAAGACACGTTGCTAATACGAATCGCGGCAAAGGCAGTGCTTCCCGCAGCTTTGCTAGTAGTCGGACATAGTCCATGCCTTGCTGTGGGTCGGCGGGGTGTTCCCAGTCAACTGGGAGGACATTAGTAATATGTTCATGGTCAGTTGAGGAAGGTGTTGATGCATACTGTCGAGGCCGTCCAGACCGAATTGATCTACCAGTGCCCTGGCCGTGCGGACAAATGTCTCAGTGCGCGATTGACTCCGCGCCACGAGAGCGAAGTTCTCGCTTCCCTTGCCGCCTCCGCCGACGGAAAGAATGACTTTCATCTTGGGATACTGCGGTTTCAGTTGCGTGAAGGCCCGGAGACAGCCCTGTGTGCCGTCCACGGGCATTTGCGCATCAGCCCATTCATCACTTAACTATGCATTTAGATTTGCGGTTAGCGTGGGATCTCTCTGATGAAGAAGAAAATTTTATCTTTCAAAAAAGAAACTAAGTAAAGAAAAATCGGGTGGGAGATCCACATATACGGTGCCGTCTTCTTTGACCCTAAAACAAACAAAACGCCTTGGTTAACATCTGTACTTTTGTATGTGTATGTACCCCGGCCAAGGGATTGGGGTTCCCTCGGTCTGATGTATGGCTGTACTACCAAGCAAATGCGTAGAAGATATGAGAGACAAATCCCAGTCTGAGCGATGAAGGAGGCTGTTTTCGGTATATCCGCCAATTGGGATAATAAGCTGCGTTCATGTAGTATGGAACCTCATACGAGCTGTTGCTGGAGCGTTCCGCCGCTTTGCGACGCCAGTGGGGGAAAAGACCGCCGGATAATGGCATGATGGTAGCATACACTCAAGATGAGGGGTTTTAAGAGGAAGGAGATGTTGTAAAGAGAAGATAGCGGATTTGGAGAGAATGGACGAAAAGAAAAATAATTAGAAAAATAAAAAAAGGCCCACAAGCACCAACAATCATGAAAAAAATAAAGTGTGCGAAACGCAACTTCCCTATTAAGGACAATGTCACGTGTGGGGGATGTTTCTTTGCTTTGGGGCGGTTGAAATGGTTCTTTTCTTAGTTCGTGATCTACTCGTATTGTGCTGGGGTGATTTTTTAAAAAAAGAACAGACAAGGGAAAGAGAAAGCGAAGCCCCTCCCCCCAAGGTGAGGTCTTTTGAGGAGGCGTGAATCAAAGAAGGCAACCAAAGTCAGTGCTCAGCGACTTTCCATGACCGTCGAACGACAGAAGAGTGACATAACATCTGCTGCACAATGCACGCTGATTGAGAGGCCGTGCATTAAGTCTTGACTTGTACCCGGTGCTGGAAAATGACGCTTTCACTTTTTCTCTCTCACCCCGAGCCTAAGACTCCATCCCCGGACAATAAGATTCTATTTATCCTTCTATTGCAGGGTTGCAAGAGGACCGTGTCAATCTGGGCCTCCGACGGTACTATGCTCATTCGTGGACCAGCCACAAGGTCAGAATCATATCGAAAGGGACTTTTGATCGGCAGCAGCTTCCAGAGGGTTTAAAATCCCGGAATACGCTCACCCCACCTTTCGGTGTCTGTTCCGTCGATTGATAGTCATTGGGTGCCCCGGAAGCTTCATAGGTGAAATACTGGGCAAAGCACGCGGGTTTGGAAGTGCTGAGAAGACCGTTCTGGGTCTTTTCGATGAAGATCTACCCACGAGTCCAGTAATAACGGATTAACCCCCAACCTCATTGTAAGATTTGGGTGGATCAGTGGCAGAGGGCTGCGCGTTGCGGGCTGACTTGGTAATGGTATAGTATAAGACGGGAACCACCACGACCTTAGGTAAGATCGGTTGCGCAAATGCCACAATAACAATATCACTAGTGCTGGGATGGAACTCTTTGAGATGTTTCATAAATATTGAGCACTGTCGGTCGATTAAGTGGACTTCAGCTGGGGCAAGGGAGGAAAATAATTCTTTTTTTCTTTTTTCTTTTTTTTTTGTTGTTTTGGGTCTTGGATTTTCTTTTTTTACCCCATAAGGTTTACTTACCTTTTCTTACTCGTTCGAGGCTGTGGAGAGAACTGCAGACTAGTAATTAGTCGCTTTTCCACCCCCGCATGACGGATTGCAAATGATGATGCTCCATGCGTGGATATGACTGGGTCTCTTTGAGCTCAGGGATCACTCATGCGTCAATCATCCCAAGCCATGCACCTGACCATTGGGGTGCAGGCGAAAGTCTGACGATGGTTGGAGTGATCGCCGCAAGTTCCTTTTCGGAACCCTAAATGGAAGGCCCGGGCCATAACCTCCGCCCATACCTGCCTAACACATCGTGAGTTGAACCACCATTTCTATCATAATGCCTCAGAACTAATGGTGTCCGTATGTATAATTATATCGTACAACAACAATGGATTGTCCACAATTTTCCGACGTGTTACACACGGAATATCAATGCCAGAGTCAGACCCGCCAGGCAGACCATGTGACGTTGTGACTTCCTAGGATGTCTCGTATGCAGGGGCAGCAACACTGGTGTTTACGTCTGCAGCCATGTCGTAACCCCCAAGGCCAGATCTGCAATCCTCTTTCTTCTTTCTCTTTCCTCTGGTAACGTTTCTTTTCCTTTTACCCCTTAGACTAGGACCTAGGTAGTCGGTTGTCGTACTTCCGCTATTGAACCTAAACCGGGTAATCTTTTGCGTGACGTCGGAATGATTGGGTCTAATTCGCCTTAGAATCTTGAGGTATACCTCGAGGATCCATGTCCGATCGGAAACATTTACGAAGTATTGTTAATTCAACTAGTAAACTTCCTGAATTCTCAGCTGCAAAGGCTCCAAGGCGCTAAGCATGCACGTGATTACACGATCAACTACACATAAGGCTATACCTGATATGGTTTAAACTCTCCCCAGACGTCCGAGAGATTAGTTGTATTGCGATCCTGGTTCAGGTTTCGTGATACGTCCTGAGTGTCATATTCGGAAGACCTAAGGACTATCTACGGCAACGGTAGATCTCCGGAGGAATAGGTAGGTCGGTTGAGATTGGGCTGGCTCAAATGGGAACTCAGAGGAAGCACTATGGATCGGAAGTAGAATGTAGAGCCGTAGAACCTGATATACTATAGATTTTTAGGCTACTTTAGACCCTCGTCTCTTCGAAGTCCTCCGAAGAGAGAAGAAATGATAAATGTTTTTCTCCCTAGGTTCAAACCGTTGCCTCGGCCCAGCTGGCTATTTAGCAAATTGACAGTCGCTAAACCGAGGGTATTTCAGTTTCTCACTTATACAGTTGAATTGGACCTTACTCTGTCTTGGGATTACTAGCATTGTTGGAGCCTAATCAGGCACCAAATTTAGGACAGCGTCTATATTATATATCTCGGTTATGGCTTGTTGGCTTTACTCCAGCTCCATTTTGATTACCTCACTGATTTAGTATCCCATGAAAACTTCTCTATCTGCCGAACCATTCTGATTGAATGCGTGCTCACCAGCTTGCGAGAATCTCCAAGGGATGAGCATACTGCCGATGTGGGGGTACGGATGTTGGCCAGATAACTGACTGAATGTCCCTATAGTATCTTTACCAAATAACTATAGAAAGTGGATGGTGATCGCGACACTCAGCGTCAATATGATAATACAGCCGAGGGCCCGTCGACAGGCCCAAAGCCGCTACTTCACGTGTGGCAGAACATATGTCGCCTTTCTGTTTGAACCATAGGCATGATGCTGGCCATTCTACTTGAAGTGGAGTTGTGAGAAGCATAGCGAGAGTGCTGTTCGAGCAGATGGAAAGTCCCCGTTACATACGCGCTGTTTATGCATCCCATATGACGCTCAAGTTGAAGGAAGAGAAATTGGCCTAATTAAGTATATCAACCCCATCTGCGCTTATAGGAGAGAGAAATGGACGATTCTCGGATCTAGATATCTTTAATGGCCTTAGTAGCGTCTTGGACAGCTGCAACGAACTGCAACGAACAAGTATAGGGAGAGACTGGAGCAGGGAAACTCACCTGGCAATAAGGATGTACACGAACGCAATTGATTTGGGGGGAAATGAAAGAAAATAGCTAAGTATCGGCGAGGACGCTCACATGCTATGCGATACACTAGTAAGACAAAGATACGATGATATCTCATATCGAGGGAAAGCTGCCCAAACTGGACCTTGCAAACCATTGAGGAAGAAAAGATAGCTCGTGGTCCGACAATAATGAAGATTCAATTGGTAGCTGACCTGTTTTTCACATGGCTCGCAGAACAGTACTAGTATGCATCAGCATCGACAAGTCCGGGGATGCGAGAGATATGATTAGTAATACTAATGTCTGGGACAAGGGACAGTTGTCTGGACACTGAAGACTCCTCTCCAGCTATCCACTCTAGAAAGATCCAGCTTCTACTTAACTGCCCAGCCTTGAGCAATGTTTATGCGGGGCGTCGTGGAATCATTCATGGTAGCTGGCAGTCACGTGAGATATTTTCATGATTGGTTGATTGAAGATTAATCCTATATGTTTGCCACCGCCTTCCATTTTAATGTCACGCCATTTTCTACCATCGAGCTGTTCCTTGACGTTGACCAGAATCTTACCTGCATCCTGGGTTTGACCACCACTGCATTGACCCATTACCAGCCATTATCCTCGAAATAAGTCACCGAGTTACGCAGTTCACGGAACCCCTTGCTTACAGATTTGGACGAGCTCCAGCGCCGAATTGTATCCGAACTCTGCTGCTGCTCAAGTTTGCCGCGAGCATTCCAGCTCGTAATCACTCGTTGCATTTATAACCAAAATAGTCACATATCCTTTTCTTCCTTCCATTTTTAGTACGATACGACACAACCATGTCCGCAGAAGTTAGTCACGCCGCATCACAAATCTTGGCTTCCGGTAGCGAGCGCGACCCAAGCTACAACGATTTCTCTTTCACCCCCTTCTTGCGCAATAGCTTCGGCTTCGGACTCGCCTGTGATGTACCTGTCTGCAAGGCGTACAGTGAAGGCCATTGCCCCTTAGGGCCTGCCTGTCCCGATCGACATCCGACCCCATCACGAGTGACAACGTCCACGACTACCGCTTCCGGATTGGCACCGTCTACGACGCACGGGTCACTCGTCTGCAAGCACTTTCTTAAGGGGCTGTGCAAAAAAGGCCTCAAATGTGAATATCTCCATGAATACAACCTTCGCCGCATGCCAGAGTGCCAGTCCTTTTCGCGGTCAGGTTACTGTCCGAATGGTGACGACTGTTTGTATCAGCACGTGCGGGAGCAGGCTCGGTTACCGCCGTGCGAACACTACGATCGGGGGTTTTGCCCGTTAGGACCGCTATGTGCTAAACGTCATGTGCGCCGACGTCTGTGTCAGTACTACTTGGCAGGGTTCTGCCCGGAGGGCAAGGGTTGCGCGGACGCTCATGCCCGGTGGATTGAGAACCTCCCCAAGCCGTCAATTAGGGTGGAGAAGACCGAGGAGGAATTGGAGCGAGAAAGGATTTTAATCCGGGAGGAACAGGAAAGGGAAAAGGAACGAGAACGTGAATGGAGGAGTGAGCGGGGACGCGGGGGTGGATTCATGCGTGGTCGTTTTAGAGGCCGGGGACGTGGGCTATAAGCGGGGACATGTCCTGTGAGATTTTTGGATAGGAGAGAAGAGAAGGTTATTTGATCGTGGTGGATTTAAGCTTATTACTAGAACGTTTGAGATACCCAAGTTCAGGCATTGACAATTTTTTTTTCATATGTACTCTGCATAATCTAGTGAACTATAATAGCGGTTGATATAGGGTATAACACAAAAGGAACAATGCCGTGGCCTGTCATTGTATCTGATCCTGTGCAACACAGTCCAGCCACAGATCGGACTCTCGATTGAGGTGACATGGCGTCGTCGTACCTTCCGGAGTGGATGACATCACGACAGCAAGGCCAGTGCGTTGCTATGTACCTACTAGTATAAGTATATACCTAGTGGTAGATAGATTCCCTCATCAAGACGGAATTGAAGCGCAGAGGGTTGTACTTTCAGTCACCCGGATTGACAATCATTCTTTATTATCTGAATAAGAGATCATTCAGCAAGGTTCTGTTCGGATCGAACGTTCTGGGAGCGGGAAAGGGGACCATTTGATAATCATCAGTAAGACTCAGCTAAGTCACCATCCCCACTGATGATTGGCCCAGGAGGTGCCGGTGGAGCGATTGATATTGGGCTGGATCCCCGGGAAACCCCACAGTCTCCCTTCTAGAACCAATCATCCGACGCTTCTCTCAAAGCTAATGGATTCTGTAATCGATTACGGATCTTTTGACAAGCTTGTTGAATTCTGGTGTTGAGGTCTTCGAATGGAGGGGTAGCCCCCGACCCCTCGTGGTCGATCGTGGTCTCGCATATATAAGAGTACTCGCCTTGTCCAGCCGATACTTCAATTGTTCATCCATCTCCCAATTAAGAGTTCCTCGATTCCCCCATTTTCCATTAAAATCAAAACCATCTACCGTCGCCATGGCTCCCAAGGTTGCTATCGTTTACGTATGTAACTTTAACCTTCCTGCTTGTCTCCTTACATTGCACACAATGGCTAACAAACGGTAGTACTCTATGTACGGCCACATCGCCACCCTGGCCGAGGCTGAAAAGCAGGGTATTGAATCTGCCGGTGGCCAGGCCGACATCTACCAGTATGTTCACACAAAGAAGCATTAGCTCGTAAAGTCTACTTGCTGATGATCTTTCCATAGAATTGCTGAGACACTGCCTGAGGAGGTCCTGACTAAGATGCACGCTCCTCCCAAGAAAGATCACCCCATTGCCGACCCTGATAAGCTCAAGGACTACAATGCTGTGCTGTTCGGTATCCCTACTCGCTATGGTAACTTCCCTGCCCAGTGGAAGGCTTTCTGGGACCGCACTGGCGGCATCTGGGCCACCGGTGGCTACTGGGGCAAGTATGCCGGTCTGTTCGTTTCTACTGGCACCTTGGGTGGGGGCCAGGAGTCTACCGCCATTGCTGCCATGAGTACTCTTGCTCACCACGGCTTCATCTACGTTCCTCTCGGCTACAAGACCATGTTCCCCCAGTTGTCCAACCTCCAGGAGATCCACGGTGGTAGCGCTTGGGGTGCTGGTACTTTCGCTGTAAGTTCTGCATCTGTGTCTCGTTGCGTAATCATTTGCTAACATATCCATCCATAGGGTGCCGACGGTTCCCGTCAGCCCACCGCTCTCGAGCTCGAGATCGCTCAGGGCCAGGGCAAGGCTTTCTACGAGCACGTTGCGCGTGTCAACTTCGCTTGACTGTATGGTAGCGAGGAAACCAAGCCTGAGTTGCAGCCTGCCGCTGCACCACAACCACAACAACAGCAAAAAGAGCAACCCACAAAGACAGAAGCTTCCAACGCTGCACAGAATAGCCAGCAGAATGAACAGAGTACACAAGGGGCAAAGAAGGAGAAGGGTGAGGGACCTTGTGGTCTTCCTAAGTGTGTGATTTCCTAATAGGCTCCATTGTATACCCACCTGATCTTTGTGTTTTGTCCATTTTGTTGTTTGTTGTAATGGCGTTTTGTGATGGGTCGATACCTCATTCGGACTTTAGATCTGAAAATGATATACCATACCTACAAATAGGATAATAAAAGACTTCATGAACCTTTCAATAACGAAGAGTGCATGGTGGTGTACCTTTTCCCTTAGTGTTTTGGTGGTAAAATGGTGAGGTCGTAAGAAACTCGAATTGATGATAGTTTCTACGGAGTATAGCGCTCATATTCCGGTGTTGGGGAATTCCCAAATATATCTTTAAATCCCTTATATCAGAGAATCATAGCAAACCTCCAGTATAGTAATTAGCTGGAGTATTGGTGCTTAGATTACGCATCATGATTCATATATGGTCGCTGTGAGTGTGCTCTTGCGGGGTTCTGGTAGCAGGGCGGTAACCGGCGGCGATGACGATAGAGCTGTTCCGCCTTCTCACCTTCTCCTCCAACTTGAGCTCTCTTTCACTCTCATTGCGTCTTCAAACCCGCCACTACCGAACTATACCTTATGCTCCCATCGTCATGATTCCATGAACTTAATCAATATTTTCATATACCCATAGACGGCATTACTCACCATTCAACTGCCTTACACCTTAACACTGATCAACATCAAATCCTCCCCATGGCGTCTCGCCCGATCGTTCTGAGATTTGAGAGCCGGAACGGCCAGTTCCGGTTGACTGTCAGCCCACAAGAACTATTTCCCTCGCTCAAGCAGAAGGTACTTATTTTTATGTATTTATTTAGATATCTGCATCAACCGTGTCCCTTCATTTAACCCGGTGCTACCTGGATGCTAACGATCCCATTGTAGATTTTGGAGCACCTACCTCCAGATACTGAACCCTCTTCGATAAACCTTTCGAACAAGCCCATAGGTACTGGCGGTGATGAGAGACTTTTGGACACTCTCGATGGTATTGCACTTGGGACTGTCGGTCTAAAGTCAGTTAGCCAATATTGGGCGGTGTCGTTCTGAAACTTGCTAATGCTGGAAGTAGACACGGAGACAAGCTGTACCTTGGCTATCAAGAAAAACAAAGCTTGCAAGATGGCTCTGCGAATGGTCATACTACAAATGGATCCTCTCGGCGTCTGAATGGAGCCCCTGTTCCGCAAACTGAAACCGTTTCGATTCGCCCCCAACCTACCTCACCGACCACTATAATCAAAAACCCCTGGGATGTGGTCCAGCAGTCGCCCCTCGACGAAGCGTTGGATAAGAAGGATGGGAAAATAAAGCGCAACCGTGACATGAAAATGTGCAAACATGGTCCCAAGGGCATGTGCGACTATTGCATGCCGCTAGAGCCTTACGACCCCAAGTACCTCGCGGAGAAGAAGATTAAGCACTTGTCGTTTCACTCTTATCTGCGGAAACTCAATGCTGCGACCAACAAAGCCGAGCTCAAGAGCTCCTTCATGCCCCCACTCAGTGAACCATACTACCGAGTAAGACGGGATTGCCCATCTGGACATCCTTCGTGGCCCGAGGGAATCTGTACTAAGTGCCAGCCAAGTGCGATTAGTTTGCAGCCTCAAGAGTTTCGTACGGTGGACCATGTGGAGTTCTCTTCTCCTGATCTCATTAACTCGTTGCTCGATTTTTGGCGTAAATCCGGGGCTCAACGGCTGGGATTTCTCTACGGTACCTACGAAGAGTACACTGAGGTTCCTCTGGGAGTCAAAGCTGTGGTCCAGGCGATTTATGAGCCACCTCAGGTGAACGAGATTGATGGCGTCACGCTTCATGAATGGCACAATGAGAAAGAGGTGGACGAGGTCGCACGCTTGTGTGGCCTTGAGAAAGTCGGTGTCATCTTTACTGACTTGCTAGATGCTGGACAAGGGGACGGCTCGGTTGTTTGCAAGCGGCACATTGATTCATACTTCCTTTCATCCCTAGAGATCACATTTGCAGCGCGGTTACAATCTCAATATCCGAAAGCAACCAAATGGAGCCGGACTGGTCGATTCGGTTCCAACTTTGTCACTTGTGTTCTCAGTGGAGACGAGGAGGGTGCTATTTCCGTAAGCGCCTACCAGGCGTCGGTTGCGGCAGTTGAGATGGTCAGGGCAGATATTGTTGAACCGTCTGCGGAGCCCTCGGTCATGCTGGTACAGTCCGAAGAGGATGATTCTGAGAACAAATCACGGTATATACCCGAAGTCTTCTACCGAAAGATTAACGAGTATGGTGTTAGCGCCCAACAAAACGCGAAACCAGCTTTCCCCGTGGAGTATCTCTTGGTCACTTTAACTCACGGATTCCCCACGGAATCCTCCCCGCTTTTTGTTGAAGGTAATTTCCCAATTGAGAACCGTGAAGTCATCGGTGAAAGCCAAGAGCTTCGTCACGTCGCGAAAAGGCTTGTTTCCCACGGCGACCCTGACAAGGCGATTCGCGCCGTATCCGACTTTCATCTTCTGTGTTTCCTCCACTCTCTGTCCACATTCAGCAAGGTAGGCAAACCCACCATAGACTGACTTGATGGTCACGACAAAGATTGACAAAATAATAGGACGAGGAAGCACTCCTCGGCCGCGTTGCGACAAATCATGACCCCGCAGATGGAGTCCAGTTGATAAACACCCCCGGGTGGGCGACGTTGGTCACAATTCTTCAGGAAAGTGGTGAGCGCCCCCCTAAGCGCCCCTGGCTGAGTTCGGCCGATTCTCCACGCGCAGTACCCCAAGCTGGGAAACGTTTATTCCCCTCAAGGCCTGAATCTCCAAAATCAGAAAGTGAACAGCTTGCTAAGAGGTTCAAGGGAGCTAGTCTAGAGTGACTGGTCGATCCGAGCCGCGTAGCCACATTCCCCCGTCGAACCGTCATCCACCCTGCTCCCCTCGATCAAAGCTGTCATGTCATCGGACGTCCTGGCCTAGCGTACGCCGGCTGTGCAACAACGTGCTCGTGCCTTAAGAGTATTTCTTGATCTGTTCTCCCGACCCCCACCAACCCTATTCATATATTTCGCCTGGTTTAGGTCTTAGATCGTGAGGATGGACGTCTTGTGATATAGCTCTCAAAGATATTAGATGGTACGGACGGAATGAATTTGCATTGCTGAAACAATTGAGTTCCTGTCTTGGGATAATTACTGGCTATTCTGTAATAGTCGAGTTTCCAAGTTTGTGCGGATTACCACACTGATCTCAGAATGTGAGATACACCTACAGTTAAGGTACCTAGAAACATCGCATTGTGAAGTAGACTATATTATGTGAATTACACCACAATGGACCGTAAAATTTAACCTACCACACATGAGGGTTCCAAGCAACGCCAACCAGAAAGGGGTAACATAAAAGAATGAAACCAGAATAAATCGAACAGAGAATAGTAATAAAAAATAGATATGAAACGAAATGGCCTGAAAAGGTAAAAAGGAAAGACACAACAATCCCCAAGGGAAAAAGGGACAAATTACTTCTTCCCCTTACCCTTGACCATCTGCTTCAGTCTTTTCTCCACGATCGAACGGCCCTCAGCCGATCTCCACACCTCATGTGGTGCCCCGCGAACAATATCCCAGTTCTTGAGATTCTTCGTCACTTTCGTCAATTCCTCCTGGGCCTTCCTCCACTTCTCACTCTTGCGGACTTCCACACCAGAACTGATGACCGTCAACGGCGTGTCGGGCATCTGCACATGTCGTGCGGTCTGGATTTCCGAGGCAGTCATGGACTTGGCTACCAGATTCTCCTGCAACTTGGCCCGGATGACCTTCGCGGTTTGATAGGCGCTGCGACCGATGACGCGGTCCTCCCGTGTCCGGCCCTTGAAGATGGCTCCAGCGAGTCGGTCGAGACCTAGAGGAGAGAGTACACCCCGAATCCAGAGGATGAAGCCTCGTCCCGGTGAGCCCAGGCTGTCCAGGTAATCTTCGTGCAGGGTGTCGATGAGCATGATCCCGTCTACCTCGAGGAGATGGCGGCTGGCAAAAATGCGACTGTGGATGCCGCCTACTCCGGCCGAGACCAGGACCCAAGGGCCTTCTTCGCTGGCGAGAGCGAGCGCCTCGGACAGTGAGTCGGCTGCCATGCCTGCGGAGTAAGGGGACGGCGCGTTGTCGGACCAGGCGTATCCTGGTCGGTCCCAGTAGCAGTAGCGTTCGATGGAGCCGTTGCGGTACGCATCATCAATAAATGGTTGCAAAGTGTGTTCGACTGGTCCGTGATTACCTTCCAATAGGACCGTGGGAATGCGGTCTCCATCTTCGGTTTTGCGACCTGGGTTGCCGACGCAGTTTAGATGGACTTGGTAGTGGTTGCCATTGACGTAGTACTTCTTGCCTGGCGCAGCAAGGGAGGAGTCTTGGATGCGGATGATCAACGTTGCGGTGAAGAGAATGGAAACGATAGCGAGAACGACCATGATGATGGTGGCGATCAGTACGGCCAGCCATTCTCGGAGGGGGCGACGCGTCTCTTCGCGACCTGTCAGGCGCTCTTCCTCTTCCTTTTTGCCCCAAGCGACGTAGTGGTTCTGTCCAATGGCATAGATTGAGATGAATGTTGCCCAGACGACTGAGGCGATGCCCACCCAACCTTCTTCGACACGGATATGAGCTACGCCCAGTATAATGCACATATCAACCAAGAGGAAGACAAATAGGATCGCGCCGCATATCGTCATCGGCTTCGACGGTACGGAGAAGAAAAGGAGCGCGATTATCAGGTAGCCGACTGTTAACGAGGTGTAGGCGAAGCTGAAGAAGCCGGACCCTCGGGTATGCATCATGGGCGGGCTGACAAAGATGGAGACGAGTAAGAAGGCCCACCATATAAAGCTTATCACGAGGAAAAGTGACGAGAGGGCTCGCAGAGCTCGAACGCTCCAGAGGTTGTACGGAGAGACCTTGCGTTTGCGACTGTCAGCGGGATAGAGCTTTCGACTAGCCTTTGAAATAGAGGTTGGCCAACTTACTGCAGGATCATCTGGTCTCAGATAAGCGGTATTATCGTGAGGTAGGAGTCTTGTGCGCTCATCTGGCTCTCGATACTGAGGTTCATGATAGTTTCTGGAAGACCCTTCCTCATCCCTATTCTGTGATTCCTCCCTGTCGGGGTCGTCCTTTTTCTTATGCCAAAGTGCGACCATGGTGTGCTATATTGGTATAATCTGGGAGGCCTTTGCGTGGAGGAGAAAGAAAGAGGAAGTAATAATTCGCGTCAAGAGTAATCAAAATGCGGAAATTCCTCGAAGATGAGGTGACGTCATGGGTAGGACATGCACCTCCAGGATTAGCAGGACAAGGGTAAGGTTAGATTTAAGGGAATACTAAGGATCTGCGGGTATAGAGCAATGATGCACCCGCATCCAGGTAAGTGGTAATGTAGGGAGCTGAGGCATTGGAACGGTTGGTGAAGTCATCGATTGCTCATGCCTGCATAACCATGGATTGGCCAGTGTAGAGACCCCAACCAACTAGAGTACATGATCTTCTGGAAATACGATAGGTGGCTTCTCTTCCAATAGTGGGTGGGATGTGAATTCCTTTTTGAATGATATTCAAGTTGGGTGTAAGATGAGAGGGGGAAAGAGAGACTTAAAAGTAGTTGTTACAACAATGGTATGGATGATACTGGGTCATATGACCACTGAACTACTCCTCATGTCATGTTTCAATTATACTAAAGTATCTAGAAGAGTCTCGGCACCTGGAGCCGAATCATTCACTGAGACACTGACTGGTTACTAGAAATTAAGGTATATTGGTTGAACAATCCAGAGGTTCCATTCCAATATGACGTCATGGGAGATAATATGCCAGCCTGAGGCAGGGACGAACTCCAAAGGACTCAAAAACGTAAACTAATTCATATTTCCAGGCACAGAAATCAATCACTGTCCGGTTTTCGAATAACCGCAGCTTCAGGGCTCCTCGAAATAAATCCCCGAGTGACCAATTCCCCCCTACAATACAATACAATAGATCTCTTCCGGATTATAGGGTCCATCCTGCCGATCATCTAAGAAGATCCATTCATCCCACCACCCCACATGAGCTCCCGTCCACCCTCCCACCGAAGGAAAACAGTCCCCGATTCATTAGCACCAAACATACCATAACCCACCTCCATGAGCGAACTGCAGAAATCCTTCGCCAAAGCAAAACTGGCCAAGCTCCCTCCCGAGGCCCCACCGTTCTCCATGCATCCACCCCGCGATGAAGACGACTCCGAGTCCGCCTCGTCAACGGGGACCGTGGTTCCCTCGCCCAGTCGGCAGCTGTTTGCTAGGTCTCGAGGGTGAGTGAAACGTACTCTTGTGATACGGAGCTGCTGTGATTGTTTCTCTTGACTGTGCGATTTGTGACTTTTTTTTATCATTTCTACGTGTGGGGTGGTTTTCCCCCCCATTGTTAGCTATACTGACGCGTTTCAGATCTAATTCCACCGAAACATTAAATTGGACCGATTTTTTCACTCAAGAGCTCTTTCTCGTTCAAGAGACAGACTCTGCGCGCATAACACACCATGTATACCTGACTCCTCCCACAAATTCGGGTCCGCTGTTCGTCATGCACCATGGCGCCGGCTCATCGGGGCTCTCATTTGCAACCTGCGCTGAGGAGATTCGGAGGATCCTTCCCAAGGCGGGAATTCTTTCTATCGATGCGCGAGACCACGGCCAGACGTCTACATCCACGGAAGCGGGAGAAGGAAAGGTCGAATTGGACTTAAGCTTGGAGACGCTCAATCGGGATTTGGTTTTCATTGTCCGTGAGACGCAGTCGAAGATGGGTTGGGAAAGTCTACCTGATATTCTCCTTGTGGGACATAGTCTGGGTGGTGCAGTCATCACAGATGTAGCGAAGAAGGGGGAATTGGGTTCGAAGTTGTTAGCCTATGCTGTTTTGGATGTTGTCGAGGGTACGTCATTCTTAACCCGCTGCTAGATGGCTGGTTGGCCTAAAATGCATATAAGCTTGCTAACTGCAGATATAGGTTCGGCAATGGACGCTCTCCAAAGCATGGAAAAGTATCTTTCTACACGGCCCTCTCGATTCCCCTCCCTTGCCTCAGGGATTGAATGGCAGTAGGTTTCTATCCGGTCTACATCAAACCCACCTCAAACTTTCCTTGTGTTCTGAAGACATACACATACCATGTACTGACGACATCAGCACTCGCTCCCGCACAATCCGCAACAGAACCTCAGCCCGCGTCTCCGTACCATCCCTTCTTTACGAGGAAACAGCGCCCACCGACCCCTCCAAACCATGGGTATGGCGCACCAACCTCGCCGAAACGAAGCCCTTTTGGGAAAACTGGTTCATCGGTCTGAGTAAGAAGTTCCTTGAAGCGCGTGGCGGAAAGTTACTTCTTCTTGCTGGAACCGATCGCCTGGATAAAGAATTGATGATTGGGCAAATGCAGGGTAAGTATCAGCTGCAGGTATTTCCCGAAGCAGGGCACTTCGTACAGGAAGACCAACCGGCCAAGACGGCTCGGGTGCTGGTAGACTTCTACAAGAGAAATGACAGGAGTGCTTTGGTACTGCCGCCCAAGGTGGCAGATATGCAGGCCTCGGCGGCTATGAAACAGGGAGCTGGAGCTGTTCCGCCCTTTGGGAGGGGGCAGGGCTCATTTCATAAACCATAGACAGCGGCTTTTCAATGTCGATGATGATGTCTATACAGTGTACGAGTGTACAAAGACCAAGCAAAATATAATAAATTATAACTACCAGTAGATCATCCATGCTCGTGTCAATGATCTTGAAGCTGTAGCATCCGGTGGGACATGACATCCTCTTCGGTCTTGTTCTTTACCCTCGCGAAGTTCGTCAGTGGTACCAAACCGACTAACTTCTGAATAATATAATCATTTGCAACATTTCCGGATGTTCAGTCCGCAAATCCCAAATAGGATCCAAGTAAGAAGCTAATACATAGCTAATTTTAGATAAGTTGCAGCGGCCACCAACACCATCCCATCAGAATCAAGCCAGGACGCCATCTAGAAAAGCCCAGCCACCAAATGCATGTGACCATTAATATGTCCCCAAAATAATGCTATAAACGCAAAGAAAATTGGACAATATAAGAAGACAAACAAAAAGTGTGAAGATGAAAGAAAACAACCGGGTATCTGGCGCCGTTTTGCATGAAATTCACCCCACTTAAGGAAGATAAGCGCCTCCAGCAATGATCAGATTCATGTTGGTGAATTTCACCTTATAGACAGGGCTCTTCTTAGTTGGGAAGGCACTGATTTGGTCCGGAGAGACGACCACGTCTTTACCTTTCTTCTTGGGAGCAACTGAGCTTGAAGCCTGGGTGCCGGAGGCGGGAGCATTGCCTCCATCGACCTTGGTTCCTGCGCCGCCTTCTCCAACTACACGTCCTTGTGTTGAGTCTTGTGCGGGGCCTGTGACATCCCATACGCGGACGGTCCCGTCAGCGCCACCGGACACTAAAACGGTCGACTCCACGCTCCAGCTTAAAGACCAGATACCGCCCTTTCCATGGCCACGCATGCGCTTCAAGAGCCTTCCGGGTGCGAGATCCCACAGAAGGATGGATCCGTGGTCATCTGCGGAAGCAAGGAGCCTGCCGTCTCGGCTGCATGCCAATGCCGTGATGTTACCGGTGTGGCCGGTGAACATACGGACAGCATTTCCCGTAGTCACAGCCCACATGCGTACCGTATGGTCTGAGCTTCCAGTGAAGACATAGGCCGAGTTCGGGTGGAAGCAAATACAGTCGACATCTTGGTCGTGTCCAACAAAAATACGTTGCTGGCGGATATGGTCCGTTACCCAGAGACGAGCAGTTTTGTCATGGCCTCCGGTGGCGAAGTAGTGGCCATAGGGACCCCACTGAAGGTCCCAGACGGGTTGATCATGTCCCTTATAGACGACCATGCACTGCCATAGATCCAACGACCAAAGCCTGATTGTCTTGTCTGCTGAAGACGAGAGAAGCCAGCGAGCATTCGTCGGTGCTATGGCATTCTCCGTACGTGTTATAGACGGAGCGAATGCCACAGCATACACTGGCCCCGAATGCCCAACCAGGCGGCGAGAATTCGATGGTTGTGTATCGTCCACACTCTCGTAGGTCGATGGGATCCGCTTTCCATCCAAACTCCAGACCCGAATATATGACTCTTGCATACCAGCTGCAACGAGCATATTGTCATCGGAAAAGTCAAGGCAGTTAATACTGTGTATAATTAGCAATTTGAGCACGAAGAAGCAAGGTAAGAGACCCACCCGTCATAAGTATTGTGGAAAGTAAACATGCAAACACTGACAGCCGGCCCAACACCACCGGTTCTTCCTTCGATCCGAAATCTATCGCGGTTCTCTTTAACCTTCTGAACCTCCATGGCAACGTCACGAGCAGTTGATGGTGGATAAGGAATATCAGCGCGAGTAGGAGCTTCATCGTCCTCCTCCTTTTTGATCATCTGATCAAACTCTTGCAGGAGAGTATTCTGGCCTGGGGCCGGTGGGTTTTTGACGTCTTCATCCGCAAGCTCGCCTCTCACATCGGCTTCGAGGGTCTGCTCCATTGGGAGCTTTCCGAGTCTGAGCCTGGGCAATGTTCCAGCCATGGCGGGGTTATCACCTGTATAGGCAGAGCCAGGGTGATGCCCAGGTATACCCTCATCTTCAGTAGGGAACGTCTGGCCCGCGCCAGCTTGCCCCAGCATGGCGGCGAAGCTGAACCTGTCGTCGACGGCACGTTCCTTGGTTATAATAGTGCAGTAGCTGCTCAGAATGGCAGACATGACGGAACCACCCTCCTTTTGCTTGCTCTCGAGGAATTGCATAAGGTTCGAGAACGCCGGGTTGCTTAGAACAATGCGATATTTGTTCCCACGATAGAGCTTCGCAGTCGAATTGTCTTGAACATGCTCCGGAAGAGCGATTGGCTCCAAAGCGCGGACATCTTCAGTGTGTTCAGGCAGAAAAAGGTTCTTGTTAATATCGAAGAATTGTTTCGCATCTTGAGGATAGAAAGATGTGACCATATTGAGGAAAGAATAAACAAAGAGCGGCCAAAGAACGCGTCTAAGCTCCGGCTACAGAGGGTCAGAAGTAGTCTTTACTTCATGTGAACAGTAATCATACCTTATATAAATCCAGATTGTCTTCAACCCAGACTTTGAGCAGGTCTGTCGCCGGGTTAATTACACCGTGCCAAGCTGAGAGTACCAAACATAGCTTACCGAAACCAAGTCTGTACTTGGGACGTGCATCTTCTCCAAGAGGAGGTAAAGGGCGACCATCTATCTCTTGATTTGCCGATTCCATGCGGAGCATGGCCTCAGTACGACTATAGCCCTTCTTGGCCAAGTAGTCAATGACCTAAGGCGGGGGACGTCAGCATCAAGATGATAACATAGCTACGTGCAAGTCTGGCAACAAAACAAAGAGAGAAAGAAAAAGCAACATTGAAGACAGAGATTGAATGAGACCCATATATAATGTCTGAATACGTTATACATTAGGTCCAAGCATATATGTAGAAATGCCACTTCGAAGTTAAGGTTAAGACATAGTATGTCAATAACACGGATCGTGAGGAAGCTCCACATTTATGGTTTACCAGGACCTCGGAAACCCATTCACCACGGAAAACATAATTCAGCATCCAAACATAATCGCACAGCGACTACTTACTATCTGATTCAAATTCTGCTGGGACATCGCGCCACTGGGAGGAGGTGGAGGAGGACCCGGCGTCGGCGCAACTGGGGTAGTTGCACCCATTGACTGTTGAGGAGGCATTGACATTCCACCACCGGGCCCCATGCTTCCACTTCGGGGCGCAGGGCTCGGGGCCCCGCCTGGAGCAGACATAGCCCTAGATATCTAATTCAAGGAGGCGAAAATGCCTAACCTGAGGGAAATGATGGGAAGATAAGTAGGCAGAGGGATGGTGAAGGTCAAAGTAAACGGGAGCTTTGCGGCGTCACGTTCTGATATTGCACTATATCACTTTAGGATTAGTTTGATTCCCCGGCTTAAGTAATCCGATTCTAGTGTTCCCCAGGCCCGCGCACGTGATGCAAGCTTAGCTGCCTTCGCATCTTCATATTCCAATCCTAGACGGAGCCTTACCTTTTGTATCGGCTTTTCCTCCTTGATCCATATACAAGCGCAAAAATGGCAGACAGCAAGGAAGCCGGAAAAACAGATCAAATCTTTACATCGGCGGATCGGATACGCCAATTGAACGAAGTGGACAAGGTAAGAGGCGCTTCGAAACCGAGCGGAGAAGCAGTACTTCGAGCAACAAACAACTAGACCGTCGTGAAAGGCCCAATTGCTCACTAATACTTCACAACTACAGGACGTGGCAAGACTAATCCACTCCGCTGGCCTCGCGATACAAGCCCTCACCAACGCCAGATCAAGCGACTCCGCAGGAGATAACTCCCTCGATTCCCACAAAGTTCGGTTTAAAGAAGCTACGTCGCAGTACTTTGCTCTCCTATCGTCTATCGACGTGCGATTGCGCCGTCAGGTCTACGCCTTAGAAGAGGCTTCCATACTTGCTCCGGATTCGTCCTCCAGGACAGGCGATCTACCTGGCGCAAGCGGGGGAACTGCGGCAGCGGCGAACCCGTTGGATGTCAGTTGGCTTAACAGCCGAAAGGATACTGTAGGCAAGGATAAGGAGGCGGAGCTTTGGGCGGCTGCAAGAGGATTTGTCGAGCAGATTAGCAATCCTGGGGTGAAGGCTGAGAATAATCGTGAGGGAATGGAAGTTGACTGAGCATTCCTTTCACACTCACCCCACTTCGAAGGGAACCACCCGGTAACCCCCAAACATTGGGTAGAGTTGCTACAGTATGTTGGTCGATCTTTGTCACCTTCATTGTATGCACCACGGTCTATCCTAGTGGTAATTCCTGGTCTCGCCCTTACTTCTCTTTTTACTGTCTTGCCCAAGGCCCACAACGAGCCTCGGCATTTATGATACCCAAAGCTACTGAATCAGAGATTCTGTCGATTTTCGTTTCAAAGCTCTTGCGCGGTGATCCAAAGTAGGTTCTGCGGTATAATTTTCATCCCTAGGTTTATACATCTGTTACGAGTTTGCTACTCTCGATAAGCTAGCATTATCGAAATAATGTGAGTGTTAGATCTCCAGGAACCTTAGCTCGAATCTACATACAATAAGTTAGAAGTGCAATGTTGGAAGGCGCAAAATCGAAGATAGAAAATATGCTACTGCCGTGACCACTGCGGTAGCTAGATAGCGTTGGCAGTCACCAGTGACTACCGGTGCATGGACATAATCATCTCCCGCTGGGTAGCGCGCTCCTTGCTTGCTTCCGACAAGGAAGCCAGACCTGTAGCATATTAGTACAAGGGTAAAAGATGCGGCAAATCAGGGAAGCTTACTCCGGAGTTCGCCCACGACATCCTTCGCTTTACCGAAGTAGACCTCCTCTATACGTATTACCAAGTTAGTATGTCATTCAGATATGTACCACATGTACGATTCAAGCCAAAACTGTGGAACATACGCAGCAGGTTCCTCATCTTCAGCTCCATATCCTCAACGAGTCGACCAACATTGGCAACATGGCTTGCATCGGACTCAACGGGCAAGTCCACCTCCACTTGTCGGGTCATGTTACCGCTCAGATCCATTTCACCCAGAGACTCAGTCTCGTTGGCCAGATGAAGGATAACCGTGCTGGTCAGCTTGTAGTGGGACATGCGAGCCCGATCGGTAGCTTCAAACACGTGGATACTGTCCCATTCTCCCGAGCTCTTCGTACCCGGCGTTACCCCTGAGATGCATCAGCACAAGAGCTACCAACACAATTTCACTCTCTTCTTAAGGCTTGAATTCATTCACCCACCCTTCTTCAAAAGTATGACACCAGCGAAACCGTCATCCAAATCCCAGAAGTAAACGCTGCCTACACCACCCTCATAGTACAGCTCCCGGTAGACGTCGAAAGCCTCATTAGCCGCTACTTCGAGCTTTCTCACTCTCTCGCTCGGGACGGTTCCATCATCCAGCGGAGGGTCGAACTCGTTGCTCCAAGGGGAGCGGTAGCTATCACCATCCCGGTTGTAATCGCAGAGCAGGTAATCACGGTTGGTCTTGGAGCACCGGCGGATCTCGAGGGGCTGGTCAACGGAGGAAAGAAGGTCTTCGGTGAGGTCAGGGACAATAGATGTAATCGCCTGAAGGTTCTGTTTGGTGTCCCGAGGGTTCAAGCGCCGCAGGAGGTCGCTGGTTGCAATTACAGTCAGCTCTCGGCCTGAGGTGGGGTACGGGGTTGGGTTGGTTTTCGTATATCGAGAGGGGTATAGCATGCATGTTGCAATTTTATGCGTTCGTACGGAAGGCGTACTTACAGCGCACTGTCAAATTGAGCGTCAGCCATGGTTGGTAAACTTCAACGAATGTCTGGTTGGTTTTGTTGTTTACTCCGTTCTCCAGACCGATCTCAAGTTGGCCGGAACGGAGGTGCGTCGTCGGGTGGGTGGGGCCGTGGCAATTGTCTTTGCCTTAAAACCGAGGTGCATGAACAATAAAGCATGGCCGCTTTGACAACCACCCTTAACTTATAATTATTAAAGTACAATATTACTCTAAATGTGCTATCCCAGCAATTACTTCAAGATTTAATAGACATTCTTCCAACCTTGCAAGTAAATGTCCTGACTCCAGCTTTAGGTCAACGTAACGCAATATGCTGAAACTAAAAGTATCCTTGAGTGAGACTAATGGGGAATGTTATACGTTGTCAATTCATTCAGTTTGTTTAATTTCTTAGCCGGTAAAGTATTCGAGGTTGACATGGTGTGATTAGATTATTTCTAGGAACTACTAATCAAGTATATATTTATTTCTATATGTAACGAGATTTCTCTAGGAACCTAGATTGTATACTTAGAGACCTATCTTGTGTAAAGTTTAGCGAAAGCTCACAATACTAATACCTAACAAATTTATTTCATATATATAATCTCGTCTATCTCAAAATACTCAGATGGATCATTTATCTTACGAAATGGCCAGGGGATTGAGTGAGAGAGCCAACCTTTCTATTGATGGCAGGAATCCCTGCAATGACGTTTCCCCTTCCAATCCTTTGTCTCATGATAGGACGAACGGTACAAGAATAGTAAAGATATATATCTCGCTGAATCCAGTCCGTGACATGGTGAGCCATTCATCTACCTGATATTTGGTAGACATTGGGAAACGCTGCGTTTCAAGTCAGTCAGTCCATGGGTGGAATACCAGTGTCTCTCGGACAGCTTCGACCATTACGTTTCCAGTTTGATTTACTCTAAAATGCCTAATCATGGCTTCTTGGAAGATCGAGCCTTGCAGCGTTGCTGATGCCCCCGCTCTAGCATATAATGACATGTCAGCCTTCTGGGAAGACCCGACATGGATTCTTGTATGGCCCAAGGAAGTCACACTGGATTTTCTAATTGAGCAATGTGCAAAGCGCTACCCGGACACTCTACTACACTCACGCTAGGAGGTCCGTCATCAGAATGCCGTTGACCCTCTTACCGGCGAGCTTGTCGGATATGCCCGATAGATACTGCCTCCTACTCACCTTACTGCAGAAGACGGGAGCCCACAATGGGTCGCTGCGCAAGTACCAGATGTTAGTGATGACGAGGAGAGAAAGTTTCAGCAGTTAGCAGAGTCTGCGTGGTGGTATGGTAGAAGCGATACGCGTTCCATCGATGATATAAATGATGCGGTAATGGACCGTACTCGCGCAGAGGTCTTATATCAGTAGCTGTGATTATTTCGCCCCAGCGAAAGTTTTCAAGATCTCCGATTTATTCAATGTTTTCAGCTCGAGAGAAATGCAGATACGACATATACACTGGAAAAGGTTAGTTGTGTTTAGATTTCCAAAGTGGATACATTCTATTCACGTATATGAACTATACTATCTCTGTCAAGTTTTGAAATAGACGCTGCATGGCGGATAAATCAAGAGCTCGGCGTTGTTGCTCATCGCTCTGTTGTGTCATGAGTTGCAAGAGTATTGAAGCTCTTATCCAAGAGGAATTTGCAGCCACTGCTTTGATAACACCTTCTGTGAGAGGCAGCCTTCCCTTCCTATTCTTCAATATAGTTTCCAATATCGAACTTGGTGCATCTGGGCCAGGATTCGTGGCTGCTGCTATGAGCACCGCGTCCGTTATTGGCAGACTCTCCCCTTTCTGCTTAAATAGATACTGTATAATCGATGCCCCCCCTTGTCGATTACTCGCTGCAGCTATAACGATGCTTTCGGTAATAACGAGAGTATCCCCTCTCTTCTTGAATAGAATCTCCAATATTCTACCTCCAGACTCAGTGTTACCTGCTGCCGTCTTAACGACATCCTCTGTGATGGGAAGATTATCTCCCCTTTGATTGAAAAGAAGCGTCATAACAAAAAGCGCATCAGGGTTTCCCGCCGCAGCCTTAACAACTTGTTCTGTAATTGGGAGAGCGTCCCCCCTATGCTCGAAAAGGACTCTCAACAAATCAGCACTTAGGTCGTTATGATCTGCCGCTTTCCTAACTATGTCTTCCGTGATAGGTAGGATAGCACCCGCTTGCTCCAAAAGGGCTTTCATAGCTGAAGCGCCATCTGGTGCTCTGCCAATGCCGCATACATCTGACGTCAGCACATTATATTTAGATGGAACCGCTATCGTAAGAATATCATGCAAGACAATGGGATTGTGTAAGCAACCCTCATGGTGAGATCTCGAAACCGAGGGTTGTAAGTTGTGTGGCTCCCGGGGAACTGTTGCTCGACTCTTTTCTTGCAGGCCATCCAATGTTGGGGCCCAATCCCAATGAAGAACGAGATCGTGAAGAACGCTCGCTTCTGAAGGAGGCCCTTGTGGAACCCACCCCCTCGTATCATGTATAGTTTTATGCCGTGGAACCACGCTGCTCATGATGATTCTTAGTCCACCCTTCGAAATCCTGACAATAGTCGGAGTTGAAGCTCCCTGGAGCAGGCAGACAATGTCACCAGGGCGAATCGGCTCCGCCGGGGTTTGGAGAAGCCACTGTACACCGGAAGTCATGTATTGATACAGTGCCTCTACTGTATCGCGGAATAGAACTTTAACCTCCTGTCTGTCATATCGTGAGCCAGGCGTTGTGACCGACTTTATTAGCCCTAGCATATAGCCCTTGCCTCTGATAACTGCTGCCTCTCGGTCAGGCCACGTCTGGACGGAAATATCTGGCGAGATGATATGCTTGATCACGCGCTCAAAGACCGTGTTCCATGGGAGCTGGTAATCTGGTCTCAGAGCCTCCGTGTTGGAGTCATCGGAACACATGCCGAGCAATGCGTATACTTTATCATGTAGACAGGAGGCACGACGCGTATGGTACATGTCAATCAGCTCACCTATGGACTGTGTGCCACGTGTGTTGAATCGATAACTAGGGCGGAAGACTGCATCTTTAATAAGGTGATACGCCGACTGCACCAAGCCTTGTAGCTTCGGGTGAGCTGTGCGAAGAACCTCTAAGTTTTGTAAGCCCGAGACAAAAGCGTAACCGTTCATCTCCACAGGGCCACACATAACGATAATGTCCCGGGCCAGAGCCACCTCCTGGAGTACCTAGAACAGACTAGTCAGGAAAGACCCATCAAAACTCGATTCCCGGGCTTCGGCATCTTACCCAAATTCGTTGAAACCATGGGCGTTGCACCAGCGCCAGAGAGGAAGAAAGATACTTTTCTCTATCTGGCCTGTCACGGGTGTAGGTTTGAGGCAAAAGATCTACAGAAGCATCTTCCGCAGCTTTGCGTATGGCTTCGAGTGCCTTGCTGCTTTGATCCGCCTCCTCTCCAAGCCAAACTATGACTCGCCAAGCTTCACCATAGATTGTTCGCATCAACTGGATCTGGTGGGATTTCTCCTGGTCATCCTTTTGATTGATACAGATGGCATCAATCCATAGCAGCCGTGCGACACTGTGGTTTCTTAGGCGCAATAGCACTGCATGGAGATTTCGAGTGACGTGAAAGGCTCTACCGCCTATCAAAATGAACTGTGGCTCGTCGCCTCTGCCCCATACATAAGATAGGGCTTCGTACGGGTGCTGTCCCGCGGAATCTGTCAGAGTGTATTCGATGAGTTCGCATTGCACGCGGGCAGCCTTATCTTCGTGCGGTAATAGACGGAGCAGGCGGATCTTGGTGGAGCCCTTAGTCAGAGGGCGATAGGTGTATTGGGACATGCCCAAGGAGCCACCAATGTGTGAGTGACCGAACACTCTCTGCCACATAATGTATAGATAGGGTCAAGTTTGTCATTTCGGCTCAGCTGGGAGACAGGACCTCATAGCCGCCAGACATATTCCACTAATGCACGCTGGGTAACCTCCTTACTAGTAGTGGGCCAATAAGATCGCAGCACTTGCTGATGATATGTTGTTGCACTAAGGATTACGGTGCTACATATTTATCTAGCGACTAAACGACCTCATGCTGCGGAACCAGCGAAGAATGGATGTTCCTGGGCTGTAGGGGTTTCTTCGTTCTTCCCGACGTCCGCATTGCAAATGGCTCTATAGCCGCCTCTGTCGATCGCACTATATATCCGCAATGCCTATCTATCGTGGATATCTCAAAGGTACAGCAGGCTCACCTGGCGATGATCGCTGATTCCAATCGCTCCTCTGCCAGCGATTGTAGGTTTCTTTTGTGGCTAAAATAGCCGATCCTAGGATTGGGATCTACTTGGGGTTATAGATTAAGAGCTTGAGATATGTACGGATATAGTATTATAAGCATAGACTTTGGTGGGATTAAAGTATGATCAAGATCAATTAGCGCTCGAGTGAATTATAGATCTGAACGGGCACCCTCATTCGCAACGCCCTCGAACAACCCACTGTCACCTCAACTCTCGCGAAATATTCCCTGGCCACATAACAATGGCGGAAGGTCGGAACGAGAGCCACATCGCCGGATACTGGTATCGGCACGACAATACTAGCAGTGTGAGAATCGTCCGCTTCCTCAATCCACTGCAGACCAACGGACTTATTCTTCCACGAACACACACTCGTCCGGAAAACCTGTCCTTGTCCATTGACTGCGCTCTGCCAATTCGGTAGTTCGACCATCGGCGACAATGTAAAATACGTCACAGCCTCCAAAGTGACCTTGACCTGACAATTGTCTGGTAAGGTGGGCTCCGGATGGAGGCTTTCGAGGCCGAAATTGAAGCGGACAGGAGTCATAGTTGACCCATGACGTTGATCCGGAGGTAGGTAGAGCGGCTTTGCCTCTTGTGCACGCACCGTTACGTGCCCCATTTTCGCACCCAGTAGACTCATCCGAAGCCCTGTCGAATCGGATATCTGAATCCCACTACCTTCTCCCTCTGGCCACAGACGAGGTGGCTCTTCAGGGTATAGAGGGAGGAGCTGGATCTGCCGTGTGGCACGAAGTCGCTGATTACTGATGTCTACCTCGGCATGGACGTAATAGATAATGCTGCACATCTCAGGACAGTACCTATCCGAGTTATAGTCAACGCTCGGGGGTAACTGGAGATGATCCTTTCCATGATGAGCAGCCGTTCTAGACGGAATATGCTCAGAACATGGGTCGGATGGGAGAGCATCAGGGATGACAAATGAGAAAGGGAAGATGCGATGATGATGCGATGATTCCTGAATTCCAATGTGGTGCATTTGGAGAAAGGTGTAGTCGACTATACTACCGCTGTTGGGGAAGGGCGTGGTCTTTGTTACGGTTGTTGATGTTCTTCCTGTGGTGGTATGTCAGTCTATGTTTGGTTCTAGATGCGCATGTTAGGGTTAGTCTGGTTATCGTACCAATCAATGTTATGGAAATGTGGGGGCTTTGGGGAACATTCCTCTGGTGGAGGACCAGTTCGCCCTGGAGTCTTTCGCCGGTTGTGAAGACTGTTTGTTTACTAGTTAGACGGATCTCCATCGCGGGAGTAGGAGAGAGGCTTGCGACAAGTTGGGGAATATATTGGGCTGACTTCATCGTTTTTGAAGGATTAGGTTATTTGGCATAGATCAAGATGAGATGAAGATTGAAGGTGATAAAGTCGTGACTGTTGTTATGAAATGCGTCTGCAGCAGAGCACCTACTCCCCCTCCCATCCTTTTATAGTCCTTCAAAACCCACATGATTACGTTCACACCGTCTAATACAGAATTGAAGTGAATGGAGGGGAAATCAGGAAATGATGATGGAAAGGTGACTTGCTTCGGCATGAGTTACCTTTAGCTGTATCTCAATCGCTAAGGGAAGTTGCGTCCGAATCCGCCAACTCTTTAAGCTTCTTGGCAGGCTGTTCATGGCGACATCGGGACCAATCTAATGAGTCACCCTGACTTTAGTGAGTACCGGATCCTGGTTCTAGGACTAAGGATCAGGGCTAGACCCCACTTCATTGTTTTTCTCAGGGTAGACTAGTAGTGAATGTGTCGATATCCAAGGGTTCAATTCCAATTCCTTATATTATACAATAAATTTATCCAAAAAAAAAGGGTCATCACTCATGACAATAATGGGACCTAGCCGTCGCTGTCATCACTGACAACGAATCGACTTGTTTTATGTGCATTGTTGCGCTCAGCGCTCCGAGTAAGAAGGGTAGCGAGGTCAGGGGGATCAAAGTTGTCGTCCGAGTCATCATCCTTGCTTTTTTGGGACGAATAAAACGGCTGTTGTTTCTGGCAGTTCACAACAGAAGACAATAGTTGTTCCGGGGTCACCGGTTGAGAGTCCTCAGCAGACGGGGTCTCCTTATCTACCGGTGCGGACAAATGGTTAGAACGAGGTTTCGTTTTTGATAGCGTTCTACGGCGCTCACGATGAGGCGATAGGCCGGGGACCACCGAGTCGTCCTGCCTGGCTGACTCCAGGGCAAGAATCTTCTTAAAGCGTTCTTCACAGTCCGGGCTAACGCTATTCATCTTTCGTAATGTTCCGATCATACGACGGGTCAAAGATCCGTGTTTCACAACCTTCGTAGGTCTTGCGACGAGCTGGAGGCGAGGAAACGCATCATTGCGAGGGTTGCGGATGAATTGTGGGCTAGTGGCCCCAATATTGCGATAGTGTTGCTCCAGCTCTCTTTGCTGTGCCGAGGTCAGTACAACTTCTTCAAGAGCCGGTATCTCCACCGGCTCCGGGGTCGGCGTCCGAGGCTTCCTACTCTTCTCGGCTTTTGACTTGGGTCCCGCTGCTAGGGATGAAGCTTTAGTGAATCCGGTTTCGACATTGTCAGGCATGTGGAACTTCTTGGGTGGCCTTTTTGGCGCTCGTCCTCGTCTTTTTGGCTCTGGTAAGCCCTGTTCCGCATTTTCGTCCGGGATATCAATTTGGCGTTTATCCGCTACCGGCCGTATGCCCGCTGGCAGAATGCGGGGGGAGATATCATCGTGAAAGGTAAAGCGGGACCCACTAGCAATCATTTGTTGCATCTTCTCATAATTGTCTTTTGCTTTGATGTACGACTCTTCCTCCTTGCCCTCCATAAGGAGGAGGACGATGTTTCCAGCCCTCTTTCGTCCTGTACGCCCCATCCGTTGAAGCATCCGGATTGGCGATGCAGAAGAGTCATAGCATACGATGAGGTCGACTTCTCCAATGTCTAAACCTTCCTCCCCAATAGAGGTTGCGACAATTGTATTGTACGTACCCTTTTTAAAATTCTGAACTATACTGAGTTGGGTCTTTTGGCCCATGCCCTCAGAGCCCTTCGCGCTGGATTGCCCAACGAAAACGTGAGGTCGGATCATGGGCTCATATCTTTTCAGTACCCTCGTCACTTCTTCGGCACTGTCCCGGAAGTGGACAAAAATCATAATTCTCGTGGATGACTGACTGCCATTTGCTTCTCCATTGGACCCTTCACCAGCATCCATAAAATGATTCAGAACAACCGATTTCAGATATTCTAGCTTTGGATGCCCGATAAACTCCGGATCTTTGGTCCACGGCTGAAGATGACTCATAAGCTTCTTAAAGCTCTCATCTTGAACTACTTGTCGCTGGTATTTGCCACCTTTCTGGCCCTCTGTGTTGGACTGGAAGTGCAAGAGGTGACGATAGAAGGGCGTAATTCCGTGATACTTGAGAAGATCGATAGCATGTGCCAAGCTTGCGAGAACGGTGAATATTGCGTTGACCTTGCCCTTGAGTCCGAAGTGTGCGTTTCGACCGGCATCTGAAGCCATCCACTGCTGCCTAGATTTAGTGAGGCCAAATGCAGTGAGCATCATCGGGTCTCTTCCCCAGTATGCATTGAGGGTGCGGAGCTGGTCGACTAGCGGTTGCAGAGTTTTAGAGAGAAGGTCCATGCAGAGAACCATCTCCTCGGAGTTCTTGAACGTCTGGACTTCGGTGTTCCTCGTATGAACGTACTCCCGGATATCGAGAGATTGCTCGGTGCGTATCTCGACTCTAGCTATATCAAGCCCATCGATGACGGCTTGAACAGACTCCACTGTGGAGCCCGGAGTCGCCGTCAGAGCCAGGACACGGAAGCTCTGGTTATATCGGCGAAGGAACTTCACAACTTCCACGTACGCGTAGCCACCTGTCGCGCGATGCGCTTCATCAACAACAAGCAGGACAATCCGTTTCGGGTCTGCTATGCCGGACTTGAGATCATTGATGAGCGTTTGTGGAGTCATAAAAAACACCCGCTTATTCTGCCATTCCTCTGCTCGAATACCTGGTGCAGCCTCGCCGGTGAGCATGGTTGTCTGGGATCGTGGAATTCCCGCTATACCAAAACAGGCGGAGATTTGCTGAGCCACAAGAGGTTTTGTGGGTGCCACGAAGATAATCTGCGCACTTTGGGTCCACCGGAACCAGTTAAGCATAATTGTCGCTGCGATAAAAGTCTTACCTAGACCCGTGGGGAGTGCTACAAGCAGGTTGTGAAATAGCCCTTTCTGAGCGATATTGAATTGATAGTCTCTCGTTTTGCCAAGGTTCGTTGGGTAGACCCAGGTACTAAGAGCCTCTTGATCTAGCTTATGCTGCGTCGGGGGCTCATCCTTTTCTGGTGGGGACCATACCTGCTCTCCAAGAGGCGGTTGGGCTGTTTGGTTTCGGGATGTCATGTCGAATAATGAGGTTTGACGGATGCCGAGCGGGCGGTTTGAGGACTGCGAAAATTGTCTGGTCGCGGGTTGAGGCTGAACTCTAGTCGGCGGAGACAAGGATAAATCCGAGTCAAACGCATCGTCGGGTATATCTTCGAGAAGGAAGGATGTATCTGTTGCACCCTCATTTGGTAATGTAGGGGAGCGCGTAGTTGGTTGAGGTGTCAGGCCTTTTGTGTTTGAAGGCGGAGGCCAGGATTGCTCGTTCTCGAATGACTCTAGAGACGCTGCAATAGCAGCATTCAGGTCGTCGTCGTTATAATCATCGCCACTTGCAGCAGGCGCTTTCGGTGCTGCTCTTCCTTCCCCGCTCGTCTGTGCTGGTATGGTGCTGGCTCTCGCGATACTGGGCTCTGGCTTTTTCCAGCGGGGCCCACGAATCATTTCAGGCGGTGACGGCGGTTGAGTCAATTGGGTGACAAATATATTCTCCTGAATATTGCTGCGCTTGGGAATGAACACTTTGTACTTGGACGGGGCTTCCGCGTCTTCGAAGTATGAGTCTTGGCTGGGCGACTGCAGCTCATCGTGAGTGCCCTCATCATCGTCGACTACAAAGGAGTCAGAGCCATTCTGTGGGCTACCGTCATCACTGTCTTGTTCCGACTTTCTATTCCCGGACGACCGTCGTCTCACACCAGACACGGTACCATCCAGGCGGCGACGCTTGGCTGACCGCGGGGAAGACCCGGCTGTGTTTTTCGCGGCATCCGGAAATTCATCATCTGTTAAATCATCAAATCCCTCATGAAAATAATCGACCGAGCTATCATCCGAGCCAGTCATGTCGAGCCGGACTTTTTGGTGGCGTGATATCCGGCCTTGCGATTTCTACACCTGATACTCTTCATTTCCGCGCGACGCGGTGACGCGAAGTCATGTGAACGATAATGATGTTTGCTTTGTTTGTGCTGATAAGCATTCAACCCAATCAGGACTGGCACATGACATGCCGCCATATGGAAGTAAGTCAGGGAAAGTGTTCAGTCATTGTAACACTACCTCAATTTACTAGTAGTCGACAGTATCAATACGGCAGTAATTCACGGTGGAAGGCCAAAGAATGAACTAGTCGCTTGTAACCTCATAAATTGCCACTGACATGTCACTTGGACAACAATCCAAAGTCTGCAGCAGCACTAAGAAGGTCCACAGCTCGTGTGGCCACCCAGAGAGTGGGACAACAAGACAACACCCGAGTCTAAGTCTCTAAGGGGCACACTAGGGGCTATTTTTGGCCGACAATGGATCCCCCCCAGATTTTCACTCTTCAAAAGTTCACAGACCCTTCCACTAAGACCAACGTGCGAGGAGAACATACAATTACGGCCAACCATCATCTGACTGATCACAAACACCAGTTGTCCAGCAGGCGAAGCTCACTGTAACCTTCTCCCTTACAGCGTCCCCCGACGAATGATGGCAGGCAAAGTGGTGGACGGAATCACGACTTACTAGTAGTAACTTTGGAGACTAGACCAAAGTTGCAACGTCCCAAGAGAGCCCTGGAGGCTTCTCGATCTTGTCGGCCTATAAACTTGGAAAAGTCCGCCGGGCCATCTACAGGGTCGCTCGATTTTACTGGTCCGTCAGGGCCTTAGCCGAAGCTCTCGTGAAACCCGACGAATCAGATCACTCCAATGACGAGAAAAAGAGTATCCGAGTTTCAATCATACGGCAACAACCCTGATACTAAATTACCTTTGCTTGGGATTGTCCCCCTGTCGGTTTGAAAAAAGAAAATTCAAATCGAAATTGAAAGTGAAAGAAAATAAAATTCACCCTAAACCAAGGCAGAGTAAAAATAAAATAAAAGACTGGGCAACCCCCCCGCCCGCTTTAGGTAGCTTTAATTAAATCCCCGTCTTTCTCCTCTGCTTTCTTTCTCTTTCTCCCTTTTCTCTCCACAGTCCTTCGTTAACTACTAACTAACTACTACTTGTCGCATTTGTATACACTCGTTAATTTCTTCGAGTTTTATTATCGCTTCAGCGTGTTTGTCATTTTCAACCCGTCAAGATGAAGCTCAACCTCATTGCTCTGGCTTCGCTGGTCGCCTTGACCGCGGCTCAGTCGACCGACTCTGCGTCTGACTCTGCTACTGGCACTACAGCTGCTCCTTCGACGACTGTCAGCTTGACTCCTCAACAATCCTGCGCTAAGAAGTGTACGTTGCCATTAGTTTTTTTTGCCTTTTTGTTCTCTCTTGTCCCTATACAAAGTTGCCAAGTACACTGCGAAACTGACCAAACTAGGCGACCAAACGGATCTGTGCTGCATCGCTGGATGCTTCCAGGTTCCTTGCCCCAACGATTCTCAGGCTAACGACACCAACACTTGCGTCGCCGCCTGCCCCCAGGGCAGTGGCACCCCATCTGACACTGAGCGCTATGCCGCCTGCCAGAGCTCCTGCTACAGCAGCCACTTCTTCCCCATCACTGCCACGGGTAACTCTGGAGCTTCCAAGACCTCCGCCAGCGACTCCGATGCCACCACCACCGGTACTGGCAAGGACAGCTCTTCCACCGGTTCCAGCGGTATGTGACTTGGAAAATTACGTTACCGTGCGGTCTAGATCGAAGAAACTAATATGCAATGATAGACTCCTCCGGCTCCCGCTCCTCGGGCTCGAAGTCTTCGGGCACTGGTACCAGCACTGGATCTGCTGCCACCGGCACCGAGACCAATGCTGCCTCTGTCGCCAAGCTTCAGCTGGGCGTCTCTGCCGCCGGTGTGGCTGGTCTCGCTCTCGGTATCTGGGTTCTGTAAATGAGCTTGGCTTATTGATTTGGTGATCTCACGTGGGATGGTTAATGGGAGAATGTGAAAGGATGGAGAGGTATTAATCGGTATAAGGATGTCGCATAATGGGTCTACCTACATAGTCGTACTTCTGCGCTGTAATATTGATTCCCAAGCACTTTGTCTTTAATTACATCGGTATTAGCTAATACAACTGCTTCCCCAAGCTGATCCTCGACATTCCTCTCCAGGTTGAAGATGACTACAGTCCTGTGACCACTTTAGACGAGAAAATAGGCTAAGTAAACAAATGCGCCATTCGGGACATCAATCTAACGTCCGCGACTCGTCCTGACATTAAAGGGGGGGCAAATTCATGTAAGGGGAATAAGGCTGTGTTCAATCCCGCGACCCCTTTTATCTGCAGGTAGAGTTCATCCCTAGTAAGTAAAGAAGGACGATGATCCAAGGGAAAGACTAGGCCATACAAAATACGAAATGGAGACGAACTAAAGAATCTAGCAGATGCAAGACAAGCTCCGTTCACGATGTGACGTGCTGATCAACATAGTCAAATTTTGCAGGATGCAAAGATCGTCTCTCCACACCCCCACACCCTTTATTCACATTTAAATCACATAATCCATATATCATAACTAATTAACTAACCAACCTAATATTTCTCTGATTCTTTCCAGCCACCCACGCCCTATCGCATACTCCAGGTATCACAACCAATACGGAGTACCTCAATTCAGGACTGACCCAGAGTACTCCATACCTAACCAGTTCAATTTAAACCCTCCCTAGCAACAACCTCCGACAACTTCCCAGCAACCTCCGCAATGGACCCCTTATTCTGCATACCGTCGACCCATTCCGTCGGTATCGATTCAAACCCATAAAAGGCGCCCGCTAGCCCCCCGTAAACCGCCGCCGCTGTGTCGGCATCGCCTCCTAGGTTTGCCACTGCCAAAGCGCCGTCAGCCCAACGATCATATTTGAAAAATCCCCACAGGGCCACTTCGAGCGTATCCACGACCCATCCGCTGCTGCGCATTTCCGGAGCGGATTTCGCTTGCCAGTCGGATACGGTCTTGTAGCTGGCGAGTCGCTGTGCGAGACTACTGTCTGTGAACTTGTACTCGTTGATTATATTGCAAAGGTGCTCTTTGCTTTTGCCTAGTGTCGGTCAGCGCAGTCAGCAAACATTTCCCCCTGAACGAAAAAGAAAAAAAGCAAAACTCAATTCGAAAAAGCAAAGCAACAAAACAAAAAGAACCAATCCAGCCTCAAAGGCTAAACCACAAACAAAAGATAAAAAGCAAAAGAGAAAAAGAAAACCTACCGCTTAAAACCCCACAAACCAAAAGCGTATAAACCTCACAAGCCTCCAAACAACCCAACACAGGATGCGTAACCTGACTCTGCTCTCTAGCAACTCTTCTCGCTTCCCCCGGATCGCGCCACAAAGCTAGTCCAATGGGGGCAATTCTCATCAAGCTCCCGTTCCCTGAGCGATGCTCCATATCTAGCTTCTGATTGATTACATCTTGGGTACGTTGAAGATCTTCCGTGCCCCGTTTGATCCAGCTCTGAAGGGCAGAGCGCGTCGAGTAACCCACGTCCCAGGCGCGGTCGATCGTGCTGAATCGGCCGGTGGCGAACCAGTCTACGAAATACTGGATTGATAAGGTGTGGTTGTATTTGCCTTGGGAATCGATGATGGATTGCGCTAGGGCTAGAGTCATGGAGCCGTCATCGGAGTAGGATCTGTTGCTCTTTAGCATCGGTGTTTGGATTTTTCTGATGAAGGATGGATAAGATTAGTTAGTTACCCTGCGGGCTGGCGAAAGGGTTTCACATATTCTAGGCCGGTGATGGGCTCAAAGGTGCCGGGGTCCATGAATTGGACCGGCCCGCCTAGTGCGTCGCCTACACAGACTCCCCATATTGAGCCTAAGGTGCGAGAGTTGAGGGATGGTGGCATTGTGGATACTTGGATGGAGTTTGCGTAGTTTATGGTGGAAATGAGGAGGTGTGTTGGAATAGCGATCGTAAGAAGTTACGTTATATATTTTATACTAGGATTCGGAGTCAGCCTTGTCACTGCCTCATGAACAGTCACGGTATATTTCGGTGACTCAGCAGCCTTGTACATCATGACGCAAATACGAGGTTGATAGGTCTCCGTGTCTCAGCTATTTCCCTGCCCAGGTGGACGGGTGGATGCTGTGGAACGAACATTGTTTACTCTGAAGTATCATGTCTAGTATTGGAAAATTGATTAGAACATGCTATCACATGACTGAGGTATCTATTTTGAAGGAACTACACATACAACTATTCAATACTTACTCATGTTATCATTAGCCTTGTCTCATTCCTTCGCTACTGTTAAGATTCCACTTCTCTTAAAAACTATTTACATTGATCTTTAGATTACTGACGACGCCATTGTATCTTCGCTTCTGCCCCCTCCAGCGATTCCGATGCAACTGGGAGATAAATCAACCATGTTACTAGTAAGGTTCAACAGCAACGATGCCCTGATCCCCCACAGCTTCCTTCCACAGACTCGAAACATCACTGGGGACCTCCCACCTCGCTTCGGGCATAAGTGTTACGTAGCACCGGGTCATATCCAACTCATGCGATCGATACTCAAAAGACTCGGGCCTCTCCCTAGGCTTCAAGTATTCGAATAAGATAGCATTCTCATCGATATAACCCCACCCAATCGAGAAGGAGAAATTCCGCAGTCGAGGCATCCGAAGTATCGCAGTAGCCATCGTCTTCATGAGAGGATCGAACATCTGCAGATCGGGCTGTGTCCTCCACATATAGTGGGGGTTTTCACCATTCAGAAGAGCCTCCCTGTATTCAGGAATGGAATCTTGAAATTCAGAATTGAAGGAAGAGTTGGAGTCGGAGTCGGAGGAATCTTCATCGTCGTCATCATCCCGGCTGGAATCATAACTCGGTTCGACATCGGCCGGATTGCCATTATAGTACCATCGCCCATCGTAGGTGATAAGCGCTCCCTGAATCTGCACTTTCTGGAGATATGGAAATGTTTTGTCCGTGTTGAATAGCGCAGGTGAGACCAACCACCACCCTGTGAGATTTAGGGTTGTTAGATGGGTGTCTTCGGCCAGTTTACGAAGGGCGGTGTTTAAAACATCTCCATCGGGATATTGAGGGTCCGTGGGTCGGTTCTTGAAGCTCTGGTTGTATGGGATGTCTTGTTCGATGTATATATTCAGTGTTCGCAAGTTACTCAATGAGGGTGACTCCAATGCATTTGCAAGGGCTTGTGACTGTTAGTAAAAGCCTCGCTTTAGTAGATGGCATATCTTACACGATCTATGTTCATCTTGCATCTCTACTCGTTTAGCCTTGGGCGCATTTAACTCCATAGTCAGCCGTTCCAGGCTGGGCAGTGACGAGATAATTTTCCCAATAGCCGAGGGATGCAGCGAGCGTCGTGCATTAGCAATCATTAATCCCTCAACAAACGGTAGCTGAGGCAAAGAAACCTCAGTATCCAAAGTAAGGTAGTTATCTTCAAAGCTCCATCGCTTGTCCGACAATCCACACCCAAGCTCGGACGATCGCCGATGACGATCCATAGGCGACGATGCAGTAAGTGTCAAATCCATGCCCTGTGTCTGCCAGGAGGACATCTCGTCAAATAAGTCGATGACGCCTTGATTGAAGGCTTCATTATTTGCCTTGATCTCCCTCCTTCTTTCAAGACACAATATGCGGTTCTTGCTGTAGGTTGGCAGATCGATTTCATACTCCAGCTTTCGCAGCAACTTCCTTCGTCGCGGGGTGGAGAATACTTGCCGGAGCATGTCCAAATCAGAACTGTATTTCTTGATGTCTGCCATTGTGAAACGTTCCACGGCATATTGCCAATTGCGCGAGATCGTTGCGTACTGGGCAACCTTTGGAATTGGTTGAGGCTGCCATGGCGTGGGATGTTTGATTGGTGGAACTTCGCGGAGGTGATTGATGATTATTTGCAGAATTTCCTGGCTAAGATAGTCCATTTTCAGGACGGGTAAGGAGTTGAGATGAGGTTGACGAAATGGTTAGTCGACTATTCGGGATCGGAGGTAATCATCTATAGTAATACAGCGTGAGAGGGCTTTATATTCATATCAAAAAGGCCATTGGACTTGCGGGCGGTCAAAGGCTACCTTTTTATAAATGATGCCCCACTATAGGCTCCCGGCTAAGATAAGGGTGGCACTGCTACTAGTACCTAGATAAATATGCACTTAGGGCTAGTCTCTAAGGAGTACTCATATTATAGTATCTATACCTGGATCATTCTGCCAGTCCCACAACATCTTGTTTTAGATAATATAGAACATAATTTATGACTAGTCAACTATGGGCGAATACCAACCAGTACCAGCAAGAATCCCAGAAAGACAAAAGCACACCAACAACAGTATTCCAAGCGCACACCCAGGTCGGGCACAATATTGGTATACGGACCCGAACAATTGGCCAAACCCGGACCAAATACCCAAGCTCGACAGTGTCTGGTGAACAAGGTCAGCAGTATTGCCGCAGAGATCCAGACTCTTCGGCAGTCTGAATGCCTGGCTGATATATCTGAGTTGGTGGTTGAATATTTCTCCTAGATACTTGAAATATAAAGTGGTTGTATTTTCAATATAGAACCATGAAGCACGGTGGAAGGATCCGGTCATGCTTAATAATGAAACCTTTATCGTACCGGTAACCATGGTTGAAAGATATGCAGGCTTGGATGTCCATATTTCCTACTCCACCTAGTAATTCATACCCATTAAGGCAAGACGAACAAATGCGGTCTACTTTAGCAGATATGTCACATAACAGAAGAGATAAAAATACTATGATCAAATACCTCGATATATTTGGACATAAGTCATGTTGAGACACCTCCAAAACAGATGGATGGAAGCTGTATAAACTAAATCAACTGTATTGCAATAGCTGAAGCGGCCATCGATGATTAGAGTATATTATATGAGTACCATCAGCTGACTTCTGTCTCCAGCTACATGCATAAATATGGGGCCAGATCACCTAGAACGTTGTACTGTATGGGGTTCGACACATTGTATTTGCTGATCTCTGTTATAAGTGGATAACGCATGAATTTATCTTTGCAGTAATGCCTCTACTTATTCTTCAACTGTTGGAATGAGCGCCATTAACGAGTCACCTTCTCATCCTCCAAAGACTATGGGCTCCATACCAGAACAGAAGATGCGCTACGAACATTGCTGCTTTTTAAGTCTGGACAAGCGGCATGTGAAGTGACTATGCCTGAAGGCCAGAAAAGCTGGATTGGGTCGGAGAACTGTAAAGAAACCATGTAGGAAGGCCTCTGCCATATGACGCGTCATCAGAGCATTCGTACAACAGTTGGGTATCGCAGCCAAGTAGCAACTCGTGTTTCATGTAGTTTGGATGAGCCCCTATTCTTGAGTTGGAGATAGATGAAGGCAGGTACATCAAGTCTTCGCAACGAATAGGTAGGTCTATTTGTGCTGCTGAATTACTGTATCAAAGAGAGGGCCATTTAGACTTGCTTCACGGTTGCATAGATACAGATTTCCTCCGTCTGGTTTCGGTTGTCGCTTGGCTTAGAAACCACTTAGAATGAGTGAGGCATGTGCAGTAGTAGCAGCTGTAGCCAAGAGCAATCATATATATTGGATGAGGCGCAGCATTAGATACATTGTGGAGCCCTGCAGGCGTGATGCTATTATGGAGTAAAATCGCTCAATAGGAGAGTTATAAAATGGCGGCACTGGAAGAGCTCAAGTCTTGTTATCACTTGGCGCTGACGATGTAGTCGAGCCAGGCGGCTGATAGTCATAGCCTTCTCTGCGTGGGGCCTCCTTGACATAGTTCATTTCTTGCTGAGTTTGATAGAATTTGCCCCTCGATCTATGACAGTTATACTGAGGCAAAATTAGCGGACGGAGATTGAGACTATATTGGCAATTCCAGGCTTCACGTTTGATTTTGAAGGAATATAAGCGATCATATACAGTGATTCCGTTCACTGAATAATTGAGATTGACTAAAATATTGATATGTGGAAATTAACTGTCAAACTTCGTTAGTTGTTTGTTGTTGACGCTGATTTAATGGTGTTGAAAATAAGGTTATCAGTGATGAAGCCAAGCGAGGCAGTGCTTTTCACCCAAACTTGTCACCTCGAGCTATACAACGGTCCAGATCACGATACCCTGCTCCATAGGACAATACAGTATGGGCTGACCATGGACTGATTCGCTGCATAGCTTACTCTGTTGTCCATAGCTTTGATATGTCACCTTGAGTTATCTGCTTGATTGGAGACTAGTGGGTATCTTTGACGTCAAGACATCAACGTTGAGGGGTGTGATTTGTTCACCGTTTCATATTGCTAATTTCTGCTAAGGCCTGCCTTAGCTGGGAACACTACCAAGGTAGCTGACTCGTGGCCATGGAAAACTCTCTCTACACTTGTTTAGTCGATTGAAGGCTTTCGCTAATCCCCACAATGAGCAGTTAGCTCTGAGGTATGACACTCATGTCTACGTCCATTATCCGAAAGTCATTGGGTTAGCTGTGAGTAACCATGTCAGTATTTGCCATGGGAATTCTATTCCCTTTGGCTTTCTTGGCTCCGTCGTCTACTACACAACACAGCCACGATCAAGTCATTAAAGATGCCATACAGTAGTACTACACATGGTTTACCGTACTAAATAATGGTGATAACCCCAACTCTAGGATAGTGTGAGTACCGACAACAATACTGATACAATGAATATTCATCATGGCCATCTTGACTGACCAGAGACACGATACTAACTCTGATCTGGTGTTTACACCCAGGACTGAGAACGTCTTGTCAACCAGTCTTCGATACGATGACGTCTCTCTGTCCGAAGCCTTGGCCCCTGATCCGCAATATGAGCGTGACTTTGAAGTCGTTGACAACAAGTTTGCATTTTCACCCGGACAGCTGAACAAGTTGCTGAATCCTAAATCCCTCGCTGCCTTCCATGCTTTAGGAGGCCTTAGGGGTCTAGAGATAGGGCTTCAAACTGACCTTGTGGCCGGACTTTCTGTGGACGAGAACAGGATTTCGGAATCCGTAACATTCGACGATGCCACAAAGTGTGCCTTCACGAAGCTCGATAGCCAGCCGCGACTATTGACTGCTGATAGCCAGACGCCTATTGTGCAAAGTTCCTCATCCCAGTTCTTCGACAGATTTCGGATCTTTGGTCGCAATGCATTACCCGAACCCAGAAGGAAACATTTTCTCAAGCTACTCTGGGATGCATATAATGATAGGATCATTATCCTGTTAACTATTGCGGCTGTTATATCACTCTCGCTGGGGATATACGAAGCAGCTAGCGGGCAATCCCAGGTAGATTGGATTGAGGGTGTGGCGGTATGTGTCGCTATTATCATAGTGGTGGCGGCCACAGCCGGCAATGACTGGCAGAAAGAGAGGCAGTTTACCAAGTTAAACAGACGAGTAAGTCACACTTTCCTTTCATATCATATTTGAATTGACCCCCATGTAGAAAATTGACCGCGATGTTCGAGCGATCCGCTCAGGACGGCCACTTATGGTACACATCTCCGACATCACAGTCGGTGACGTCTTGCACATTGAACCTGGGGACTCCCCACCCGCCGATGGAGTTATCATATCTGGTCACGGAATCAAATGCGACGAGTCGTCCGCGACAGGTGAATCTGACCACATGGAAAAGGCCAATGGTCATGAAGTATGGAGTAGCATCATCGACGGAACTGCTACTAGGGAGCTAGATCCGTTTATCATTTCCGGAAGTAAGGTGCTTGAAGGGGTGGGGACATATTTGGTTACTAGTGTTGGTTGCTATTCCACTAATGGAAGGATTATGGCATCTCTGCAAACAGAGAGTGAACCAACACCCCTTCAGGTCAAGCTGGCTAGATTGGCAGGGTGGATAGGATGGCTTGGAACAAGGTGCGAGAATTCTACTCAAGATCAGAATCGCCCACTAATAGAAACCCACAGTGCTGCTTTGCTCCTTTTCTTTGTCCTTTTGATCCGGTTCTTAGTGCAACTACCTGATAACGACGCTTCCCCAAGTGTGAAAGGCCAAGAATTCATGGATATCCTTATTGTCGCTGTTACAGTTATTGTGGTTGCTATACCTGGTAAGTCGTCTACGTATAGTAGTCGATAATCTGCGCTATGGCACTAACGACCTTCAAGAGGGACTACCCTTGGCTGTGACTCTTGCCTTGGCTTTCGCTACGACTCGTATGCTCAAAGAGAACAACCTTGTCCGAGTTCTGCGTGCGTGTGAGACTATGGGCAACGCTACTGTGATATGCTCCGATAAGACTGGAACTCTTACGCAGAACAAGATGACGGTGGTCGTAGGATTACTTGGTGCTAATGAATGTTTTGACCAGCAGCTAACTGAGAGTGGCAACCCGTCGACGTCTCCTACAATACTGGAGACACTAGAATTATTTCCTACTATCTTCAAACAGTTGCTGGTTGACAGTATCGCCTTAAATTCGACAGCCTTCGAGGAGGAGCAAGACGGTGGACGTGAATTTATTGGAAGCAAGACAGAAATAGCTCTTCTTCAGCTTGCAAAAGACTATCTACATATGACTGATCTCACTGAGGAGCGAGCGAATGCCCATATTGAACATATATTTCCCTTTGATTCTAGTCGCAAGGCAATGGGGGTTGTCTATCGTGCTGGACCAACTGGATATCGTTTGCTTGTTAAGGGGGCGTCCGAGGTCATACTCAACGCATCAACTCGGACAGTAACTACGGGCCCATCCTTCGCAAATCAGATAGTGACCAAACCCATTTCTGATGGCATTCGCCAAGCCATCTTGGACACCATTGATGGCTATGCACGGAAATCCCTACGCACCATTGGGGTCGTCTACACTGATCTCTTAGACTGGCCTACCAGTCTCAATGGAGATGGCGAAAAGGGCTTTCCCGACTTTGAGTCATTGCTTCGAGATATGACGTGGGTTGGGGCCTTTGGAATCCACGACCCGTTGAGACCTGAAGTCTCTGGAGCAATCAAGGCATGCCATTCAGCAGGCGTCCAAGTTAAAATGGTCACAGGTCAGCCTTTCTCTCTCATCTGAACTTCAGTGGCCTAACAATAGGTAAACTATAGGTGATAATATAAATACCGCCTCGGCCATTGCGTCCTCCTGTGGAATCAAGAATAGCGATGGCATTGTTATGGAGGGGCCGGAGTTCCGAAAATTGACAGAGACGGAGATGGATGCTATTGTTCCACGGCTGCAGGTGCTGGCTCGCTCGTCACCCGATGACAAACGTATGCTCGTCAAGCATCTAAAACGTCTTGGTGAAACAGTTGCAGTAACAGGCGACGGGACAAACGACGGACCTGCTTTGACATCCGCCGATGTAGGCTTTTCAATGGGCATCAGCGGAACGGAATTAGCGCGTGAGGCGAGTTCTATCATCCTTTTGGATGATAACTTCAAGTCTATCGTGACGGCTATGGCATGGGGTCGGGCTGTTAATGATGCTGTCTCTAAGTTCTTGCAGGTACGTCACAGTCTTTTGTGTTCTTGACTCTTATTCCGTCTCTTCCTTCTCCCTGATTCTAACAACCATACAGTTCCAAATAACTGTCAACATCACTGCTGTCTGCCTCACAGTGGTAACAGCAATCTACAGCAACTCCAACGAAAGTGTGCTAAAGGCCGTCCAGTTACTGTGGGTTAACCTGATCATGGATACTTTCGCTGCTTTAGCGCTGTAAGTGACTCCATATATCCTAAACCCCAACAATAGAAGAAGACACCAAATTGGACCCGGATGAGGAGCTCACGTAACCAACACAATCCAGAGCAACCGATGCCCCAACCGAGAAAATACTACAACGGCCTCCAGTTTCAAGGAAGGCTCCTTTATTCACAGTCACAATGTGGAAGATGATAATCGGGCAATCGATATACAAACTGGCCGTCTGTTTCACCCTATACTTCGCAGGTGATCGTATCCTGGGTTACGACACCCGCATCCACCAAAAGCAAGTCGAGCTCGACACGATAATCTTCAATACTTTCGTTTGGATGCAGATATTCAATGAACTCAATAACCGCCGCCTGGACAACAAGTTCAATATATTCGAAGGCGTTCACCGGAATTACTGGTTTATGGGAATCAATGTGTTGATGGTCGGTGGGCAAATCCTCATCATCTTCGTTGGAGGCGCTGCTTTCAGCGTCACGCCGCTGGATGGTGTTCAATGGGCTATATGTATTGGATGCTCAATCTTTTGCATACCGTGGGCTGCTGTGCTAAAGCTCCTTCCGGATCGTTATGTTGCGGTTGTGCTGGATATCTCTGTGAAGACGATAACTTTACTGGTCTATCCTTTTAGGAAGTTGTATCAGGTCATTACTCGTGGTTTCTCCATGTTGGGGAAGGCAGTCGGTGCACAATGGCAAATTATTAAGTCCATCTTAGTGCGCACAGCGAAGAATAGCAGATCCGGTGGTGATGAAGAAAAGGGTGAAAGTGCCAGACAGGTGTGACTGCAATCAATCATTTCTATGTGGATGCCTAGGTAGATGAACTCCTGTCCCCTCCCATCTCATCTTTCGTTTCCTCACATTTTCCCTACAATGAACATGTCTACTCTGTGTGCTATACATATCTGTATATATCTCACGCATCAGAGCATTCGAGAGCAGACCACCAAAACGTCCCAATTCAACACTTAATAAGCGACTACATTGCTCTCCTTGCTCCATGCTATGCCGTCGCTTAGAGAATATAAATGTTCAGACTACCATCATCTGGTCTGGTCAGCACTGACGATATACCTATACATACGTACAGCTTGTTCCAGGATGGGTGGAGAACACTCATTGCATGTTCTGAGACTCGAGAGACTAGGAAAATATGATATATGCGTCAATAGCAGCGTTCACCTGTGAAAGGGAAGGGATGGTTACAGTTCTATCTCAAAAGTCCCCGATAAATGCCCGCTTCACACAAGCACTCGATGTTTTTGATTAGTTTATCTTAAGATTTCTATATAGCGTTCGCATAATTGGATATTTTGTAAATTAATCTCATGATGGAAATACCGCTTCGAAATATTTAGTTAGAAATGTCGAGTGTTGGTGGGAAAACGGGCATTTAACGGAAACTTTTGAAGCAAAACTACGGACTGTATCACATTGAGAGCAAGGATAGGATCGAGTACCTCAACTTCCCTTGTTCTTGCGACCCTGTTTCTTGCTGTTGGTCGTATTTATTATGGATATCTCGTCGGGATGTCATCCCGCTACAGGAAGACCCAGCCTATTTTGATGCAGGATTTGTCTCGATAAGTTCTGCTGATGCTTCAATGACGGATCCGCAACTGTGTCTCTTAGGAGTAGTATGGGAGTGTCTAGAAAATGCAGGAGAAACAGACTGGCGCGGGAAAAGCATGGGATGCTACGTTGGCACTTTCGGGGAGGACTGGCTCTCCATTTCCACGAGAGAATCCCAGCATGTTAATCTCTATTATGTCCTTGGTACGGACACGTTCGCTTTATCTAACCGTATCTCGTACGTCTATGACTTCAAGAGGCCTAGGTAAACGTGGACCATGATATCCTCTCTCGGCGTGTTTGTTTGTACCTGACTTCGGAAATAGTATAACGATCCGAACTGGTTGGGATTACATGAAGCTTGTCAAGCCCTTTATCTTGGAGAATCTAGCTCTGCAGTTGTAGCGGGAACAAATCTCATTTTGAGCCCAAGTATAACTAAAATTATGTCGGGTAACATGGTCATATCAGAAAGTGGTATGTGCCGAAGCTTCGACGAAAGCGCCGATGGATACGGGCGCGGAGAAGCAATCAATGCAATCTATATCAAACGCTTGGATGATGCTATTCGCGCTAACGACGACCCTATTCATGGAATCATTCGGGGCACTGCGTCCAACAGTGATGGATGGAAGCCAGTATTTACTGCTCCAGATTTACTCTCTCAAGAGAGTCTGATTCGTGCGGCATATCGCATTGCCAACATTAGCGACATATCCAAGACAGCATATTTCGAATGTCATGGGACAGGGACAGCTGTCGGTGATTCTGTAGAGTTATCTGCTATTGCCCGTGTGACAAAAGGGGGTTCAGTATCTATTGGATCGGTAAGCTTCCCTTCCTATCCTGATTAGATATCGACGTCTCATGATGCCTAGCTAATACCAATAGACCAAACCCAACGTCGGTCATTCGGGGGGAGGGATCAGCCGCTGGATTTCTTCCTTGTTTTGAGCCCCTTTGCCGGCATTACCGGTAACGTTGGTCAGGCTAACTACACTGCTGCTTGCACATACCTAGATGCCTTTACCCAGTCTCGCCGACAAATGGGCCTTCCCTCTTCCGTGGTTGACCTTGGCGTCGTTGCGGGTTCAGCAGCGATGCAAGACCAAAATATTTCTTGTCCTTTAGACAAGGTGGGATGGACCCGATTACGCAAACAGCAAGTCATTGCCAGCATCCAGCTTGGTATTCTCGAGTCTCAGGCACAGAATACAACCGGAATCCCGTGTTCGAGTGAGTCGATAATTGGGCTCTAGTATTCTAATGAGACGGAGTATACAGAGATGTTGGAAGATGAGAGATTGGGCCGGGATGCAAGTTTTTCAATGCATCGGAATTTAGCCGTTTATGCAGAGAGCCGAAAGCCTAACAACCAGCTCAAGCTGCTCCTTGGGAGGATTGATACAGATCCCCGTCTTCTTAGCGACCCGGAGATGGATAGCACTCTAGTCTTAGAACTGGCGAAATTAATCAATCATCGTACTACTCAGGTATCAGAAGCGGACTTGGAACAACCAAGTGCCATGGCTGTTGACTCATTGATGGCCATTGAGGTGAAGTCCTGGCTAAGTCGCCAACTTGGAGTAAAGTTGACCGTGGACGAGATATCGAAAGCGAATATGGTAGGGACTTTGGCGCAACTCACTCTTGAACGCGCAAAGACAAAGTACAAAGTTGGCGAAGGTAGCACTGATTCCACCAAAGAAAGATCATGATCGATATTTCCGTCTATGTGTCTTTACTTGAGAATCTGTATATATGACATCGGTCACTTAGATTTGTGCCGGAGCTTTTACCTTTGTGAAGTGACCAAGAAATAGGATGATAGAGAAGCGCAACGAGCCAATCCCAAATGCTCTTTAGATTGCAGATTTATATCTCTTAGAGAAGTCATGGTAAGTTGATCGAGCGGTGTCCCATATTCTCGGTAGTAGCCTATTATCCATATCGAAGGTTACGTGATATTAGGGCTAGTAACTACTCATCCTCATTGCCCCCCAAGGAGTCAATCTGTTGCTTCCTTTTCCATAACGTCTATTCCCTCTGTGTTTCTTACTTTGTTTCTAGTTCCGGATGTCAAAAGCTGAGTATAGATTGCTCGAATTGTGCTCTTGATTTTAGATTATTCATTTGAGCTCAATGCAGGCTGCCTTGTTCCGCTTTCGGTGGTTTCTATCTATTTATTCGGTCTATCTTCCAGTTCTCCTGGGCCTGTGCCTTGGTATAGACATTATTCCTTTTGGCCATTCAGTCCGATTCTATTTGAAGTGGATTTATGCTTTAATTATTTCTTAACCATCTTCCCTTTTTGCTATGTTAACATTATATGATTACTCGAAGATTCAAATCAATCAATTACTTAAATGTAATCAAACCTATTAATTCTATAAATCACCGGACTATTTCTCCAACTCCCAGTATAGATCGCATACCGCAAATTACTCCGCACAATAAAACAATGAAAATGGTAAAATAACAAACCCGTATTTTAAACTGCTCCCCCCCCCCCCGCACCAAATCACTCAGACCCAATAGAATAATATTTTGCAAAATTAAAAATAAATCTATATCAAAACCCAAAACCCAACAACAACAACAACCTCACACACCTCACACCTCACCTCCCCCAGAAAAAACCAAAATGTCCCCATCACCCTTACCCCCCAACCTCATCCCCGAAATCTCCGCATTCGTAACAAAATGCATGGCCTCCCACGACCCATCCCACAACCCCCAGCACGTGCACCGGGTCGTGTCATTAGCAAACCAAATCCTAGTCCGCGAAAAAGCCCGGAACCCCTCTTCTTCTTCTTCTTCTTCCTCTGCAGTCTACAATGCAGACATAGTGCACCTCGCAGCCCTGCTCCATGATATTGGGGACCGGAAATATTTATCGCAGGTTGCGGCCATTTCGGAGTCGATTCAGGGCAAGCAGCAGCAGGGTACTCCTACTTCTACTACTACCAGCACCGCGGACTCATCTGAGGCGGTGGATCCTGAGCGGTTGGTTTATTATGTGCTTTTGGCACATGGGGTGGAGGAGGAGCTGGCGGAGAAGGTGCAGATGATTGTTTCGCATGTGTCGTATACGACTGAGCGGGCGAAGCCGGAGGAGGTGAGGAGGTTGATTGCCAATGGGTATCCTGAATTGGGGATCGTGCAGGATGCGGATCGGTTGGATGCCATTGGGGCGGTGGGGATTGGAAGGTGTTTTACTTTTCTTGGGGCCAAGGGGAAGAACTTTTGTCCTGAGGGCATGTGGGTGATGGATAATGCGATTGAGCATTTTGAGGAGAAGTTGGTGAAGCTGGAGAGTATGATGAAGACGGAGACTGGGAAGGAGATGGCTAAAGTGCGCACGGCCAGGTTGAAGGAGTTTCAGGGCTGGTGGGCGGAGGAAATGAACGACGCCACATAGAAAGATCCCTTCCTTACGAATATCGGAGAGAACGAAATGTGACGGCATTCAATGCAATATAAATTAACCTAGAGCCATCAAGTCCGAAATCATGCTATCCAGTCTATCGATTCTCAATACACTATTGGGTATGTGACAGGTGACAATATTATCTGCGATAAATGTGCGCGCATAGAGAAAGGAACGTGTGGTTCAAACAACCTGATGCACTTGGTGATAACCATTTGTTGTGCAGGGTCAAACGACTGTGATGCCATAGTCAATGCCACCAAGATGAGTAGGGAAGGACGGTCAAGTTATCAAGAAGAAATAAAATAAAAATAAAAGGCACACCAACGCCAAAACCGCTGTAATGTCTAAACTAATTGCATGTTGTGGTGTTTCAATATACCTCCGAAGAAAAAGATTATAATGCAATTAGACCCGATCCCGGGCGAAATCCAAGAAGTCGCAGTCATCCTCAAAAAAGCCATCATCGCCTCCAGAACCAGCCGAAGGAAACGATGAGCCATGTCTCTTCTTTCTGCGTGTGGTGATCACAACCTCTTCAGGAAGCCCCGTACTATTGCCAAGACTGATTAGATTCTCCATCTCGCCACCAGAGCCTAGTTGGTGTTCATGTAGCGTCTCGTCATCATCGTCATCGCCGCCAGCACTGAATGGGCGCACATGTATTCTGGTCATGGGCAGGCTCTCACCAAATACCCAGTTGCCAGTAGGCAGATTCGATGGTTCGTCCGTATGACCAGTTTCCGGGTATACGTAGAGACTAACCCTCTGGTCGGTGTGAAAAGGTTGGTAAGGTGCGTTTGTCTCAATCTCCGCCTGGGAGAGAGGCTGGCATTTGAGTTTGGATGCAAGAGACGGCCGTGGATTGGAAGACGGCAAGGCGAGCGATGCGCGAACGGTGGTCTCCGCATTAAATGCGCTAACAGGCATAGGGCCGCAAGGCGTCTGCAAAACGGGGGGCAGCCGGAATTCAATTTCTTTGCCTCCCACCACAGATTGGAGCTGCCGATTCTTCTGAGTAGACATAGTACGTCGCACCCTATAGAGCCGGAAGTGCCCGCTGTCCACCAAGCCTAAAAATGTCTGGTCTTTATTCGTAATCCAAGTGACACGAGACGCAGCTGGGTCCCGGGCCAGCCCATGCAAGCGGTTTTCGCCAGCGTGGCGGAGCGTGTTAACTGTCCCCGTGGCTGCTCCCATTGATTTGCTGAGACCAGCAGCAACGACTTTCCCGCCTCGAACCCCAGCAGACGATGAAAATCCTCCTACTGCAGGTAATGCCCCACCGGCACTTGCGGTACGACCTCTAACCGCAGCGATTATAGGCTGTGTCTTGCCCCCAACGAGCTTAAACGCCGCTGATAGGGGGTTCACGGGGGCCGCTTTGTCAGACAACTCATCAGTTGATTGGTCAGCTACCGGCGGTTTACTGGGTGCTGGACGAGCTCGTCGGAATGGAGGCCATTGGAAAGCACTCCGCGGTAGGTCAAAGACATGTACTGTTCCTTTCCGAGTAATAACTGCCAGTCGATCTCCAGAAGGAGGGCACCAAATCACATCGACAATATAAGATTTTGTCAGACGTGTGTACCGCGCGATTTGGCGCACGTTGGCACAGGCGTTCACGGAATCCTCTGACAAGAATGCCCCGGCTCGACAGTACTTAGCTTGCATGAGATCCCAGACGTGTTGAACGTCTCCGTTCGTGCTCGCTGTAAGCAGCATTAGTCCGTTAGGCGAAAATGAGAGAAAGCTACATCCTTCGGGGGGCTGGAACGTGGCAACGGGGTTGAATAGCGCGGCCTTTGTCTCATTGCTGTCTTCAAGCCTTTTTAAATCCATGATTGAAACAAGGTCAGGCTCCGCGGGTGTGGTAGTATGGTTATCTTGGGCATGAGTAGGGGGGAAGGCGCTGTATGCCTGCGGTAGATCTCCCAAGTTGGGAGAACGGCGCGGCGTAGAAGTTTGTAGCTGGTCTTTGTTCCAATAATTATTCCATGCCTGAAGGCCCTGGTCGCCCATCCATCTTGCACCTCGCACAATCTCCTGCGTGACGCCTCTTGCTACCTTGTCAAAGAAGCTTGGGCCCTCGCCAACGTCTGTAGCGCACGTTATTGCTGGCCTTGCTGGGGGATTACGATTGTCAAGACCATAGACTTTACCCTGTATCAACGACGGAGGAACTGTCCCTGGAAGCGACACCCTATACGTGGACGATGGTGGGACGATTGCCAACCATCTTCCCTTTAGCGCAACGATAGGGCTGTCGGTGTTAGCAATCCCAGACGGAGAGTCAGTCCGAGATGCATCGGGGTCTGTTGAACTTGAAGAGGCGGAGTATCGCCGGGATTCCCGTGAGCGAATACTCGTCCATGTTTTACCTAAACACTGGTATCCATTCATGCTGTAGATGAATACCTCGCCACTGGCTCCAGATGCCAAGACTACATAGTTGCCTCCCGCGAAGAGCTTCAAATTTCCGGCGGGTGAAGGTGCAATTGCAGACAGTCCAGGGATACTCTCAAAGTACGGAGAAGGCTTCATAGTGAAAAGCGTCGTAATGTGATCACCCGTTCTGAGCGAATATATTTCGACGCGTGTTTGGTAATATTTGGCGTCATCTTTCACCGAGCGCTGACGCCCAATGGGTGTAGGAGGTACCTCATTCACTTCCGAACCCACAGAGGAGCCACGAGTATCATCATCGGGTAGCCCACATGGACCATGGATAATGACAGCGACATGCGGTCTAGACGCTGAGCACGAGTCATTGGGTAAGTTGCAGGCCAGGATTTTGGCGTCTATCACACGGCCATTGAGACCAGCCAGCTTCCCAATTAATCGCGTTTTACGATCCTCCACTGCGAGGACTTCTAAAAATCCATCGGAACCCACAACAAGAACACTAGTTCCCATTCTAGACGACTTGGATGAAGGGCTGTAAATCGTATCAAAGGAACAGAAGGAGTATTTTTCACCTGTCGACTGCCTGTTCTGGCCAGAGACGAGCGGGAGGTCGATATCAGGTGCCCCATAGAAATGGGCCTGTGGCAAATGCGGCAACGGAATCGGATTACTGAATGGGCCGCTGACGGAGTGGCTTTTGTGCCTATCTACAGATTGCTGCCGAGATAGGTCACTGCTCAAGTACCCGTTACCATAGCTCAAAGGCCTTGCCCTGGGAAGAGGCGACGTTGAGGAGGGGTGGCTAAAACCACCCTTTTCCGGATTTGAGGGGAAGGCAAAGGGAGATCCATTCGCGATTTCCCCATCACTAACGTCATTCGGTGGGCTCTTCCCAAATGGGATAGATTTTGCCCAGCTATCTGTACGATAAGCTAGGTCATTCTCTGGTGAATCATTAAGGGAGCCAAGTGCATCTAGAACCGGCGAGACGATATTGTTGGGACGTTCAGGAGCCAACGGAGGGTTCGGACATGACGACGGTTCAGCCTGCAGAGGTGGAGAGGCCGGTATCCTATGCATGTTAAAGGTTTCAGGTCAGTGATCTGATAGACAAAGTGGCAGATTCGCGATGCTCTATGCTTACAAGTCTTCTGGCGGTGTCTTCGCTGCGGCCTTGGCTGCCTTTGTCTTCCCCTTGGATCCGGCTTTGCCCTTTTTCTTCTTTCCGCTCTGATCATTCTCCGGGGGGTTTTGGTTTAGATCCTCTAGGGGTGGGCTAGGGTCACCGACGGACCGGCTCTGCTGGCGGAATAGATCGTCCGAAGCTGCCGGGGGCATGAAATGGGAGGATTGCCTCGAGGAGGCAAGACGGTCTCGATAAGAAAAGCCGCTCTCAGGACCCGTGAAAAGGTCTGAGAACGGGGATCCCGCGATGTTATCGACGGCAAAGACTGTCACGGAGGTGTGGCACTATCGGCTGTTGAACTATCAACAAACATACCCGTCAGCATGACTCACCCAACAGTTCGAGGGTACGCAACAGTACGTACATGTATGGTTATTGGAAAGGAAGAGTTGGATTTAGTACTATGAAATGAAAGGCGAATCTGATGCACGTAGAGAATAAGGGTTAACAAAGCAACAGCGTATCCAGAGTCAATACTCGATACGCTTGTAGCTTCGGAGATTAGGGCGACACGGAAGCACTGCTTATACCGTTCGTCCGAGAATCCGGGATGGATGTATGGAAGTGGGAACACGAGTTACAGAATGTACAAGATGACAGATATACCGGATACAAAGAAGACAGTTTGGTTAAAGAAGCTAAGTTGTTCGTAAAATCGAGAGAAAGGTTGGGGGGAAGAAGAACATGGAGCGAGAGGGGGAGGGGGTTCAGGTCAGGAGTATGGATGACATCCCCATGGGTAGGCTGACTTATCTCCTATCAGTCCCAGATTTAGTTAACCTTAGTGGTGACCGACCACGAATAGACTACTATTAGTTGGGGGGGACTAAGATTCGGTCGGCAGGTACGGTACCGTATGGTAAACCTTGGTAACCTCGGTGAGGTCCCCAGACCGGCACATGACGAGAACCAGGTGGTGATTGGCCCCTTTGAGACGGTGACCGTCAGGCTATGACGCCAGGTTTGGACTGCCTAACGTGCCTTTTCCAGACGGTCCTTGGATCTACGGAGTACCGCGCTTGCCTTGCAGTCTGCAAAACCCAAAAAAAGAATAAGTACGTATGGAGTCATCCGCCCCCCTCCTCTGAGAATGAGAGGAAAAGCCCACCCCACTCCTCATTCCACAGCCACTCGGTACTCAAATGACGATGCATACACCATATTCCAGGCAAACTATTGGTTTGCCCTGCAGGTCGCATGAGGGGCCCCCCCCCGGACAAACCATGCAAACAGCACGCGTCTGAACACGGGTCAGCGTGCGCCACGTGATTTGTCTGAATGATGCAGCCAAAGAGCCCTTACCATTTGGACATGGAAGGGCAATGGCAAAGCCACAGTCAACAACCTGGAACTTCCCCAATTTCTAACTAATGTTTCCGTGGACGATCCGGGTCTAGCC